CTAAACCCATGTTGAATACATAAAAGGCATTTGAGGGAATTTGTTGAACTGATTTGAAGTTTTCTCCAGTAACTGTATATCTAGCACACATAGGACTACTTCCCCTCCATTGCACTGAGACTTGATTCACTCACAGAAGTGTGCTATAATAGTCATGTTGTTTATGGTTTTAATGATTTTGCAACTTTGATGCACAACATATTTCCAAGCAAGCACCAAGCATGCTTAAAATTGAACATTTTTATAAAGATAATAAAAGTTAATGACTATCCATGATCTATGATCTGACAATACATCTGTTCTTTTTCATTTTGAGATGGTAAAATACCTACCCTAGCTTACTGTTGCACAGTGGGAATGAGAAATACAGTCCAATTAATCACTCTTAACTATCAGTTTATTTAGTTATAGGTTCCCAAAAGGCTTATCTTACATGACTGTTAATAGGCTGCAGGTGTTTTTCTGAGAGTCTTTTTATAATGCAGTTATGTCATAAAGAGGCAGCATGGAGTAAAAGAAAACCCAGTGGACTAAGACCAGAAAATCTAGGTTCTAAATTCTGGTTTGGTTAAGGAGCCCTGAACCTTAGGGAAGGTATCACCTCACTGGTCTCCAGTCTTCTGACCTGTAAAATGAAAGGACTGATCACAAATTAAATGCATAAATATGTGCCACACTGCAGCAGAACAACAGGCAGAACCATAGCCCAGGACCCAGGAATTTCACAAAGGACATTTTAACAGAAATCTGGTCACATTAAATTAACTCAAACCAAACTGTAAAATTGGGATTTGTTACTATTGTTAACCTTAAATGTAAATTTTGTTGACTAACTGTGGAAGTGCACAAGAGCAGAGAAGCACATTTCACATGAAAAAAAAAATCATGACTACTGATTTATACTGATACACTTCAGTTGTGAAAATAACCAAAACTTCCATAGTAGCTAAACCCCCGCTCATAGACATAGCTGTTATACTAGCATTGTCCAAAGGACAAAAGACTGCACTCCAAAAGCTTGTATGTCCATTTTGGGGAAACTTTATGAATGGAGTCAGTGTCTTTCTAGTTTCACCACAAGCGCATAAGCAACCTTTGATGTAGCTAAACTACGTAACATACATGTTTGAGTTCTGGGTTCTGGGTTGTATCATATAACAAGCCCCCTTCTCCTCCCCAGTTCCTACCCTGTTCTTGAGAAAACTGACCTATTATTAAAACTAATTTACTCTCGCCACGGCCTTCTACCTCACCTTCTAACCCTTCTCCACCCTAACAGCGCACACAGCCCCGATGCTGCTGCTGGCACCAGCCCACGCAGCCCCACCTACCAAGAAAAAGCCCTGTGTGCCCTCGGCCCTTTCTGAGCCGTCCGCCAGCAGTCCCACTACCACGGGGCAGCTGGTGAACACTTTGACAAATACCCTGGAAAACATCACCACTCCTAGACTACAGTGTTGGAAGAGGCCACCTGTTATTTACAAAAGCAAAAATATTAGAAACCTAAGTGTTAAAAAAAAATTTGGACAACAGTGTGCTGCTTGATGGGGGAGGCAGGTATCAGGGGACTAAATGGTAATGGGAAAATACAATAAAGATTAAATTTTTAAAAAATTTTAGAGACATAAGTAAATTATGATATACACACACAACAGACTATGCCACCATTTAAACTAATATTTACAAATAAGGTATAATGATGTGGACAATGTTTGAAAGGTAACACTGAATAAGGAATATACTAGATGCTATGTTCTTTACAAACTCAACTATGGAGAAAATGCACTGAGAAAGACTAGAAGGAATGGTACTGCCGGGGAGTAAAATTATAACTCATTGCTTTTTTCTAGTTAGTACACAAATCCATGCTTACCACATTTTCCCATATTAAATAAGTACTCTTGTTATCTGAAGAGAAAAAGAAAAATTGGGGGAAGTGCAAATTCAAATAAATCTCTAATTAGAATTTCAGGAGCCATAAACAGTGCTAAGTGTCAGGCAATGTGGAAATGAACCTCTGTGGGCAAAGGGGCCTTCCTCCATTCACTCTGCCTGCAACAGAATTTAACTGGGAGCTGACTTTTAACCTCATTATAAAGTAAGATCTGTGAGTATGAAAATACTGCTCATCACCACTGCCACTGCATTTTATAGATTCAATAATACTTATCCCTGATCCTTGTCTCCCTTGACTAAAGACACTGGGTGTTCCTTTAGATAATAGAGGATAACATAGACTTGTGATTTAGACAAACAGAAAAAGGTTACACAGTGAAAGAACCTTTTCCCCATTTTATATTACTTTCTGAGATACAGCAATAGTCTCTGGCCAAAACACTTTTCTTGAATACAACCCTATGTATTTCGTATTTATACACTAATCACACTTCCACACACCTTATTTCACCTCATACTCCTCAGAAATATTTACATATCAGTATGTATAGATCCATATCATTCTTATAAATGCTAATTAATTCTATTGCATGGATGTAACACATTTATCAGTTGCACCTGACCGACAGACATTGAAATTATTTCCAGTTTATGACAAAGAAGGCTGCAGTGACATCCTTGTACAGATGTCTTCATGTACATGAATTACATATGCCATCAGGTAAAATCCTGGAAGGTGAATTGTTGAGTCAAAGAGCGTATGTACATTTTAAAAATATGACATTGCCAAATTGCCTTCCAAAGTATCTGTACCAACTAACACTGTAAGGGAACATTTCTGATCAACAAAGATTTTAAAAAGCAAACTCCAATGCTGCCAATGCCAGAAAGGTAACGCAAATTCGTGGGGCAGGCTGGGGCAAGAAAATGGCAGACTGGAGGGCACAGTCAGTCAGTGAAAAAAGCAGCTTCTACTCAGGCCCAGCTCACTGAAAATGCCTTCTAGGAACACTATACTCAGTATTGTTAGATTGTTTGAGTTCTCAAGAGCCAAACTCTGGACTTCTGCATAAAATCTCCAGATATTTATATTGTTGACAGCTCATTAAAATTTTAGAACTGGCATGACAAAAAGGCCATATGTGGAGAGGGAGTGCTGGTTACAACCTTGGATGCTGCCCTGGTGAAATCTGAAAGCAGCCCACATGCCCAGAGGGCCAGCCAGGGCCAACAAGAAGAGGGGCAGACCCTCCAGACGGACAGGAGGCAGTTTTAACAAGCACCTACTTATGAGGCTTGTCCTGGGCAGCTGAGAGGTAAGTAGATCTTTGCATCCACCTGCCAAATCTTATAAATTTAGACAGAGGCCTTAACCGGGCTCAATCACATATACCTTATAGACAGATGGTCTTTACACAGTGCTCTCTCAAGCCCGTGACCTTGCAAATGGATTGCAATGGGGGAATGGTGGGTAGAACGTGCATTCTAGGAACAGGGCAGGGGGCGAGGAGCCTCTGACTGCACGGGTCCCACCCTAAGGCCAACTGGTGGTTGAGTCCTCTTGATCACCTCCCCCAACAGGGAATCATCTGTTGGACCTCCACCTTGTAGCCAGTGCTTTAAGATTCCCTGTCCCCTCCCCCACCACCCTAATAAAGACTGTCACGGCAACAGGCTGGATTCAACATACTGTTTTAAAACTGGGATTCCCTTAGATTACATTTTATATTGTTGATGAACTAGAAAATGGATTTAATTAACTATGTGGTCATTATCCATTCAAATTATTTGGGTGACTTAATAACCTCTTGCCCCTCTCGCCTAGAAGTTTTCATTATCAGTTTTCTACAATACGCTCCAGTGACTTATATTTTTATTCATTTTAGAGTGTTTTGTTTCTGTTTCCTTCCTTATGTGGAACTACCACACATTTTAAGACTTACGTCATTTTCCTATCAGTATAATCTTCCTTTACCCTAAGGGAAAGTAAAGCTCTCATCATTTTTCTATGCTATCTTCCATTCAGTATATCCATCTACTTATAGAAGAAACTGTGAAATAAATTAAAAAGACTTGCTGCCTCTTGTTTAATTAGTACTTTTAATCCATGTAAAATCTTTTCATATGAACTGCATTCCTATAGTTTAAAAAATAAATACAATGTAAAAGAGTAACCCCTGAAATTACATCTGTATAAAAAGTATTCATATTCATGGATAAAACATTAGATTTTTAATGTTTAATTATTTCTTAGACATACATACTTACTTGCAAAAAGGCTAATCTGACAAAGCAAGTGGACTGTTATTTAGAAACAGGACTTAATGCTTGTAAACATGAAAATTACAAGCAATGTAATTATAAGCAATGTAATTTTGGTTTTGAAAACCAAAATTTAAAAATTATTAGTTTATTATAAATAAAACGTATGACTCTCAATTTGAGAGCCAGAGTAATTTTTAAAGAATTTGTAGTCTTTAAATGTAATCTGTTCAGATATTTTTCTATTTCTTTTATTTTTAATTGAATTTATTGGGTGAGATTGGTTAATAAAATTCTATAGGTTTCAGGTATATAATTTTATAATACATCAACTGTATATTACATTGTATGTTCACCACCCCTAGTCCAATCTCCTTCCATCACCATTTATACCCCGTACCATCTTGTACCTCTTCCCACCCACCTTTCCCTCTGGAAATCACCACGCTGTTGCCTGTATCTAAGAACTTTTTTCCCCTTAATCCCTAATGAACACAATAAACTAAAAAACAAAACAGAAACAGACAGAGAGAACAGATTGACAGCTGTCAGAGGGGAGGGAGGTTGTGGGGCTGAACGAAAAAGGAAGGAATTAAGGAGATGTCTTTGTAATATTTTAAAAAAAACATTATAACAAGAGGACTGAAAAACACATATCAGATTACTTCTTTAAATGTGTCATCAGAACTCACAGACAAAATAAAAATATAATAAAATATTATATTTTACTTGTACCTAAAATATAAATTAAGGCATAAGAAAAACTTTGAGACTGAAATATATATGGAAAACTGAACATGAAGGAAGCAAATAATTCATAGTATAAGCTTTAATATATAAATTAGGTATCATTTCATCAGCTGTGTGTTAGTCACATTAGTTTAAACTTTACATTATATATTAAAAAATAAAAAGCTAAAAAACATCATTGCAATATAGATCCAATATGGGAAAATACATATTTTATGGCTTTATATACAATCTAAATTAATCCATTCTATTCAATAGTTCTCCAAAATATAAACAGCACTTTACATGCAACAGAACATACCAGTTTGGAAGTCCTAATATATTTTAATATACATGACAATAAAGAGAAAACATCCTACAAGACAGTAACATAGCAGAGGTGGAATGTAAAATTAGATTTTGCCTTAATACAATCTTGGATAAGATTAAAGAAATATCAAAAAGGACAGTTTCTATAACTTTCAATTAACATTTTAAAAAATGAACACTACTGTGATTTTCTAATTGTATCACAAACTGAGAAAACATACAAGGAAAAAGGGGTGAGGAGAAAACCTCGTGAATTTTAAACCCCAGCCCTGCCTGCGGCTGTGTTTAGGCTGCTTTTTCGCTGACAGTCCCCTAAATCACCCCTGCACTCCGAATTGTCAGCAGTCCGATGAGCTTTCCAGACTTCGTTAGGCCATTGTGTAACCGTAGCTGCCACAATGCAGTGCCACCAGAAGTCTGTCCTTGAGTACTTCTTTACTTGGGTATTCAGGTAACTTGAGCATGTTGATACTTTAAAAGAAAAATATACCACCATTAAGTAGGAAATCTATGGAATTTCTAATTGTTTTGTCTAGCAGTGAAAACTTCAAAGATTAACATAAAAACCATCCTCTCAAATTTGCATTCAAATGGGAACCCTGAAGCAGTATTTAAACAGAACAAGCACTAAAATCCTGCTGCACTGCAGTTTCCTTTAGCAGGCAAATGGAGTGAAAGCAGTAAGTTCCTTTTGGCCAAAAATATGTAAGTGATTTAGTTTGAAATGACGGTGTAAGTCGGTGATACTGTGACAATTTAACTTTAGTTGACAGTTGAGCTATAGTCAATTAAATTACGGGTAGCTTCTTCAAACATATTCCCTACCAAAAAGGGGGGAAGGAACTATGTAGCTATTTATTCATCAGTGATTCCAAAATCCTGACGGGGATCACTGTCGACATTTTCCTCTCATTGTAGCAGTACAAGTTGTTAGACTTTTGACCTTTCAAAATTAATCAAAACTTAAAATGTATTCAAATAAAAAAATTTAACATACCATGTGCTTGAAGTTGGTAGAAGATTTGGAGTATATGGCACAGCAGCAATTGTAAAGTTTTGCAATCCACTTCCACCCATGATATTAGCAAATCCACCATGTGGGACCCTGGAACTAATAGTTCATATCTTAGTAAGTTGTAATCAAGAAAGGGAAATCTTTGTCATAGATGTATTTTAAATTCTAAGTTAGGGTAAGAATACATTCAACTCTAGGTCACTGACAAAATAACTTTTTTGAATCTACAACACTCTAACTCATTAGTAAAAGTCACCCGGTGGCCAGTTAGCAAGCTTCCTGGAGCTTTCTATAAGCTATACCCCTCCACATCTCTGTCAGTTGTACTGTGCTTTCAACTGGCCACAGCACATGGCTCTACTATTGCATTTAGCATACTGCATATACAATTACTTCGTGCCTCTCCCTCCTAAACTGGGATTGATTTGTGAGCCCAAGTACGTCATATTTGTATTTGCATTCCTGGGGTTAGCAAAACAACTGGCATCTAACAGACATTCATTAAATATTTGCTGAGTAAATGAATGTTTGCTTGATTAATTAAGGCAACAAAGGCCTTTACATGTACTCCAAATAATTTCCCTGTTTGAAAAGTATCTGTCAAAGGGATTTTGTTTTGTTTTACACACTGGAAAAACTAGAAAATTCTTTACATTTCTCTTCCCTGAGATTCACAATATCAATATATTTTCTTTAATGTTACCTAACATAATGAAACCACAGGAAGGCCAACACAATACATAAACACCACTAGAAAATTTAGTCTTGGGTGTAATTATAACATCTGAAATTCTACTATTTCAATTTGCAAAAAAAAATTAGTATTTCAAATTAGCCTTTGTATATCTATCAAGAATAAATAAACTGATCCTGGTATAATATTTTTTTGTTTTTAAAATGAGATGCTGTAGTGCTTTTTGGATAAATTAGAATGATGGTAAACATTTAATGTATAGGTATTAAATACATCTTCAAAAGCACTAGACTCTCTTGATATTAAAAATGTCTTCCAACATGATTCATAGTACAAAGCATAATCCAGTTTATTTTAAAAAACCACTGAAATCTGAATAACCAGACCAATCTTGAAAAAGATTTCTGATAGTTTCTGATTTCAAAACTTAAACTACAAAGCTACGATAATCAAAACTATGGTACTCGCATAAAGACATATAGACCAATGGAATAAAACAGAGAACCCCAAAATAAACCCTCACATATATGGCCAAATGATTTTCAAGGAGTGTGCTAATAAGCACATTCAATGGGGAAAAGTCTGTCTTTTCAATAAATTATAGTGGAAAAACTAGATATCCACCACACACACGCAAAAAAAATGAAGTTGGACCCTTACCTAATAACACCATTTACAAAAACTAACTCAAAATAAATCAAAGACCTAAACTTCAGAGATATAACTACAAAATTCTTATAAGAAGATACAGGGCACAAGTGGCAAACACAAGGCCCATGTGCCGAATCCGGCCCTCCGCCTTGTTTTATCCAGCCTGGCACCTTGTTTCTACCCAGCAGCAGCACTGAGCTCCTTGCCCCTAGTTAAGGAGTAGTTACATTTATACAGTTCTAAAATTACACTTGGCCCTTTGAAGGCAACCTCGAGGCTGATATGGCCCCCGGTGAAAATGAGTGACACACCTGGTATAAGGGAAAAGCTTCATGACACTGGAGTTGGCAGTGATTTCTTGGATACGACACCAAAAGTACAGAAGACAAAATAGATAAATTAAACTTCATCAAAATTAAAAACTTATATGCCAAAGGATACCAGGAACAGAGGGAAAAAGTAACACACAAAATGAATAAAAATATTTTCGAATCCTAAATCATAAGGTAATGATATCCAAAAATATACAGAATTCCTACTCAACAATAGCAACAAAACACAATTAAAAATAGGTAAAGGATTTGAAGAGATACTTCTCCAAAAAAGATACACAAATGGCCTATAAAGATAAAAAGATGCTCAATCAAATCATTTGTCAGAGGGAAATGCAAATCAAAACCACAATGAGATAACCACTTCAGACACATTAGGATTACTATTAATAAAACGGAAAACCAAAAACCACCAATCACTTCCCCAAAAAAGAAAGAAAACAACAGTGGAAAGGAAATACAGAAACTGGAACCCACGTGCCACTGTGGAAAACCGCCTGACAGTGTTTCAAACAAACAAGACACAGAATGATAGTGTACGTCCAAAGAAGTAAAAGCAGAGAATCAGAGAGATGTGTGGACATCCATGTTCATCGCAGCACCACGGGCAACAGCAAGAAGCTGGAAGCAACCCGGGTGACCATCCACAGATGGAGAGATAAGCAAAAGGTGGTATATACACACAATGGAATATTATTTAGCCTTAAAAAAGAAGACAATTCTGGCATTTGAGACAATATAGATGAACCTTGAGGATACCACAGTAAATGAAATAAGCACAGTAAATGAAATAAGCACAAATGAGGATACCACAGTAAATAATCACAAAATGACAAATAATTCCACTTACACAAGGTACCTAGAATAGTGAAATTCACAGAGACAGACAGAAGAATGGGGGCAGTGGGGGCTGGAGGAGAAGGGATGAGCAGTTAGTGTTTAATGGGGACTGTTTCAACTGAGGAAGATAAAAACGTTCAGGAGTTGGATGGTGGTGATGGTGGCACAGTGTAAATGCACTTAATGTCACAGAACTGTTTTTCAAAAGGTAAATGTTATATATTTTTCAGCACATACTATAAAAGCTGTTGAAAATGAACCAAAACTTTCTACTTAAAATCATGGATAGGTATATATTCACAGAAGAAATACAGCAATCTACTATAAATGAATCTCTAACGACAGCGGTTTTCTCTTCTAGCTGGGAAGCAGTTTGGTTGCTATTAAATGTTTTCTTGATGAAATGCCCAAGCTTACCTTAGAGTCTAAGTGAATACTGAATGTATGTCTGAATCTTACTAATAATATGCTAATGAATGAGCAATTCCTACTTAGGGCAAAATAATATCTAAAGACCTGAATATGTCTGTGAATTGAAATAAAATTCTACACTAGTTAATCTGTGCATATTAACCTTTGCCTAAAAAATCACGAAGGCACCCCAAAATGAAAAAGGATAAACAATCCAAGCTGTTCTCAACTGCCTGTAGAGGCAGCATTTAAAAACAAGGGTGCCTCTATCAGGACAGGCTGAGACAGCGAGCCTTGACACTGACTCTCACACAAATTATAACACAGTATTTCAATATCAGGATAATCAGTCTAATGTCTCCATAGGGCTAAATTCTGAAAAGCTTAAAAAAAGATTTCCCGATTTTAACATCTGAATTGAAATTATTCTGTAAACTGATATTCACAAACAGTTCCCAAAACCATACTCCTCTTCTAAACTACAAATATGACTGGGCTCCATACCTGAATAATCCATGAACCTTATGCTAAGACCATGGCTCATCAAACAACCATGTATGAGAAAAATTATCTAGCTGAATATTATGAAACCTGGGTTTTACAAGGTAAAATTACAGTTGATAAAAATAACACACAAACTACACTCTTGGTGTGAAGGCAGACTGGTGCAGCCACTGTGGAAAACAGTACGGAATTTCCTCAAAAAAACTAAAAATGGAACTGCCTTTTGACCTTGTAATTCCACTGCTGGGATTATACCCTAAGAATCTTGAAACACCAAATCAAAAGAACCTATGCACCTGAAGTTCATAGCAGCATCATTCACAATAGCCAAGTGCTAGAAACAGCTTAAGTGCCGATCAGAGTGGATAAAAAAAAACTGTGGTACATTTACACAATTGAATACTATGCAGCAGAAAGAAAAAAAAGAGCTCCTACCCTTTGCAACAGCATGGATGGAACTGGAGAGCATTATGCTAAGCAAAATAAGCCAGGCAATGAAAGACAAATACCATATGATCTCACCTACAAGTGGAACCTAAGCGATAAAACAAAGAAGCAAGCTAAATAGAACCAGAGACATGGAAATAAACAACACACTGATAGTAACCAGACGCGAGGGGAAGGAGGATAATGGGGTAAAGAAGTGGAAGGGTCCAGTCAAGGGACATGTATGTATAAAGGGCCCATGGACAAGGACAATGAGGGGGGTGAGGGGTGGTGGCAGAGGACTGCATGTGGGAGGTGGGGAGTGGGGAGTGGGGAAGGCAGGGGAGAGTAATGGGGGGGAGAATGGGAACAACTATACTCGAACAACAATAACATTTTTAAAAATAATATACAATTGTACCTTGGTATGTGCAGGGGATTGGTTCCTGGATCTTCTAATGTTAGCAAAATCCACTAATGCCCAAGTCCCTTATTTAAACTGATGTAGCATTTGCATATAACCTACACACACTTTCCCATATACTCTGAATCATCTCTAGATTGCTCATAATACCTAATACAATGCAAATGCTATATAAACAGTTATTATACTGTACTGTTTTGGAAATAATGACAAGAAAAAAAGTCTGCACATCTTCAGTACAGACACAATCAGTAGCCACCGTAGACTAATTACATAGTACACATCAGCAACAATGTAACATTTTTTTCTAGAATTTTCAATCCAATGAGGGTTGAATCCACAGATAAAATCAAGGCCAACTTTCATTATTCTTAAGGGAATATGAAAAAAGAGTAATGGATTTAAGACAGTCTTATACACCATGAAAATATTGTTATATTATAAAAATATTTAAAAATTATTTTTATATTTATTCTATAATTGAACACATTTAACTTTTTAGTAAGACTGCACTAAATTATACTAATACATGGAGTAAGATGTTTCAATTCTAAATATAAACCCTGTATCTAAGTATAAACCAATGGATAACCAGAATTTTCCAAAAAGTGCTAAAGAAAAGAAAAACACGTGTCAGCTTTAGAAGGGCAAATGCTATACCTGGAGTAATGACTGCTGGGAGGTCCAATGTAAAAGGAACATTAAGGTTTAAAAGAACTTAAGACTTACTGTTTGAATCAAAACAAGGACTTATTGTACAGTAACTGCTGAAAGGTGGATTCCTCAACATGAGCGAAAGCTGAGCTGCGTTGCTTCCCCTCGGATTCCTTGGCTCCTACTCTGTACCCACATCCTTCCACCTCAGTTTGAGTGGGTTCACATGCTACACGTCACGCCCAAAGACGCGGCAGCATGGGCTTCAGCCCTGCTAACAATGACTATACTCCTGACGCAATCACTATACTACTGACGGAAGAGTAGCACTGCGTGTTACTAAGCCAAGTGATTTTTGATTCTACAAGAGCAGCAATTTTACAGACATTTTTGGTACCAAAGAACATGAATAATGTTCTCCCTGCATTTTAAAGACTCACACTAACTACATCACAGGGTATACAGGTGGGGAAATATAATAAAGCACTAGATGGTGTTCAGATAGAAACCACTAGAAAAATAATGAAAGAGCACTACCTCAGACAAGAAACCAAAGTAAGTCCAGTCAGTTTAAAATTAGAATGTAAAAACAGACCCTGTAAAAAGTTACAGAAAAAAATGTAGATAAACATATCTATAAAGTCTTGAATATAGAAAAAGATTTATAAAAACCATAAAGGAAAGTACAATCAACTTAAAACAGCATTTAAAACTTCTATTTTATAAATTTTATAAATTAAATTTATAATTTAAATTACATGAAACTCTCTCTAATTTAATAAAATTAAAAGGGAAGTGATAAACTGGGAAAAAGTTCTTTATATATGTCCCTCTTATTAAAAAAACATTTTAAACTAAATTTTTGAAAATGACAGCAGAACAATAAACAGAAAACAAAAAGAGGCTATTCAAACCACTCAAAAAATTATATAAATAAGAAGTTACATGAAAATAAAAATGATTATATCTTGCACTGACAGAATAAAAGAAACAGGTCCTCTCATTCCCTGCTGATGTAAATACAAATATCTTTCTGAGGGAATAATGAGCAATATGTGTCAAGGCTGTAAAAATATATGTAATTTTGTATCCAAAAATTTCCCTTCTCTGAATTTAGCCTATGTAAATAATGTAGGATATTAACCTGACTAGCATGTAGCACAAAAATTCTTATTTCTTCAGCATTATTCATAAATAGGAAAACTTAGCATAAAGAACAATATCAGTGAAAAGAAATCCATAAATTAAAGAGCAGGCAGCCTTTTAAAAATCAGATCTTATATTTTAGTGATATATTACAAAATTCAAGTTAGAAAACAGGGATAGTGTTTTTAAAAAGTAAAAATTTAGCCCTGGCTGGGTAGTTCAGTTGGTTGGAGCATCATCCCGTAAACCACAAGCTTACAGGTCTGATACTCAAGCTGGGTACAGCAGGCAAACAAACTATGTTTCTTTCTCACATGGATGTTTCTCTCTCTACCTATTGAGCTGGCCAAAAAGTTACTTTGCTTTCATAAGATGGGTCTAGTAGCATTTCGTTGTCTTTAACTTCATTTGAAACAATTTTGTTAGACTGTATTGTGACAACTATCACACCAGTGTGCATTTTTTAAAAAACTTATCAAAATTGATAAATTTTTGTATAAATATCTTAATATTGAAATCAAAGAAAATAAGCAACATTTTTGGCACATTATGCTTTATTGTTTCAAGAAAGATAAAAATGCAACTGAAATGAAAAAAAAAAAAAGATCTGTGCCGTGTATGGAGAAGGTGTTGTGACTGATCAAAGGTGTCAAAAGTGCTTTGCAAAGTTTTGTGCTAGAGATTTCTCACTGGACGATGCTCCATGGTCAGGATGACCAGTTGAAGTTGATAGTGATCAAATTGAGACATTAACTGAGAACAATCAACATTATACCAGTGGGAGAGAACCAACATACTCAAAATATCCAAATCTATAAAGTTACTGGTAAAACTGAAAAATGTGTCTTCTATTTTATGGAAAAAAGCATGCATATTGACTTTTAGGCCAACCCAATGATCTTTTTCTCTCTCTCCCCTCCCCTTTCTCTAAAATTCAATGAACATATCTTTGGGTGAAGATTTTTTTTTAAAGTAAAACTATATATATGTAAAAAGCATTCTAAAAGAATAACCAAAAGTTTAAGTGATTATCTTCAGTGATTGAGATTAACAGTGATCTTTTTGTTTTTGTATATATTTTTATTTATTTATTTTTAAAGAGAGGGGAAGGGAAGGAGAAAGAGTGGGAGAGAAACATCAATGTGTGGTTGCCTCTTATGTGTCCCCTACTGGGGACCTGGCCAGCAACCCAGGCATATGCCCTGACTGGGAATCGAACCGGCGACCCTTTGTTTCACAGGCCCATGCTCAATCCACTGAGCTACACCAGGCAGGGCTAACAGTGATTTTTTGAATTGGAATCGTCTAACCTTCCTACACAGAAATATAATTTTTAATTATTTTTATTACTCAATTCTCTAGGCATTTCTTGGCATGTTGTGTGTGTGTGTGTGTATGTGTGTGTGTTGTCTCGCAACATTAAAAGTTTGGCTACTACCACTGACCAACCTTCAGAAAGATTACCAAATTATAAAATACAATATTCAGGCTAATAACCCGGGTTGCAACAGTTTATTTTTTTCATACATTAAATAAACATTTATTCAGCACTACATTTTACCTTAAATGCCTAAATAAATCTTTGTTTAATATCAAAAAAGTGGGGCCCTGACCTGTGTGGCTCAGTTGGTTGGAGAGTCATCCCGTAAACCAAAAGGTCCCAGGTTCGATGTCCGGTCAGGGCACATGCCTAGGTGATGGGTTCAGTCACTGGTGGGGGTGCATAAGGTAGGCACCTGATCAATGTTTCTCTCTCACATCGATGTTTCTCTACCTCTTTCTCCCTCCCTTTCTCTAAAAATCAATAAGCATATCTTTGGATAAGGATTTTAAAAAAGTAGAAAGGGAGGGAAGAAACTGACAATTCAGAGTAATAATCCATTTTGGTTGTTTATCTCTAAGCCACTAGGAATGGAATACATTAAATTCCTTTCACATTATCATAAAAACACTTCTTACCTGCCAGTAACAAACTGCAAGAGAAGAACTCTCTCCTCTGGAGTAATATCCTCCACAACTTCCCAGAACCACTAACAACAAGAAAAAAGACTTAGATCATATTTTAGAGCAATCACAGACTTAATACCAGAGAAATAGGCAGCATTCATAAGGCATATTTTATTCTAAGAAACTCATTTATCAGAAATGATTTCATACAAAGCTTTCATATGCAATTCTCATGAGAAGAATTTAGGGGAAAACTTTGTTAATTAATGTAAGTTTTCATCCAATAGTGCTGGAAAAGCTTACAAAATTAAATAGCAAAACTTAACTTCATTCTAAGCTCTAGAGAAATCTTACCTGAATAACTGGATCTTCTCTTTCATAGCCACTTGTGTATTCTGTGTTTTTTATCCAATCACTCACATCAATTTCTGGCATGCCAGAGAGCAGTAGCTCCTTTAGGGAAACAGAAAAGTATTTCATTAATCTTCTTTGGGGGGGGGACTATTACGTTTAAAGAGTAAATGTGCCTTAATTAGAAACTAATTCTACGTAAAACTGATTTATTTTTGTGACAGTTTCTGCAAGTCATCAGTAACAAATACTATTGCACATGGGAGAGAATCCTTGGTAATGATCATCCCAAACATTGTGGGATGTAGAGGTGTGTCTACATTGATACAACTTAATTACAATATAAGAGACAATGCTTTGTTTATATGTAAACATTTATGCAACAACAGTCTACATGTGCGATAATTTTATGAACATTATTATCTTTATGTTTATTTTTATTTGATAAGTTTGTTAAATTGTATAAAGGGACCACACTCTCAATAGGAAAGTGACGGCACAGACCGGAACAAATCCTGGGTTAAGAAAAGAAAAGGATCATCAAGGAACCCTAATCATTAGGAAAAAGAAGGTAATATAATGAAAATAATTATATTTAAAAAGCACACACATCCAAGCCTCTGGAATAATTCAGATCCTCTGATGTCAACTTTTCCCAAGGTGAGAAAAAAAATGAAATTTACCCAGTAACATTTGGCAGCCACTTTTTTCCCAGGAAGATCATCAAATGAGCAAAATAGCAATCAAATAACTAAAAAATTAAGACTGGCAACAGTATTTACCATTATGTTTTCCAAGAGAAGAGAAAACTTGAAAAAGAGCTTGTGCACATCTCTAAACCAGTCCATTTCTTACAGTCGGATTATTCACTTACACAGTCAGGCCAGGCAATAACTAGCCTGCACTTCACTAAAACACTGACAAGCTGGAATATCAGGATTTGCTACCACAGAAACAAATATAACATGGTTCACAATCAGGTTCCCTACAGCAAGTACTCATGATATATACAATACTAGTATAGAGTGGACTTTGAAGGCTAATATGAGGTGGTGTCTGAAAACGCTTGGGTGTTTCTGAAACCTGATCGAGCAGTCTGCAAGGTATCTCTCTTTTCCAACTTATCTAAGACTGGACCTTCTCCATATAGTTCAACCAACAGATATCACAACAGATCATGTGCAGAAGCAGATATAAATTCCCAATTGTCTTTTATTAAGCTAGATATTAAAGAAACTTGCAAAACTATAAAACAATGCTACTGTTCCCATTATTTTTATTTCATTCTGGAAAAATCCAGTTTTCATTTTTAAAATGTTGTTTATGTTAACAGGTAATGAATTATTTACTTGAATCAATACAATATTTTACACTTCTATTTTAATTTCAAATACAGCAAACATCAATTAATATAACTCACATATACAAAAAGGCTTTTGTTGTGGCGGGTCCTAAGATCAAAAAGTTTGAGAACTGCTAGTATTTTGGTTCTTGCCATGCTACTACAACATAAAATAGTTTTCACTAGATGAAGGCATTCTGGTTAGGGTCCATTTACCACCCACAAATACCTTCTCCATCTTTCTTTGCACTGTTCTGTTCCTTAGGGGGCTGATGCTGGCAAACGAGCTCTCTTGTCTGCTGGCTTGAGGTTGGGTTTCCCCACTGAGAACAGGCAGAAGTCTGGAGGTGAGAGTATTTGCTGCTCCCTCCAGGCTTTAGCACATCTTTTCAGCAGCCACGTCCCTCATCACAGGGCTCTTCACGGTAATTCCTCCTCCTGTCTCTCCAGTTCTAGAGGTGATAGAGCCTTTCCACTGTTACTAGTCTCTGGATGCCTCACCAAATCTTGTGTATTCTCAACACTGCCTGCACCTCTGTAATAATCCCTGTGTCGGAACGTGCTACGTCCTTATTTGAACCACCTGGGGAATTCTGTTCTGTAGCTGGACCCTGATACAGACCTGTCAAAAGGGAATGAGAATGAATTTTACATGTTTCTTACAATCTGGGTTTAATCTTCTTCCCTTCTAAGCTAGAGTTAGCTTTTAATAATACTAAGATGCTCTCATTGTTAATAATTATGAATAAAAATGACTGAGGCTTTATTCTCAAGAAACTTGAACTATTTTATGAATATCATGTTATAACATTTTATGAAGATGAAAGATCTTGATTATCCTATTTAACACTTCTCTTCCCAAACTATCCTACCATCTGAATCAGCTCAACTTAGTTTTAAAGCTAGAGTCTAAGGAACCAGGAATCCTGACCTAGCTTCTAATAAATGTGAAAGACAAAGAAATAAAGCTTTTAGAAGAAAAATACCTTCATGACCTTGGAATAAGAAACAGTTTCTTAAACAGGACATAAAAAACTACAATCATTAAAAAAGATAAACTAAACTATGTTAAAACTGAAAACTTTTATTCACCAGGACACTACAGGAAAAGGTATTTACAATATGTACATCTAACAAAGACTCCTACGGAGTCCTACAAATCAGTAACAACAACGAAAACAGAGAATGCAATAGAAAAACAGACAAATTACTTGCAACAAGCTCTTCAAAATCAGAGAACACAAATGGCTAATAAACATATCACATATACCCAACTTCGTTAATCGTAAGGGAAATGCAAATTAAAATCATGATGAAATATCACTACTGATCTACGAGAATGGTAAAATAAAAAAAGAAATGATCACATGCTTGTGAGGAATGGGAACACCCAGAACTCTCACACCTGTTGGTGAGAGTGTAACCCAACGCACCACTTTGGAAAACTAGTGGCTAGTGCCTACCCTAGCGGAGTAACTGCACACCCTGTCTGCCAGCAATTCCACTCCAAGATACATAACCCACAGAACGCATTCTTATGTTCTCCCAAAGAAGTGTACTGGAATGTTTATAGCAGCACTATTTCAAATAGCCCAAAACTAAAAGGTACCCACCAAATGCTCAAGAGTAAAAAGACAGAAAGTACACCGACACAAGGAACCACCATACAGCAATGAAAACGAACAAATTATACTGCATGCGACAACACGATTCTCACAAACAAAATGCTGAAGAAGTCAGATATATTCAAGGTGATTATTTCATTTATATTAAATTCAAAAACGGGCAATGTAACCTATGATATTTTAAGTTAGGAGAGTAGCTACCCATGACTGGGAAGAGTAAGTGAAAGGGGACATATGAGGGACATCTGGAGTGCTAGGATTTCAGTTTCTTGATTTGGATGCTCATTTCATGGGTATAGGCAGCTTGTGAAAATTTATCAAACTATACATTCATGATGCATGTGCTTTTTTCTATATATATATTGTAATTCAGTAAGTTTCACAGGACTTATCGGTATCAGTAAATTTTGAGGCAAAGTTTTTGTTAGTTATTTGTTACTATTGATTTTTTATACCACAAGTCTAAAAAATAAAGTAATTAATTCTCTGTTTAACACTTCATAAGTATTTTTAAGTATTCTTCCATTTTAAATGATAAAAATAACTTTTATGATTATGCAAAAACCAGACAAGTCTATGTTAAACAAAACCATCAATCTTAAACCTAAAAACAAAGCCAAAAAACTCAAAACTGATATTTAATGAAAGTAAGTCATAAGGAACCTATAAATTAAATAGCAAATTCTGTCCACTACTGTACTAAGATACACTATGAGTGACCAAATGAAGACACTGGTATATATGTAAAAGTAAATGTACACACCATTGTACTTATTCTTATATTAAAATGAAAGGCACAGGGTAAAACTAATTTTATGAAACAATAAAAACCAAAGGGTACTTTCCATTTATCCAAAATTTACTATTCTAAATTATACTTTTTAAAAGCTATACTCTATTTAAAATACTGTGTTTTATTAAGGAGTTAGAAACTCATAGGGTTTAAAAATAATTATTACCAAAAATAAAAGAGAAAAAGGAAATAAAGGGAAATGCAGACATAGATTCTATAAAATTAGAAATCCCATCAGGTCACAGTAAAAGGCAGGCAAATTAATGAAGTATAACAAAATATGCATAAGGGATCAGAGCCCAACAAATAGAGTGAACTCCACAGAGGTCTGAAATGAAAGATTATAAAATTATATACGTGATGAAATAAAAAGCTGGAAAAGATGACCCAAATACAACAAGGAAAACCCTATCAATCGATTCTTCTTTTGGAAGTTCAAGAAGTTTGTATCAGAGACTTCCGCCAAGATGGAGGCATAGGTGGAGATGCCGTGCTTTCTCACACAACCAAGTTTAGAGACAACTAAATATTAGCAACAGAAAACACAGCCAGAACACAGAAAATTGAACTTTTCGGAAGTCCGATAACAACAAATTCTTCAGCCTGACCAGTAAGAGGGGCGAAACCAGCAGCTGGTGGAGCGGGGTTGCACAGGAAAACTCGGTCAGATGGACTCGGGCGCACGGAATCCAGGCGCAGGGTTGGACCTGGTGGGCAACTCAGCGAGTGACCACGGGGAAACAACGAGGGAGCAGGGCTGCGGGTTGACTGTGGTCACGCATTTGTGCGTGGATAGACAAGCGAGGGAGTGGGCAATTGGACGGGAGCCAGCTGGCCGCAGTGGCGAGTAACATCAAAGGTCACCACCATTTCCCCACTCTGACCCCGCCCCCACATACAGCGTCACAACCCAGAGACCTGGGAGTCCAAGGCTCTGCTCCTTGTACTTAACGGGCGAACAGACCAAAAATGGCTCAAGAAGATCTCAAAGCCCCAGAGCCTATAAATCTAAGTGATGAAGAAATACCAAAACTCTCAGATGCACAGTTTAAAACACTGGTGATCAGGATCCTCACAGATCTGGTTGATTATAGCCACAAATTAGACAAACATAATGAAGGCGAAACTAATAGAAATGAATGGAATTGCACAGGAAACCAACAGCGATGAAAAGGAAACTGGGACTCAAATCAATGGAGTGGACCAGAAGAAAGCAAATAATGGCCAAACAGAAAAGAGTCAAGAAGCAAGAATTCAAAGAAATGAGGAGAGTCTTAGGAACCTCCAGGACATCTTTAAACGCTCCAACATCCGAATTATAGGGGTACCAGAAGGGGGAAAGGCACAGCCACCAGTGGAAAACTTATTTGCACAAATAATAAAGGAGAATTTCCCCAATCTGGCAAAGGGAAATAGACTTCCAGGAAATCCAGGAAGCTCAGAGAGTCCCAAAGAACTTGGACCCAAGAAGGAACACACCAAGGCACATCATAATTACATTAGCCAAGATTAAAATGAAGGAGAGAATCCTAGAAGCAGCAAGAGATAAGGGGACAGTCACCTACAAAGGAGTCCTCATCAGACTGTCAGCAGATTTCTCAAAAGAGACCTTACAGGCAAGAAGGGGCTGGAAAGAGGTATTTCAAGTCATGAAATCCAAAGACCTATAACCAAGATTGCTCTATCCAGCAAAGCTTTCATTTAGAATGGAAGGGCAAATAAAGTGCTTCTCAGATAAGATCAAATTCAAGGAGTTCATCATCACCAAGCCCTTATTATATGAAATGTTAAAGGGACTTATCTAAGAAAAAGAAGTTAAAAAAACATGACAGTGAAAGGACAGCAAACTCACAGTTATTAACAACCACACCTAAAACAAAAGCAAATTAAAAGGACAGCTAGATCAGGAGTGGAAACATAGAAATGAAGATCTCAAGGAGGGTTAGCAACAGGGGAGTGGGAGGAGGAGAAGGGGGGAGAAGGTACAGAAAATAAGTAGCATAGACAGTAGATAGAAAATAGATGGGGGGGGCAAGAATAGCATGGGAAATATAGAATCTAAAGAACTTGAGACACATGGTCATAAACTAAAGGGGGGGTGATGGTGGGGATGGGGGGGTAGGATGGAGGGGAATGAAGGCGGGGAATAGAACAACTGTAATGGCATAATCAATAAAAAAAATAAATTAAAAAAAATTAAAAGAAAAAGAAGTTTGTATCAATATCCTTTTTACCACAGATAGCCAAATAAAAAATTCAGAAATAATGGAAATTTTGCTTTCAGAAGATTGGCTTTCAGCCTCCCCCGTGCACAGTACTTCGGAAATAACACTTCACTTTTGCCTGTCACCATGGCACTCCCTTTCACATTTAGGAACCGCTAACCTGGTTACAAAGCTTAAAAGGAGAAAGAACACAAGTGTTGCAACAGTCTCTAAACATGAACATTAAACCATAAATCTTACACATTATTCCATTCATCATAGTATTCCAAAATTATCTGAGTTACATCATCTGGAGTTCTGTATTGCTGTGCAACAACAAAGGAGCTGATGTTCTTCCTTACCAACTCAAATTCATCAAACAGTTGTATGAGGGAGGGTGGAATGAACATATGAAAACCCTGTAAAAAGGCATTGATCTGAGGCTGAATGGCTCTTGTCATTCGAAGTTCAGTAACAAGCTGGACATACTCCGCCTATTAAAAAAAGAAAACAGTTTTTGTGATGACTTTTAATTTCACATATTTAAGATAATGTTGATATAATCATTTTTCACTTAAGAGGTGAAATTTAGAATTAATCTGGCACCAATATCCACTCACTAAACTGTTTAGGCCCCTACTCCTAATCACCCACGATTTCTCTTACATCCTGCAAGTGCTAGCACATCTACTTCCAAAACATTATCCTCTGTCTGGCCATGTCCACTTGTAACATCCTGGTCCACGTCGTCATCATCTCCCCTAAATCACTGCAACACCTGGTGTCCCTGTTTCCATTTTGACTCTGTACTGCTCCTTCTCCACACCACAGAGTGATTTTTTAAATATAATTTAGATCACATAACCTTCCTGCTCAAAACCCTACACTAACTTCCCATGTCACTTAGAATAAAATCCAAATTCCCTTCCTAGCCTCTCTGTCTTGCTTTCTCATCCCATTTCCTTGCACTCTCCCCTTGCTCATTTACTGTATTACCCAAGCACAAGCTTGTTCAGGCCTCAGTGTTTTTATACTTCCTGGTGCCTCCGACCAAAAGTCTCATTAGGATGTAATCTCTCTGCAGGCAGGGTCCCTGTCTGGTTTACCAGCAGCATATATCCTCAGCTCCTAAAAACAGTGATGGCCACTTTGTAAGTGTTCAAAAACTGTGTGGTAAATGCATACATTCAACAAATTCATTTCATACATACTTAGAACTTGATAAAATGGCTCGTTTAACTGTAGCTGACTTGATTCTGAGTTAAGCTAAGCTACTTTTACTCATTTTATTTTAAAATACATCATCATCACAGGAAATAGTGTCACTTAAAACTTCAACTGGTAATAAAAATGCATTTTGGCTCAGACTAGAATAAATTATCATATGTATTCTATCGATTATTATCGTTTATCTATTTTAAATTACATCTAAGTGAACCTTTGTGACTTAAAAACAGTATGCCGTATGTAATTCTCACTTCCCAGGAACGAATGGTCTAAACACAGCGGGGAGAAAGCCTGTTTTAGGGCCCTCCCTTTACTTTGACTTACTTATTCAGTCGCTGGCACTTACCTGATTAGGTTCCCCTGCTCCCAAAACACCACAGGCGCTGAGCCAGCAAGTTAGATTTGACTTCTGTCTATGAATTCTCCTTATATCCCAGAGCTACAGAAGTGTCAGAGTGAGTTCCTCACAGCTCTCCCCAAACCCCATGTGGCTCCTTGTACAAGTGGGCACAGGGAAAGCTGCTCTCCCTGTCATTTAATCTATTCCTATCCCCAAACTCTACCATCCAAAGGCTTTTCTCCACCGTATAGGAGTTAATCAGTTACTACAAGTTACATACAGGTTAGTTACTAGACAGGACAGAAATGGGTGCCAAACAATCAAATGGAAACATAAAGCTAAAATTCCAGGCCCAATTAAGAAATAATATATAATAACCCACTTCTAAGTGATAACCAGCAGTGATTTCCACATTACTACATGATTATACTGATATTTATATCTGCTCTAACGGAAACTGCTTCCTCAACATTACAATTTCTTTTGCCCCATTCATCCATTAATTATATGTTTAAGGTGCTATATGAGATACTATGTTTCCTTAGCAAAAATAGCTTTTTCTCAAGAGGTTTTGCTTTTACAATCTTAAAGCACTATTCAATATCATAGCTCAAGACCTTAATAAATCATGAAGTATGAAAGTAAAAGATTTTATTTATTTTTTTTGCTCGCTCTTCTTATTTTTATTTCTTTTTTTTAAATTAATTTATTTTTTTAAATTGATTATGCTGTTACAGTTGTTCTATTCCCCCTCTTCATTCCCCTCCACCCTGCCCCCCCAACCCCACCATTACCCCCCTTTAGTTTATGTCCATGTGTCTCAAGTCCTTTAGGTTCTATATTTCCCATGCTATTCTTGCCCCCCATCTATTTTCTATCTACTGTCTATGCTACTTATTTTCTGTACCTTCTCCCCCCATCTCCTCCTCCCACTCCCCTGTTGCTAACCCTCCTTGAGATCTTCATTTCTATGTTTCCACTCCTGATCTAGCTGTTCTTTTAGTTTGCTTTCGTTTGGTAGGTGTGGTTGTTAATAACTGTGAGCTTGTTGTTCTTTCACTGTTCATGTTTCTTTAACTTCCTTTTTCTTAGATAAGTCCCTTTAACATTTCATATAATAAGGGCTTGGTGATGATGAACTCCTTGAATTTGGTCTTATCTGAGAAGCGCCTTATCTGTCCTTCCATTCTAAATGAAAGTTTTGCTGGATAGAGCAATCTTGGTTGTAGGTCTTTAGATTTCATGATTTGGAATATTTCTTTCCAGCCCCTTCTTGCCTGTAAGGTCTCTTTTGAGAAATCTGCTGACAGTATGATGGGGACTCCTTTGTAGGTGATTGTCCCCTTAGCTCTTGCTGCTTCTAGGATTCTCTCCTTCATTTTAATTTTGGCTAATGTAATTATGATATGCCTTGGTGTGTTTCTTCTTGAGTCCAACTTTTTTGGTACTCTCTGGGCCTCTTGGATTTCTTGGAAGTCTATTTCCTTTGCCAGATTGGGGAAATTTTCTTTTATTATTTGTTCAAATAGTTTTTCCATTGGTGGTTGTGTCTTTCCCCCTTCTGGTACCCCTATAATTAGGATATTGGAGCGTTTAAAGATGTCCTAGAGGTTCCTAAGACTCTCCTCATTTCTTTGAATTCTTGCTCCTTGACTCTTTTCTGTTTGGCCATTATTTGCTTTCTTCTGGTCCACTCCATTGATTTGAGTCCCAGTTTCCTTTTCATCTCTATGGGTTTCCTGTGGAATTCCATTCATTTCCCTTAATTTAGCCTTCATATGTTTCTCTAATTTGTGGCTATAATCAACCAGATCTGTGAGGAAGCTGATGACCAGTGTTTTAAACTGTGCGTCTGAGAGTTTTGCTATTTCTTCGTCGCTTAGATTTATCTCTGGGGCTTTGAGGTCTTCCTGCGACATTTTTGGTCTGTTCTGGCCCTTTAAATGTGAGAAACTGCGCCTTGGAGTCCCAGGTCGCTGGGTTGTGACGCTGTATGTGGGGGCGTGGTCAGAGCGGGGAAATGGCGGCCGGTCCAACCGCCCACTCCCTCGCTGGCGCGCAATTAGGCAACCGCAGTCAACTCGCTGCACCGCCTCCCCACTGTCTCCTCTGCAGTCGCTCACCCAGTGGGTTGCTCGGTCGCTCACTAGGTCCAATCCTGGGTTTGGAACCCGAGCGTCTGGATTCGCGCGGCTGGATTCCGCGCCCGGTCCGACCGAGCCCTCCCTTGCAGCTCCTCACCAGACGCCAGTTTCGCCCCTTACTGGTCGGGCTGAAGAATTTGTTGTTAGCGGACTTCCGAAAAGTTCAGTTTTCCGTGTTCTGGTTGTGTTTTCTGATGCTACTATTTAGTTGTCCCTAAACTTGGTTGTGTGAGGAGGCACGGCACATCCACCTAAACCTCCATCTTGGCGGAAGTCTTCGAAAGTAAAAGATTTTAAATTGAAGTACGCTTATTTTAATTTGCCATTGTAGTCTATTTATTAGACTAGTACACATTCTTTTTTTATCAGTTAATTACTTTTTAGTCTACATTTGGTTTTCAGAAATTAACTTTCACAAGTATACTAATGTTTGCTCGCATGTTCCCTTCTCTTCCATCGAACATTGTTTTCCGCATTTATTTCTGTAACTCTGGTTCACAGTTATTGGATATCAGTTAGTAAAAATCAACTCCCTCAGATACCAGTCTCCATATTAAGTTAATTTAAATGTGAATGGATCTTGGTTTAAATTATTTCTCAGTAAAGCAATAAAATCCTAGCCATCATAAATAGCCCTGAAGAGTAGTAAAATAAGAGCTTTCCAGGTAGTGAAAAATAACTGTTTAACAGTTAAAATCTACAGAAAACAGAAAAAAATCTAAGTCCAAAAGCTTCTAAAATATGCTGCTCTGCTTCCTTACACAGCACATCCTCAAACAGAAAAACACGCATGAATGCTTTCTTGATGACACTGTATAATCAGTACTATGAAAGGCCACTATTGTCATGCACTAACACTCTGACGGTTCACACAGTGCTATGGAAACACACTGGCTACATTCCCTCCACTTCCACTTCTGCTTTCACAGGCAGCCAGGGTCTCACCTCCATCCACACTGAGGCCCTGCAATCCACACCAAGAATCTTACATGCCTCAAGGAAACAGTGGACATACAGATGATAATCAGTCCACAAAACACCAGCATAAAGACTGTACAATCAAACATTAAATATGAACCAAACCTAAAGTCTCAGTCTTTTCTAAGGTATTAAGAGATGATATAACTTAAGGGAGGTGGGGCAGTATCTCTCATGCCCCAACAGATGGCATACTTGCTCCCACCTGAGTTTTGTTGTGAATTCTTTGAGGGCATAAAATAATACTAGATGCCATAGACTTAAATTGAAGAATTAACTACATATAAGAATCTGTATATAGTTAGTACTTGTACTGAATAGTTATGTTAACATATGTAAAGCTTTCGACTTGGAAAGCCTCAGTGTGGAGACAAAACAGCAAAAACCCTAGCAACTCTTCTAGCTTAACCTCTGAGCCTCATAACTGATACAACAAAGGTAAGACAGAAAGTAACTGAGAAGGAAAAAGAACATTATGATTAAGGAGATGCAACTTCTGATATTATGCTCCAGTTAAATTACAGGTTTAGTGATAGAAACGCTTTAGTAATTTCCTAGTCTCTTCCGAATGTGTATCATGACTAACATCACTACTCAGAAGGGTTCCTTAAAATTCCAACTGTGTTGTACCTAAATTATGTCTTTTCATGAAGGACGGTGGTGATGTTGACACATTTTTTGAAGCTATTTTTCTTCTTTTTCATGCTTTGTAGAAAAATATCTATATAAACCATATTTATAAAAATAATAAACTCTTACAGTGAAAACAAGATGTCCCTTTTCCCTCCTCTAAGTAAACCAATAAACTTGTCTATATTTATAAAACTGTCTAAATTTTTTTTAGCAATTAATAGTCTAAATGGCATTAATTTTGGCATAATTCAGTGAACTGAATATAAATTATTTGGTAATAAAAGCTTCCTTCCTGGATTTATCCACTTGATTATTACTACTCTGTTATGTAAGAATTATCACTGAAAATTTCTCTCCCTAGAACTCAAAAGAATATCAGGTTTCTTTTGTAGTGTTAAGTAGATAAAAGAAAAAGGAGAGACATGTTCTTGCAATATAATATTTTTCAATAATTTTTTCTGGATGAGTATGTTCTTATTTTCAAGGTCACAGATTAGTTACAAATATTGATAGTCTGGTAAAAATCATATTACTTCAGTTTCCTTGAAGAAAATTTAGTTATTGAAAATAATGATTCTTCAGGTTACCATTTCATGGATTTGGTAAAATGCAAAGAAAAGCGTGTTCTCTTTGTAGACAGAAAGATATTAAAGATAATTTAAAATCTAATCTAATAATACACACACTCAATGTGGAGAAGCTCAGACTTGAATTGTTTTACAAGTTTTACAAGTAATGAAAAGATTTCTCACAGTATACTTTTCTGTAGATAAAATAAGGAATCCACCACTATATACACAAACTTGGATTTTGTGCCTCTGTGTGCATCAGATGTGTGTGTATGTAAAACAAATCCAGTGAAAGTAGTAATAAAATGCAAGGTATTAACCATATAAAAATGAAGTGGAGGAAAACATACTAAATATTTATTTGCAACCCTGTTCACATTCTCTGACTTAGTATATGAGAGGCCTATCAGTTACACAATCATACAGACCTTGATTTAAACTGAGGATCCATCACTTACTAATTTTGAGCCCTTAGACAGCTATATAACTACTAAAGAAATACACAGTGTTGCTCCAGTGAGTGTGGCTCAGTTGGTTGGAGCGCAGTCCCATTACTGAATGGTTGTGGGTCAGATCCCCAGTCAGGGAATATGCCTAGGTTGCGGTTCGATCCCCAGTCCGGCGAGTGCAGGAGGCAGCAGGAAGCAGCAGGGTCAGTGTTTCTCTCTCACAACCATGTTTCTCTCCCTCCCTTCCTCTCTCCCTTCCTCTCTCTCTAAAAAGCAATGGAAACATGTCCTCGGGTGAGGGAAAAAAAGAAATATATAGTGTTATAGTTACACACTCAGGCTTGAAATTTATAGTCTGCCTGCGTTCAAATCCTAGCTCCAACATTTATTCATCACGTGATTTGGAGGAAAGCTACTTAAATTCTTTATGCTTCAGTTTCCTGACTTGTGGGAAAAAATATCTACACTTCACATAAAGTACTCTGAACAGTGCCTAACACATTATAAGCACTTAATGAATGTCAGATGCTTTTAATATTAAAGTTGTTTCTACAATCAATAAGTAGAAATAACTATCTCAAAAGGCTGTTATAATAAGTGAAAAATGCACAAAAAATACATCTCAAATACCTGAAATATACACAAAGTACTCAAGAGACAGTAGCTGTTATCATCACCAGAAACCAGACTGATGGTAATGAGACTGATGAAGAGCAGGATGGCAACACCAGCAGTTGTTCTGGGGGCCAGTCCACTTAAGCAGCAGTCACGTTCAAGTTATCCTTTTCACCTTCCCAAACAACTAATTACTAACTTCTATAAATCCTGTATCTTTGAAAGCTATCTCACTTTCTCCATCCCCACTGTCACTGTCTTATAAAATCCACCCCTGCATGCTCCACAGACCAATGCCACAGCGTCCTATCAGTTGACCTGACTCCAGTATTGTCCCATTTCAATCCATCTTCCACACTCCAAGCTGAGTTTGTGTTTTCCTTAAAAAACAAAAATTCAATCATGTTACTCCCCTCTGTGGCATCTGCAATCACCCCAACAGCCTTCAATGATTTTCTAATTTCTAACTGTGAATTAAAGTCTTTCAGATTTGGCTCCTTTCTACCTCCCTCGCCTCATCTTTTTTCCACTCACTCACTTTACAATGTAAGATCCACAAGTCTCTTCTCTCTGTGGCTCCCCAAACACATGCTCGGTCAACCTTGTGACTTCCTGTAAGCACAGAACACTTCCTTCTACCCTTCCTTACTCCTAACTGACCACCAGTGATCTCCTCTGTTCAACTTCCACGCCACCTCCTCCATTCCCTGATATCCTGTCTCATCCCACCCCCATTTTGCCCCTTGCAGCCAGAATGAACTTGAGGATTAGTATTGTAAAAGTGTTGCTAACACTTAAATGCAAGTAGTTTACGCTTCATTTCTAGCTGTTAGCTAGAACTGAAAATTTAATGGGGAAAAAAAGTCACTTTTAACTCCAGATTTCACAGTTCTACAATTTCAGTTTTTCATCAAGAATTTAAAAGCGAAATTAAAAGTGAAAGTAAAACAAAATAAAAATTTAAAAATATTTAAATGTAAATATTTAGCTCCTGGTAATTCAGCCATTTTCAAGAGTGAAATCAAGGCTTTTTTCTCAGATTTTAAAACAAATCATTGACAGATGCAAAATTAAATTTAAAAAAGCAACATACTTCAAATGTGGAACCAATATATTGTCTTCTGCCTTACATCACTTGTGTTTTTTAATGTACTGCTTTTTAAACAAAGGTATTTTCATCTGTTTGGTTTCACTCTATAATTACCAAAGCCTTTCAATAAAACTGAGGAATAAATGCCTCCCCCATGTGGAGATCAGCTTACATAGGCTTTCTCTTACTAACTAGCTTGGCAAGTCATTTAAGCTTCAAAATGCCTATAAATTTTGAAGTTGAACTCCAAACGTGACAATTATCATTTGATACCTATAAAGGTAAGTAGATAAAAGGCGGACCCTAAAGTAACAAAAAAGTTCATGACAAAAATGTATGTTAAAAAAAACTCTAAAAAACATGGTTTGAAAGTTTATTTGTAAATTAAATACTTTAACAATTTTAAAGTACTTAAGTGATAAATTTAAGCTGTTGGTATGTTTCTAAACATTTGAATATTTAACAATCGGGTTGTTTATTAAATGACATTATATGTTTAAGCATCAACAATTAGATATAAAATTAAACTTGGCTCTTACTGGTAATATCAGAAAATGAAGAAGTTCAACTTATTGTGAAAAACATTTTATATCACAAAATTAAAGCTGAGAAGAATTAGCATATTAGTGATTGAGATACTGCTTTTACTTCTATTACTAAAACTAATTATTGAAAAAGACTGACCTATAATCAACCAAGCAATTAGTTAAGATAGTTGAATAAAAATGTATTAAACTTAGAAACTAAAGTTTCAAGCTCTGTAATATTACGAAAGTATTCCAGCCTCAGACTAGAATTAAGATGAAGAGTATGCCTTCAATGTGAGTATATTCTCATTTATTATTTTTCCATATCTCCCTTCTTTCTAATTTCAATAAAAGACTAACTGTAAAAGAATAAAATATTAATTTTTAAAAATCTAAACAAATATCACATCATAGTGGAAAGGAAGCTATCCAGCAGGAGGAACAGGTATAAATATCTATCGTGCAATTGTTAATGGGGCTTTCCCGCTCTCCACTTTGTTACCTAAAGCGTATCTGAGAGGAGTGACGAAGTCACTCATCAGACACAGCGTTCCCAGACAGGAATCATGTTTGAGGTTTCCTCGTGAAAAGCAATCCCTTGTTTATAATAAAGAGTCTATGACTTCATTACCCTTAATTGAGTGTACATCTTCAGTGTAAAATAAAGTAACAAATCACTATAAGGTTGGGCAATCTAAAAATTAGAAGAATTTGAAAATATTTTCATTCACTAGCAAGCTAATACAGATTTTAGAAATTAATTTAAGCACTTTACTATTTTAATTTTTAGAGCACCATAGGCCTCATTATATTAAAGTCAAGTAAGCTCTTCCTCGACATAATTAATTTTGTAAATAGTATGAAGAACATTAGATTTGCGACTAGGAGACCTGGGTTTTGGCCCTTGTTTTAGGCTTCAGTATCCTTATATGTAAAATGAGAGGGTAGAATAAAACATTTCCAAGTATAAATGTGGAAAAACTTGTTCCCGATTTTATGTGCCAAACATAAACTTCATGATTGTTTGTATGTACGGTATCTAAGCTTCAAATAGTAAAATTATGTAGCTTAATCTCGGTCTCCTTTACCCTGTAAAAATCTGAAGTTAAAAGACCATTTTAATTTAAAAAAACTATCTACTAACAAATAATTTGTGTAATGAGCTTTTAGGTTTATGAAGTGCTAGTAAAAATTCTCTATAGGAGGCATTACTATCTCAATTTTACAGACTGGAAAACTGAGGCTCAAAGACGTTAGCTAAAACAATGGCCAATTCTTCTGGCTTAAAAAAATTTGATATTTTACGAAATTGCTAGTCTAAAAATGGTTCCATGAACACTATTTTTAATAGTTAGATGATTCTGAAGCTGTCCTGGAACTATAATCCAACTAAAGGAAAGAAAAAAGGTTTTAATCTTATTAACCATAAGTCTGATATGTGGTGGTTTAGTTGATTTAAATATTTTATCTTTTATAAAATATTACTGAACTCTAACAGTAAAAGCTCTTTTAGTTAGTGCCAGGAGATGTCAGAATATCAGGGTCTAATTACAAACAATGGCTAAGGTAAAAATTCAAATACTTACTTTGTTATTTTGTGTCACCAGAATACTTTCACCCCCAGGCTTCAAAGGCACCTCTTCCATTGCTCCAAATACATCAGTCTCAACAGAAAAAGTTAGTTCTAGACCTAGGTCACTAATATCATTATCCAAAATCCACTGTAAATTTTTGGCATATTCTGGATCAATAGATGCCACATCTTGGTAATTTACAGGGATACCTATAAATGTAAACATACAGCAGTCATATTTTACATGTTTTTGCCTTTCTTTATCTGTTTAATGGTAAAATACTGCCCTCTACAGATATTGTGCAAAACTGCAAAATATAATCAAATTCACAGCATGATTTAAACGGACGCTAATTCCTGAATTTGAAGGTCTGTTAATTTAAGCTTATGTTTCTTCTGTATTTTTACAATGGAATCTTTCTTTGAAATAGCTACTCAGGAAATTATAAACTTCAAATAGTACCAATTCTCTTACTATATTCATATCAAAATGCATTCTTAGCATAAATATACACACACTAAAATTAAAAAAAAACTTTTTGTAGCAAAACAGTAGGTATTTTTTTCTTCCCCTCAGGCCCCCACTTAAATGACTTACATATACAGATCATCTCTAATGATAATAAAAATGATCTTGTCCAAAATGCCATTACTTACGAAATTAGATTTCCCTAAAAACTTTAAGAAAAACATTTTAAGTAAATGTCTGTGGAAATAACCTTAGAGCCATACCAAGAATGTGCTTGTAGAATGATCTTGTGAAGTAAATGTTGACCAGCTGCCTGTGGTTCAGTGCTAATCCCAAGATCTGTCCAGCAAACCGGAAATAGTTCAGGTGATCAGGGTTTACATAGGAATTGCTATTAGGCTGAAAAGTTGTTCCTTATTAAAAGAAATACAAAATAATTTATTTTAAAAAACTTATATGCAGAAGAGAGATCATTTTAATGCATATAAGTTAGTTCATATAAAACTTCAGCAAAACTGAAGCTATGTGTGTATAAACTTCCGCAGGAATGCTCTTTGGGGACTATATGCTCCCAGTAGAACTGGAGGTTGGAACTGGAGGTGCCAAAGATGATCATTAACTCAACTCACATGTGTCACAGCAAGTCTTTGTACAGAGAGAAAATTTTAGAATACGTTTAACTGTTGAATTAGAAGATTTGTCAGTGAGATCCTGGAAATAATATATTAAAAGATCTCTCTCTCTCTCTCTCTCTCTCTCTCTCTCTCTCCCACACACACACACACACACACACATACACACACAGTGCTGTCCTAAGCAGTGTGGGGAAATAGCTACTAGGCTGTGAATTCGAGCACTGTCTCATTCAGGCCCAGAACAGTAGGTATTTACTATTTTTTGTTTCTTACAGAACAGGGCACTACAAGAAAATAACTAAAAATTTTAAATGTACAACTGTTCTTAAGTGACAGACCAAATCAGTGAACTTGATGCCTTTTAACAATGATCAGAAAATCACTGAAGTCCACAAGTCAACCAATTCATCCTCGTGGCAAATAATCAATTAAGTATAATACCACTGAGGTATAAAAGTAAAAATGGCAAAGGCAACAGTTATCAATTACTGTCACAATCTACAGCAATGGAGTAGATGACTCCACTTACATGAAAAAAGTCTGGAAACAGACAGTGGTGATGATTATACAACATTGTAAATGCACTTACTGCCCCTGAATTATAACACTTTAATATGGTTAAAATTGTAAATTTTATCACAATAAAAACATCTCAAAGAACTCTGGCTGGAGTGGCTCAATGGATTGAGTGCCCATCTGAGAAGTGAAAGGTCGCCGGTTCAATTCCCAATCAGGGCACATGCCCAGGTTGCAAGATAAGTCCCCAGTTGGGGGCTTGTGAGAGGCAACCAATTGACATCTCTTACACTGATGTTTCTCTCTCTCTTTCTCCCTTCCCCCTCTCTAAAAATAAACAAAAATCTTTTAAAAAATTAAAAAACCTCAAAGAAATCTAGAGCAATGGAAAAATCTAATATCAAAATCTCAACTTTAAATAACCCTCCCTCCCTACTTCTGTGATAATCACTAACTTCTCTCATCATTCAACAAATATTTATTGAGTTCATGGTACTTACTACTCTTCTAGGCATCTGGGCTAAAAGAAAGAATAACTGATAAATCTAATGAAATTGCATCAAAGAAAAATAAAGGAAAAATAAAAAAGTACTGGAGAGTGAAATGTTTGGTCATATAGTATATACATTTTGACAATAACTCCCTTTATGCTTCGTTGGTCTTTGATTTATGAGAACTGGCACTGGACTAAATTGCCATGACAAATTTACTTAGATATAAGGTACAAATTTGTAAGCTTATGGGTGAATGATTTAAAAGAGCCACATAAAGCTAGTCATTTACCTTTTGAGAACCATTCCCAATCATAATGTAAGACTAGATATTAAAAGTCAAAGCAAAGTCTGTGAGATGAAGAAAAACTTCAAAGATAAACCTACCATAATTTCAAAAAATATGGTATTCTGAGAATAATTACAAATATTTTTTACCTATTAAAAATTAGTGAATGCTTAGGGTAATTGATGAACCAGCAAAGACTTTTGATAACTCGACTTTACGCCCAGGGCTGTGTATAATTCCTTTCCCAAGTACTTTCTGGGAAGCCTGGGTTATTAAAAAGAATAGATACAGAGACATAAAAAAAATAAAACAAATAGGGAAAATATTTAGGAAACAAATAATAGTTTTTAACTTGAAAACTAGTAAAAACAATATAAATTTTATGTTTTAAGTTCAAAGTAAAAGTAACTGTAACACTCCCAGCTATTTTCACCACTTCAGAAAAACTGCATTTCACAGAATAGTAATAATAACATCTAATAGTTATTTCTGCTTTCTATGTGCCAGATACTAGGCCAATCATTTTTTACACTACAGCTAATTGATTCTCACTCACTACATTACAAAACATAGGTCGTCATCATTTCAAATCAGCAAATTAAGGTCTAGAAAAGTTACATTTATTGACCCAAAATCATAGCATAAAGAGGGACAGAGCCATCTTTTACATCAGTGTAACAAAGGCCAAATTCAGCCACTACACTATATTGCTTCTCTAATGTATCTTAATTTAGAGAAATTATTATAGAAGTTAGATCTAGTTAAACAGTTCCCACATTTAGGAATTGTTAATTCTTAAATGTAATTCTCTTCATGTCAACTATACATAAGAACAATTTCAACTAGATCTGGGGTGTCAAACTCATTTTCACCAGGGGCCACATCAGCCTCGAGGTTGCCTTCAAATGGCTGAATGTAATGTTAGGACTGTATAAATGTAAGTACTCCTTAACTAGGGGTAAAGAGCTCGGCACTGCTGCCAGGTAGAAAGAAAGCCCCGGGCCGGATAAAACAAGGTGGAGGGCTGGATTTGGCCCACGGGTCTTGTGTTTGCCACCAGTGATCTAAATTTTAATGCATTAATACTATGACACTAAAGAGAATACTCATATGGCTTACAAGCAGGACAAGTCACAATCCTTATAATCTATGTGCTTCAGTATATGCTGTGGTATAAATGTGTAGCATAAGGAAGTACCTCAGCTAATGATTTCACACCAAATCTGTTTTACAGGTATAAAACTAAATAGACTCAGAATGAAGGCTATAGAGAAAAGAAAGAAATCTAAAATACAATGTTTTAATGCTAAATCTTACACCAAAAATTAGGCCTAACTAACTAAATCCAGTGTCCCATCAATGTTGTCAAGTTCAGCAAATCCATTTCATAGCCAAGAGTTCAAGGTAACAGGGTTTAAGCTGGCAGTCCCATATCCCTAAATAATTTCAAATACACCAGGAGTATCTGAGGAGCCTGTCACATGGGCGAACATCTGCAGCTACCTAGCATCACTGCAGCCCAGTCCTGCCTGCCTCTCTCAGAGTCGTTCTTCTTAGTCAACAGAGGTCTGCTGCTCATTTGGCTGGATGAAATTGGGAACTACCACTAATGAAGCGTTCTATCATTATTTTAAAAATTTAAACAATGGGAAAGAAAACATTTGCAGGAAATAAAAGCAACTGTACACAGCATTTAGAAACTGAAATCCCACCTTCACTTGGATGTCTCTACTAAGTTACAAAACTCTCAACTATAACTCACACCAACGAGGCAGTACTAACCAATTCCATTTAGTCTACAATATAAAATTACAATTGTATAGGTCAACAGCACCATTTCAACAGAGGTTTTCATCTGTATTATATGTCCAAATTAGAGCTTTTAAAAACAATCTAATCTTTATTGTATTTCTTTTCCATTACCATTTAGTACCCTTACACTTCCCTCCCCCCAGCAGTAATAGCTTTTTAGCTGTGAGGTCTTGGTATTTCAAAAAGACTGAAAGCTAAGTTACTATATAAAAAGACTTTAAGATTTGACACCATGATTTCTAGACTGCGTTTTTATGAACAATAAATTTGAGACTTAGAAGCTCAAATAGGGCTAGCAAATTTTAATATTTCCAAATAAGGCTTTACATTATTTTTAAGTCCATCTACTGTCACTATTTCACTAAAGGAAACTTTAATTCAGGAAAAGTAGACTAATGGACAATCCTTAAAGTAAATAAATTTAGTTTTAGTATACAAACGACTAATGAAAAGTTTCTTGGGTACCAGTACTAGTACCTGAGACAAGCATTTGAGAATCAGGTGTTTAAAGGAAAGTCTACTACACTGAGTCAGTGTACAAGTTTCCACTCGTAATTGTGTGAACATAGGCAGACACACTGAATTTCAGTTGTCTCTTCTATCAAATGGGAATACTCCACCTATCTCACAGGGCTACTATGGGAATTAAGAGTAAAACACACTGAAGTAGCATGAAAATGGGACAAGCCACAGAAAAAGTCATCTAGACTGTATGACTTACCGTCAGCTGACTGGGTAAACAATGCATAATCGGGATTGACTATCTCATTAGACAGAATATCAAACCACTCACGCACAACACCTTGACCCTGAGTTCAAGAAAATAAAATTAAGTATCAACAGAAATATATAAAATGGGGACATTTTTGTAAATCATAATTTAAAATCAAATTAAAATCATATTACATTTCTTCCATTATCAATTAAATATTAAATTTTATTCAAGAGCATTTCAACCTCTTGCATGCAGTGATGTTCACAGCACTTATCTCATACCCACCATGCCTTCCTCTCCATGGAACCGCACGGCAATTCCCTGCTTTAGCTTTGCACAGTTTGCTTTTGACACAACTTCACAGCTACTCCTAAAAATAGAATCTAAATATGTAGCCCTGGTTAATTTCACATAATAAAACTTACAATAATGAGTATTTTGTGCCTCACATACACATCCATTTTCTCTGTTACACATACCTCTGTGGACCAGCAGGATATCACTTTCATTCACTGGCCTGTGCACCATGTCCGAATCTGGTTGTCCTGAGTGCAAATGCTCGTAGAACCACTCACAGCGATCTTTAAATGGCTATCCCAACAAATAACAGTACAATGTGAGCAGTATTCCAGTCACCTCTTAAAATTACTAATTAGCATGCTAAATACCCCTTTTGCAAATAATCATCCTCAGACCTTTGTTTATTGTAAGTGGTTCTACATAATGTCCTGCCATTTCAACAACTACTCACAAAAGGGCAGAGCTCAGCCGAGATACTTTTGACTATCTAGGCAGTGTATTTTTTTTAAATTCCCTACATTTTCAATAGAAAAGACTTTATAAATTAGAAGGTTATATCTAAGAACTTAATGTCATGTATGTAATTAAATACATTTACTCTCAATTTCTTTTAAACCCAATGAGGCTTATAAAAATAAAATTTTTTCAGAAAAATTGTCACATGTTCCATTTAATTTTTCATGAAAATAATCTTTTACACCTCAATTTACTTAGTTTTATCCTTTGAATATATGCAGCAACCAAAAAAGAATTTGTAAGCTTCTTCCTTCCTCTTTCCCTTCTTCAACCCTAAAAATTAAAGAATAAGATCTCTTAAGCAGAAAAGTCTCTACCTTTTGTTAATTTGCCAGATATGCAAATGCAGATGATTTGCAATTTCTTATGATTATTCAGAAAGAATTGCTGAATACCCAGCATGTGCCAACACTGCAGGTAAACATCTCAATTCATTTGCTACAAACTGTTTAATACAGTTAAAGAGATGAGACTAGCATTAGAATAATATCATACATATACAATATTAAGTTCTACATAATGAAGTGCAAATTATAGTATATTAGGAATTTAGAGGAATTAAGAATCCTCTCAGAACTTTAGTTTTCCTACCTGTAAAATAGGGAAAATAATTCTAGGGCTAATTTTGAGAATTAAGTGAAATAATGCAAATATAGAGCATAATAATTGCAATAAATTAGCTAATGTTTATTAAAGCACCTATATGCCAGGTACCATTTGAAGCACTTTACATGCATTTTGATATATCCTTACAACATTCTGAGGAAAGAGACTCTTTTTATACCCATTTCACAGAAGAAAAATGTTAACACCAAGGTTAACTTTTTAGAAATACTCAATACCTAGAATGCTCAATAAAAAGGTGTTGCTCTTATCACTCATAACGATGTTAAAATTATTGTGAATACATATTTAAAATGACAAGTAAACATCCTTGTCATTACCAGATATTAAATATTAAACTACTGATATATCCTTTATTTATAAAATGTGGACCAAGAAATAAAAGCAAGTGGCTAAATTTTTAATTCAAATGGAACATTAAAAGGTACAAAATGCTAGTAAAAGCTAATAAGGTATCTGTATGATCAAAACATCCACATACATATACCTACAAAGCCAAAAGGCAGATTTTTATGTGTCAACTTTCTGAGTACCTGCACTTCCATAAAATAATTCACAAAACAGGACTGTTACAGCAATACAAAATGTTTCTCCCTTTAACTAGAGGCTACCTGAAAACCATCAAGAGAACAAGAAGTCAATCCCTTGGAAGATTCCGTTTTTAATTGGTGTTTTTTTTCCTTTGGAACAGCCCCCAAGTTACAAAAAAATTATTTCTTTATTTTTAGAGAGAGGGAAAAGAAGGGAGGGAGAAAGAGAAGGCAATGTGTGGTTGCCTCTCATATGGCCCCCACTGGGGACCTGGCCCGCAACCCAGGCATGTGCCCTGGCTAGGAATCAAACTGGTGACCCTTTGGTTTACAGCCCACACTCAACCCACTCAGCTATACCAACCAGGGTGTGAATTTCTAAATATAGTAGAATACAAAGTATTTCTTTTTCCTGAAGTGAGTGTAAGTTGCCAACAAGTCGTCCAATTATCCCTATACCTTCAGTGTGTATTTCCTACAAATAAGAGAATTCTTCTATATAACCAGAAAACAACCATCAAAGTCAGAAAACTAACATGGACACATTATTATATCTAATCCTTAGACCCAATGCAAGTTTTGCCAGTTCCTTTATAGCACAATGATTCATGAACTGTATTTAGCTGTCTGCCTCATTTTGGTAGCATTCTTCAGTGTATTCTTAATTTTCATAACCTCGATACTTTTAAAGATTGCAGGTCAATGTTTTGTTAGAATGTCCTAGTTGGAGTTAGTCTGATGTTTTCTCATGATTAAATTGAGGGTGTGCATCTTTGGCAAGAATATTAAAGAAGTGATACCATATTCTTTCTCCATGCATCTTATCAGCTGGCACGCCATTACTGTCTACTTTGATCACTGCCAAATGTATCCACTGTAAAGTTCTTTTGTTTCCAAGTCTTTGTAATCAGTAAGTATTCCACAGAGAGATAGTTTGAAATAGTAAATATATAATGCACATCATCAAACTTTCCATTTATTCATTAATTATTTTCAATATAGACTCATAAGTTAATTTCATTTATAATATTTTGTCATTATCATTTATTTTGATGATCAGATTGCTCCAGATGAGGCCAGTGGACTCAATCAAACTGGTTCTGAGTCATTTTTAATATAATATAACTCTTCAAACAACTTTCCTGCACAATAAGAAGGTCCAGGCTCATCTGTACTTTCCCTGACCTAGCCGTACAATTAGCCATTTCTCCAGGGAGTCTGGTTCTTTGAGAATGGTATTTAGAGATCAAGAACTGAGTGCCAAGACTGCTATATCTATCTACATTAAAAAGCAAGTTCACACTGCTATCTGCAATTACAATCCAACAACACATGGTTCATTCTGTTTTCTTCCGTTTTATAAGTCCTTTCTCCAACAATGAGAAACTAAGCTTCTGTAATCTTTATTTATTTGATCAACCTGTATAGAACCAACATCCCATTGCTAGCATGAATGCTTCACTGCATGGATGCCCTTCATCCCACTTGGGTTTTGTCAAACTACTCTGAGCAACTGTCACGACCCTCTGCATGGAACATCCTCCACATGCAACATCCTCCACATGCCACTCCAACTCACACTCTCTGTGCTGAGCCCCTCTTATACAGACACCCTCCTTTCCATGCCCAAGCTCCAAACCCCACAATGGAACAATACAATGCTTGTGGTCACTTCCCTCACCCTGGTCAAAAAGGTATGTATGGTGGAGAGCTGATGCAGATGCTTTTGTACTGAACTTTTTAGGAAGGGAAGGGGAAAAAGGAAGTGAAAAGCAGAGAGAGCAATAAAAAATAGCAAACTACCACTTTCAAAAACTAAGTTTCTTTCACCCATAATCTCATTTGCACTAGAATGAAGCCACAATGTAGGTTAAAAAATGAACTTGAGAACCAGACAGACTTTTAAATTCTGGTTCTCCCACTTAGTAGCTGAATGATGACTTATTTAACCTCTTCAGCTTCAGTAAGAATACCCACCTCACATGATTTCTACGAAAATAAAATAATCCACGTAAAGCATTCAATAAATATAACTTATTATTAGTACGTTCTCTTTTACATTACCACAGTTAATTAAATGTCAAAGGGTACCTATGTACTTGTGTACAGTTTTATAAGATTAGTTCTTAGCTTTCTCTAACTGCTGAAAGAATCAGTGTCCCTAAAGACATTTAAAAGCACATACAGTATTTATCCCATGACTACGATCCAAACCACAGCCTACAGTCTACCCTACACTTCCGACAACGGTTTCCTAAAATTTTGCCAGGATCATGTCATGCTCCTAAAGCAGAGTAAGCAGTGCTCCTGCCACCAGGGCTAACAAAGATTCCTTAATCTGCCAATGAAAGCTTAAGGCACAATGACCCAAATCTGCCTTTCCAGAATTATATCGCATTCTTCACTTACACAAAATTTCTGCTTCAACCACTGTAGTTTTATACACTTTTCCACCTCCATGTCCATATTTTGACTAGAATGTTCATCTTCCCATTTACTCTCATAAAAATTTTGCATGTTTTTCAAGGTCCAGTTTAAAATCTACCTCCTCTTTGAAATTTCCCTTGACTATAGCAACCAGAAACAAGTGCTTTATCCTGTAAACCCCTAAAGAATCACGTAATATTGTAATTACTACCTTATAGGTACATTTATCATCTCCCCTGCTAGACTGAATTAAGATCCGGTTGAAGAAAGGATATATGTCTTCTACCTCTAAAACAACTACCATAAATTGAACATATATGCCAGTCACTACTTAGAACTTACTCTTTACAAGAGTTTTACAAGGTTTATCTCTATTTTACAGAAGGAACCAAAACTCAAGGATGCTGGAATATGCTCAAAGTGACATAGTTGTTAAGTAGAAAGCTTTTCCTAATATGTTTCACGCCGCATAAAATACGTGGAATGAACCCTGGCAGAAGGAAGGTTCCCAGGTCAAAGTTTAGAGGGTTAACAAAGTTTAATCACTGTATTTAGAAAAGGGCTTCTCAAAGTCTTTAACAAGCTACTGATCAACTTTATAAATCTCCAATGGGACATATTTCCCAAGTGTATTTGGGGATAAAATCCTTGTCTCAAGGACCACTCATTCCAGGAGATGTGGCAACATGTTCTGCTGTCTTTGAACAGCCTTTGTACACAGCAGGACATCAAAACACATTTCTCGAAGAAAAAAATTACTCCTCATACTAAAGTTACATGCTAACAGAACTCCATACTCTAAAGCATGAAGTAATTTCACTCTTCTTAGAGCAGGAAGTGTCACGTATAATAATTACTTCACTACGCAGAACTCGAATTTAGAAAGTTTTCCTCAAACAGACCAAAAATAAGATTAAGAGAAATTTCTACCTGTGCTTTTATGATGTGCATGAATCTTGACATCAACTCAGGACATTCAAGGAGGAAATGAAAGTGATCAAATATAATTTTGGGATTTCTAAAAGAAAAATACACTTTGTTTAAATGGACAGGAAGAATTAAGTGGCATTAACTGAAATGCACAGATACTGAAACAGGAGAATACACCTACTATACTTTCACTCGTCATGAAGCATTTTTTTAATAGTTTAACAGAAGTAACATTTTTTTTCTGTTGAGATGAAAACTGTAAGTAAAGAAAAAAGACTGTAAGGGCAGTCCATGAATCTAAGAAAGCCTTACCTGTTAACAAAGCATTTTAAGACTTCATCGTGTTTGCATACAAATTCAATGAAACGGGGTGAAGTCATCCTGTGGAGAGTAAAACAAATCAGAACCATGGACAAAGTTGATGACGTATCAAATCTGAAAACTACATATTGAACTGGACTGGCTTCTAAGCAAAAAAATATTGGGGTTTGGATCATCTTTACAAATTCAAGAAATTAGGCATGCCTAGTCAATTTCTAAGATGAAAAATATATAATTTTCATTAACAGATAATACTGATATGAGCAAGTGACATTTTAAAAAACTTAAAATGTTAAGCATCTCTGGTCTATACATTTCAAATACATAATAAAGTGATCTTTACACAGAGTGGCATTCACCATTCTACACGCTAACAACTTACACAATGCTTAGCAAATGTTCTGAACTAATTTTAGATCAGTACAATGACTATCCAACAAGATCAGAACAGAAGCTGAAAAGTAACAAATTACTATTTGTATTTACTGAAATTACAAAAAAAAGCATTTTTTTATTTATCAGAGAAGAAATAATAAGCATTCAGTGTAAGCCTTGACAGTCAGGTTTTTCTTTTTTATAATGCAAGTGCCTGACTTAAGTTTTGGTTGCCCAGGCTTCCGCTTCAAAGAGGCATACACTTCAAAGATGGCTATCTTTAATAAACACATTGCCAGCCACCCAACTAGATAAGAGCCAGGCCACCTCCCCCCACTGAGGCTCCCTTGTTTTAGAGATCTTGATTGATGTCAATAACTGACCACTTATGCTACTTGTTTTTTTCCCTCTTCCCACATTTTAAAGTCCCACTCTTATGTTTTAAATTCACCAATAAAGGGTGAGCACCAGAAACTGCCCCCCATCTTTGACCCCCCCAAAAAAGCAGAATGGCTGGCCCATACCCACACCGCATGAGCGGCGAGCTGTGTCAGGGGCCATGCTCTCACTCTTGCTCTCTCCCAGCGACCTCGCTGTGTGGCCCCAGGTGTGCCATGTAATTTCCAGACCTTGTAAGTAATAAACCTTTTTTTTTTTTTTCAAAGTTTCCTGATGGTTATTGCTGAAGGGCGCCTTGCAATCATAATAAGAACCACAAGGGCTGGTCTAGCCACAAGATTGGTTATTGATAGGCTGAGACTTGCACACAAAACAAAGCAGAAACCTTCTTACCCTGGAGGCATCTGACAAGAACAGCACATGTAAAAGGCTTGAATGACAGCACTTAGCCGGTTAGCTGTCATAGAAATAACATCCTGACAGTCTGCACTGGCTTCCTGTTTCCCTCCTAGAGCATCTGGTTTAGATTCCCTGGTGCCAGTGGATAGATTTTCATAGCTCCCAGGTCCTGGAGGTTGAAATGGAGGAATGGAAGTACCATCTTGATCTTGGCCTTTTTGTTTTAGTAAAATAGAAGTGATATCCGTTGAGTCCTTTTTGTTTTTCATCAGTTCTGTAGCTATTAAAACTAGCCATTCATCTAATGAGTGCCAAAGCAACTCAAGAGGCTAAGAGAAAAAGAAAAGGTTTTTTTTAAATATCACTTTGAAACTCCAGCCAAATAAATAATAAAAGAGAAAATTTACCCTACATACTTCTATTTTTCCAAGTTAATGTGACAGCAATGACTATAGGTAAATAACAAAAAGATGTGAATGCTATATAAATGACAGTTTCTTCATTTATAATGAAAATTTAATTTGTATTTACGCATTCCTTGAAATAAAAAGGAAAAACTAAAACCTAACAAAAGTGTACGAGCAATTTTATTTTAAACATTTTCAAATAATTCGTTTCTAAACCATTTATTACACACATATATAAAATCCCCTTAACCTTTACAGTAAATTATGTAAATAATTTCCAATTGTAAGTCTTTTTTCAATTAAAAAAATGAGAATTATTAGGGTTTTCCTAAACAGCCTAATAAACAGCTTAGTTTACTGTGTTCTTTTCTTTACATCTAATTCCTAAAATTTTGAAAATTTATGACAAGAAATTTTAAATTATGATACATTTATATATACATACACATATACACACAGATATACATATATATATATATATACACATGCTCACCAACACACACACACACAATCCATCTCTATTAAATAATAACTATGAAATACTGACTAGCAAATTCTTAATCCAAGTAGAGATCAGATTAACAGCTCAAAAAAGAAATAGATGGGGAGTAATTAAACTTTATATTTCTACAGTATATAAAATACTTCTTTTGACAGGAATAAAATGTCTTTGGTAAATTAACAGCAAGTAAGATTTTATTTTTTAAATATTATGTGATCTCCAATGCTATAACAGCATAAGTACTGGAGAAAATGAAACATATACATCATCTCTAACAATGAGAAGCTTTTAACACAAGCAGAAATATAAATGCCCAACTACTATTAAATGATCTGCTACTGGGAATCTAATGTGCAGCAGCATGACTCTAGTTATCAATACTATGTCATATAATTGAAAGTTGCTATGACAGTATAGCTTTAATGTTCTTACCATAACAATAACAAAATAGTAATTATGTGGGGTGAAGGATGCACTAACTAACCGTATTGTAGTAAACATTTTGCAATATACACATGTATCAAATTAACATACTTTTGTCTTAAACTTATACAATATTTATGTCAATTAAAAAAGAACCCACTAGAACATTTTTATTTCCCAAATAAAAGTCAACAACTGGCAAGGGGTAATGGTTAAATGGCCCTTCATTCCTACACAATTTTAAATGTTCCCATTGAGAATGATTAACTTTCTGCAAATGAATATAAAAGTCCACCTTACTTTTTAATTCTTATATGATCACAGAATACTACAAACCAGATCATGTACTTTGGAAAGACCGACCCTTACATTACTTCAACTAGAAGAAATAATCTTAAAGACTGCTAGGGGAAGAGATTTTGCAGCCATATTTGGATCCTTAGAAAGTGTTTAAACAACCTATTTTGCCAGAAAATTTGTTCCAATTATCTAACAAATCCCTCTGCTACATCTTCATCCCTTCTTCTAGTGTCTACAACATTCTCTTTTTGCAAATATTTGACTTAATAAATTTACAAACAATTAAATCACCCCTAAGTGTTCACTTAAAACACTGAACTAAAAAGCAGAAAACAAAACAAAATGAAAACCCCACGACTGTCACCAAAAACCTAATTAATGCACTCATTCAACAAATGTTTAATTAGCACACACTAGGTAAACAGGTAAGCGAAGTAAGAAACTAATTCTACCTCCTTTGAGGTTGAAATTAGTGCCCCTCTGCCACAAGATGGTTTTTTCCATGATTAGGCAGAGAGCAGTTTGAAGATTCGGGGTTCCTGAGGTGCTTAAAGGAGGGGGTAAAACAACTAGCTACTATGAACACTGAGATGATACCTTCACTGAAAATGTGTTAATTCTAATCACGAGTCAAGTTCGAGCCAACAGTTGCACTTCATGAGCAAAACATTAAACTTGCTGTAAAAGATCAAAAAGAATTTTTTATATCAGCAAAACTATTCAGCTTTACATCAGAAAATCAACTTCCAAAATAGAAAGAACAGGTGGTAGTGATGTGATCCTGCTTGAAACTAAGGAAAAAAGGAATAACTGGTCTCCAAATGAGAAGGGCTAAAACTGAGAAAATCAGCACACTGGATGGAGATGAGCCTAAGGCAGGAACTGACACCTGCTCCTCCTGCAGACTAGAGCACTGAACATGAACCTGTAACAATCCTGTTTCCAAAAACTGACAATGTGCAAAACTGAAAGGCAAATTTTGAATAATCCAGAAACATCTAAAAATGAACTAGCCCTGACTGGTGTGGCTTAGTGGATTGAGTGCTGGCCTGTGAACCAAAGGGTCACCAGTTCGATTCCCAGTCTAGAGCACATGCCTGGGTTGCAGGCCAGGTCCCCAGTAGTGGGTGTGCAAGAGACAACTACACAGTTATGTTTTTATCCCTTTCTTTCTCCCTTTCTTCTTCTTTGTCTAAAAAAAAAACCAGAAAATAAAAATAAACTAGAAAGTTTTCAATAAAGGAACACAGCACAGATTTAAAAGAAAATGAGCCAAAAAAAAGAGAAGTGGTAAGTCATCCTTTCTTGGGCCCTTAGGCATCCCTTAGGCCCTTCTTTTCTCTCTTTCCCACCTTTTTTCCTTCACTCACACATGCAGTAAAACAAAATCCCAACCTTGAGGTATTTTTACCTAGAAAATTGTCCCTTTGAAGATCTATTCAGAAAATTCATTCCTCAACAACCAAAAAAATACTGTGAAAATAATTTCTAATTGTGGTAGCAGCCACGGGCAAAAAAAGAGTATAATAAATCTTTTTTTAAAATATTTTATTTATTTCTCTTTAGAGGGAAAGGGAAGGAGAGAGGGAGAGAAACATCAATGTATGGTTGCCTTTCGTGCGTCCCCTGCTGGGAATTGGCCTGCAGGGAACTGGCCTGCAACCCAGGAATGTGCCCTGACCGGGAATCGAACCGCGATTGTCTGGTTCGCAGGCCCGTGCTCAATCCACTGAGCTACACTGGCCAGGGCCTAAGAGTATAATAAATCTTAAAAAATAAAAATAAATCATTACAAACCATGTCTATGATACTTTCTATATGAGAAATAATAATGAAATTATTAGATAAGACACAGAGCACTGTACATATCAACTGCTACTGAAAAAAATGAGTCAGTGATGACGGCAAACATGAGCTGACTTCTTAGCACTGTGAAAATACTGCTTCATTTCCTATTATTTAGTGATTTCACCACAGAATTACATTCTACCTATAGCAACAATGATGACAATCACAGATGATTTTCAGAACATTTCAACCTATTTCAAAGTTGTAATATATAATCCCAAACTTGTTGAAAACTTAAGTTTTTCAAGATCTATGTGCCAAAGTGAGGTACAAATTTGATGAGAAAGCATTACAAACTTAAGTTCATTAATAGTATCTTGAAATCCTGTTTGACTATTCTCAACTTGATTATGTCAAATGCCACAACTGAAAACATAAGATTTTATAGTTAAAAGTTTCTCAGTCTTTCTTGGCTTCCAAATTTTCCCAATTATACGTCTATAAAACTGTTAATAGTCATAGCTCACTATTCATAAAAGCAGCATGTCGAGATTCAGGAAGCCTAAACTGTCTCTCCCCTGCTCACCCTACTCTGAAACCTGAACTACCTCTGCCTCCTTCAGGTGCTCTGAAGTTCTCAAGGCCCTCGATAAAAATTTCTTAACACTGAAAAAAGGCTAGGTGTTCAGACTGATTAATTTAAAGAACTTCTAAGATAAACAAAAACACTAATAACAGGATGTTAGATCATTTCACCTACTAAAAACACATGGCCTATAAACCTACTCATATTAATGGAAAACCCATTAGTTAATCTTAAGAGAGTGACATGCTGGAGTACCTACTTAATGAAATTAAAAGTGAAAAATTGATCACTACCTTGAACAAAGTGTGGTAAAAATTAAAACAATATTTCCAATCTAACATCACTGTAACTCAGCAATATGTCTAATATTTTCACAACTGTGATCGTCCCACAATGAACAGAAGACCTCATGTACATATATGACAATGTAATTTCTATTTTTATCCTGTAAGTGGGAGGGCAGATCATTTTGCCATCCTTTAAACAGTCTGCACTTAATTCATAAAATTAGATAGGAAGAGACTAACAAATCCCTTAAGAACAAAACTACTGTTTTAAAAAATTAGCTGAGTTTTTTAATAAAAATGTTTTAAAGTGACATCAAAATTTAAGAGAAAATAAGTGCTGAGAGGCAAAAGCAGTTGTCAATAACACAGAAAAATAATGCCTTAAAAATAAATAAAAATACTAACAAGTGAAATAAAATAAAATTATATATATATGTGTGTGTGTATATATATATATATATATATATATATATTGATAATGTGACAATCAAAACACAGAGTCTGAATCCCATAAAAGAAAACCTAAAAGTAAAACAGTGATATCTTTTTCTACTCAGTCACATCTGTACTGACTGGGTAGATAGGAAACTAACATAAGCATTAAATGGATATAGAGAAGCTACTTAGCACATATTTATTTTCTGACATCACTAGTAAAGAGGTGGCACATTCAAATTTTAACAAAACAAAAAATCAGACTACAGTGAATATAAATAATGCAGACCACATCTATATCTGATTTGATTTTCCTATTCATCATTATAAATGAGTAGAAAGGATGAATAGAAAAATAAAATAAGGGGTAGATGGAGTAACTAACAGAAGGAGCCACACCGGAACATGTTAAGAACAACTGTGTGTAATGTGAATGTTTGAGCAATAAAACTCATTTAAAACAGCACAGAAAAAACAATGGATCAATAATTTAGATCTGAAGTTTACATAGACCACAAGTTATCATTCCTAACTAATGCTCAAGGAAATGGTGTGTGAAAAGCCAAAATTTGAAATACAAGAAGATGCATATCTTCCTTCTTCCAGGAGATGGCACAATAGGGGAAGAGAAAAGAAGGGAGAAAAAAAAGTGAGAAGTCTTTTCTACATTGATGAGAGACAGAGAGAGAAACTCAAACAGATGCAGAAATTCTCATACATACCTTCCAAAAGTATATCATACCTATTCCAAGCATAAAGAATCTACTAGTGTTGAAATGCTTATGAACCATTTATTTGTTAAGTGTCTGCCAAAAATTTTCCATGTAAGAATCATTTAACATAGCTCAATTTAACTTTAAATTTTTATAGACAGTAAAGTTGTCAATCATAATTAGTTTAGGAGGAAGTGGCAAATAAAAGCAATTATATCACTTTTTGGATATTAATATGTACATATTAATTAATATGTATTAATACTCAAAAGACTATTTAGAGAAATGTCTTCATGAACCCAAAGCAAATTTTATACTATAAAAAAATTTTTCATTACCATTAAAAAATAACATGGAAAAAATTATTAAATTACACGTTTGTCCCAAATCTGAGTTATCTGAAAATATAATGCTATAAAAAAGCATTAGTAATGGCAATTACAGCCACATCCATTTTGTTTACGTTATAAAATTATAATTTAGCATGAGGTAGCAACCCTGCCTTGGGTTTTACATGGAATTATTCCAAGGATTCCATCCACAAATATGCTTGTATAAGAGAATCAAAATACACATTTCAATGATTTTTCCTTGAAGTGATGCCAGGAGTTAACTGTTAGTAAACCCATTAACTGAATCTTAGTTTTAAGAATATATACATGTTCAGTTAAAATAATGGGTTCAGTTAAACCCATTAACTGAACCTTATTTTAAGAACATATACATGGAGAGACTTCCGGCCAAGATGGGGGAGTAGGTAAAAACACTGTGCCTTCTTGCACAACCAAAATTAAGGACAACAGAAATTTAGAAACAAAAACACAACCAGAACAGACAGAAAACTGAACTGTACGGAAGTCCAACAACCATTCATCTAGACCAGTAAGGGGCGGAGTTCATGGCCATCGGAGAGGGGTCCCAGCAGGAAAAGGCAGTGGCTGCCAGACCTGGGAGCGAAGGTGGCATGGGGCTAGCAGACTCCAGGCACCAGAAGGAAACAAGCAGAGTGTGCAAGGCGGTTGGCTGACCACTGACACACATTCACGCACAGATAAACTGGGCAAAAATTGGCAGCGAGACAGACCGCACAACCCAGGGCCCCAGAGACAGGAAATAAAGCCTAAAAGCACTGACTGAAAAGGTGCCAAGAGAGACTCCCAGCCTCACAGGAGAGTTCGTTGGAGAGACCCACAGGGTCCTAGGACGTACACAAGCCCACCCACCCAGGAACCAGCATCAGAAGGGCCCAGTTTGCTTGTAGAAAGTAGCAGAGCAAACCAAAACCTGAGAGAGAGAGCAGAAAGAACGGAATGAGCACTGTCGTTCCCTTTCTGACCCTGCCCCCACATACAGCGTCACAACCCAGCCACTGGGTTGACCTGTCCTGGTGAACAGCTAAGGTTCCGCCCATCATATTAACAGGTGCAACCTGACCAAAAAATTATAGCTCAAGCAGAAGAACAAATCAAAACCCCAGAGGCAATACTTTTAAACGACCAAAAGATAGCCAACCTATCAGATGCACAGTTCAAAACACTGATGATCAGGATGCTCATAGAACCAGTTAATTTTGGTCACAAATTAGGTGAAAAAATGAAGGCTGTACTAAGTAAAATGAAGCAAAATGCACGGGGAACCAGTAACAATGGAAAGAAAACTGGGACTCAAATCAATGGAGTGGACCAAAAGAAAGAAAGAAAGAAACAGAAAAGAATGAAAAAACAAGAATTCAAAAAAATGAGGAGAGGCTTAGGAACCTCCGGGACATCTTTAAACACTCCAACATCTGAATTATAGGGGTACCAGAAGGAGAACAGTTAGAGCAACAAGTGGAAAACTTATTTGCACAAATAATAAAAGAGAATTTCCCCAATCTGGCAAAGGAAATAGACTTCCAGGAAACCCAGGAAGCTCAGAGAGTCCCAAAGAAGGTGGATCCAAAGAGGAACATACCAGGGCACATTATAATTACATTAGCCAAGATTAAAATGAAGGAGAGAATCCTAGAAGCAGCAAGAGATAAGGGGACAGTCACCTACAAAGGAGTTCCCATCAGACCGTCAGCAGATTTCTCAAGAGATCTTACAAGCAAGAAGAGACTAGAAAGAAGTATTCCAAGTCATGAAAGGCAAGGACCTCCATCCAAGATTGCTCTATCCAGCAAAGCTTTCATTTAGAATTGAAGGACAGATTAAGTGCTTCCCTGAGAAGGTCAAGTTTAAGGAGTTCATCATCACCAAGCCCTTATTATATGAAATGTTAAAGGGACTTATCTAAGAAAAAGAAGATGAAAAATATGAACAGTGAAAGGACAGCAAACTCACAGTTATTAACAACCACACCTAAAACAAAAGCAAACTAACCAGACACCTAAAACAGGAGCAGAGCCACAGAAATGGAGATCACCTGGAGGGTTAGCAGCAGGGGAGTGGGGGGGTACAGAGAATAAGTAGCTTAAACAGTGGGGAGAAAACAGGGGAGGGCAAGAGTAGTGTGGGAAATGTAGAAGCTAAAGAACTTATGACACATGGACATGAACTAAAGGGGGGAATGTGAGTGGGAGAGAGTATGCAGGGTAGAGGGGAATGAAGGGGGGAAATGGGACAACTGTAATGGCATAATCAATAAAATATATTATTAAAAAATAAAATAAAATAAAAAGAGAAAAAAATTCTACACATCTTTACTTTTAAACATCCTTTTACTTTTAAAAAAATGTCCTTTGATAACAAATATATTCTGTAGTATGTGAGATGACAAATTACTAAAAAGATTATTAGATCAAGGATTCAAAGTTACATATCTACTTAAGAAAATAATCTTAAATACACTTATATTGCTATGTTTCCATCTAATTTGTTGTTCAGTAAAAGTTATTTATATAGTTTGGATTGGTCATCTGCTCAGGGTATTTAATTTTGCATTTACAATTTGGTGCAATTAAAATTCCAATCTGGATATAAATGCCTGATGAGTGCTCCTAAATTTGTCGGACTCATGGACACAGACTACAGTGTGCAGACCGCTGCGGGGAGGGGCCTCAAGGGGACTAAATGATAATGGAAAAAGAATGTAATAAAGATTACACTTAAAAAAAAAAGAACATATACATGGATACACGTAAAACATATACATGATAATAAAATCTAAATAAATCTGAATATTTTCTTTCCTTCTAAATAAGTATTGTTTAAAAAGCATAACAACTGCATATTGCCACCTTAAAAACCTATAAACCAATAAAAAGTAAATTTAATTAGATTTAAACATTAAATATCTTATCACTAGAATAAAACACTAATGGAATTAAATTTTACTTGAAAGACAAGTATAAAAGCTCACCAATTTAGACTTGCTGTTGATTAAACAGAGATGAAAGGAGGAAGGTGTGTGCCTAACTTAAAAAGTGGTATGGGTATGAACCGAACTTACGTCCTGTGTATGAGGTTTCTGATTAATGAATGCATGCTTTGTGACATTCATCTCTTTTACGTCTATCTTCATAACAACGTCATATACTTTTCTGACCTTGAACACCTGGCTTCTTGGAGTTTTATTTCCGTTGTAGCCCATATCGATTCCATTACTGGGAGAGGATGGACCAATTCGAAAGACATGACAAAATATCCTCACAATCCTTAAAAGGCTTTTCATTTGAGCATCATAATTACTAGACAGGCTGAAAATAAAAATATGAACAGATTAGATGTAATAAAGCAAACTGTATCTTAAACTATTTTATAACATTTTCATCAATTGTCCACCTGTTTTATAATATAACCATTAAAATTCCTTTCCTATTATGACTGAGAACACTATGTTTTAACAGGAAGTTATCAAACATATAAGGTCTGTCCAGAAAAAGTCCAGCCATAATTAATATAATGCGAACAGTTCGCTCCACGTCAATGTAACCTGGCAGCCAAGGAGAGTGGACTGGAATGCAAATGCATGAACAATGATGACTTCACTGTACTAGTCAGTGGGGGCAGTAGGTGCCATTGAGTGAGCATGTGTACTGTGTGGCCATCGCATTCAAAATGAATGAGCAGTAAAGCAATAAATCTGCAACAAATTTTGCAGAATTAACTATTGAATTAACTATTTTGCAGAAGAAACTATCGGGATAATTCAGAAGGCTGCAGCTATGGGCAACTGGTGATTGGCAGCTTCATCAGGACAACATGCCCATTCATGCAGCACATCCTGTGCAGAGTTTTTTGGTGAAATATCAAATTGCCCAGGTGACTCAGCCTTTTCCCCAAACTAAAATCACCTTTCAAACGGAAGAGATGTCAGATCAGTGATGAGATTCAGGAAAACACAACATGGCAGCCAATGGCAATTGGGAGAACTGTGTGAAGTCCCAAAGTACCTACTTTGAAGGGGACTAAGGCCTAATTGTTCTATATACAATGTTTCTGGTATCTTCTTCAATAAATGTCTCTATTTTTCATAGTATGTGGCTGAATAACTTCTGGATAGACCTTGTATATTACTTGGATTACATATGAATAAACTATTAATTTAAGACACCAGAATGTAACCAATGATCAAAGCATAAAATACAAAGAAAATCACCACTGTAGAAAGTAGGTTGCTTGAGATGCCAGCTACAAGGCAGTCTTCAACTTTCACTTCCAAAAGTTTATTCATATATTAAACTGATTCTTTAGAACTATGAAAACATTTCACAGAGAAACAATGGTAGAAAATGATGGCCTTATGTTCTTAGGCCAACCCATAGCTCAATTGTACAGGTTGATCTGTCCGCTATTCAATCCATAACTTCATTTCCTCTCTCCACCCCAGAATAGTAACCAATTTTTCACATATAGAACATTCACAAATTGAATAATCTTAAAGTTACTACCTCTACTAGGGTGGTTCTCTATATAATGGGTTGTCTTATGAGTCTACATAAATACAAGAAACATATCACATTATTAAAAAAAGACTCAAATACAATCAACACTAATCCATATTGACTATAATATAAATATTCTTTGACAAATCCCGAAGCCTTTCAGAATCCCATAGTGCCTGGGGATCGGTCATCATCATAAATATCAATCATTACTCTTCCACCAAGAAACTGTAGAGGACAGGCTAAATTTGTATTGAATCTAATGTTAGATATTTTTTAACTTTTTACTGGTGTTGTTTAGGGGGTGGTTTTATTTCAAAAATCAGTTATCGTCAATTACAAAGGCCGCACAAAATCAGAAACAAGAATGACATACACTTTTAGGCAGAATGGTATGATTATCTTTGTACAAATTTAATTATCAAAGCGTATCTTCTCTTCCCCTTAGTGTACTTTTATCCAGTTCATTAAAATTTTCCTCTATGATAATTTAGGTATCCTTTAACGTTAAAAAAAAAAAGCCCTGGCTGCTGTAGCTCAGCAGATTGAGCACGGGCCTGTGAAGCAAAGAGTGGCAGGTTTGATTCCCAGTTGGGGCACATGCCTGGGTTGCAGGACAGGTCCCCAGTAGGGGACACACGAGAGGCAACCAGACACTGATGTTTCTCTCCCACTCTTTGTCCTTCCCTTCACCTTCTCTAAAAATAAATAAGTAAAATTTTTTTTAAGTTTAAAAAAACCCCCTGAGGATTAGTAATATAGAAATAGCAAATGCCTACTTCTAAGTATTTCAGTTTGGTAAGTGCCAAATTAGAAGTTATTTTCTATCCCTCTAAATTGACATGAGAGCCAACATTTCCTGACTATTTCATGTCAATATTCATGTTGTTTTTTACTCTAAGAATTGCTAAATTGTAAAAAATAGCCAATAAAAATGAGCTATCAGTTTTAAGTGTTAGTGAAATGTAACAGCTACTGACTGGGACACTACATTAGCAAATTTTTTTGTTTTAGTAACTTTAAACAAAAGGTGTACAGAATCATTAGTTTTGTTTGAACTAATTTTTACATATTTGACTTTACTAAGTATTTTTTAATTTCATATCATAGGACTGTTCAGACAAAAATAGAAAGGTTGTTTGGTTGACACTATTTCCTTTTTTACTGTGTTGCAGATCTTTGAAAAATTAAGTACAATGACTCAAATTCTTCTCCATGAGAAAGGTGTGATTTGACTTTCCCCTGCAAAGTTACAATATACATAAATGTTTTTTAAGTATCTGATCTGAAGTTATCTTACAATAAGAAGTATTTCCTTACAATAGAATTTAAAAATCATCACCTATTAATAGAGCCTAATAATTTTATGTTACTTTACCCAGTTTAAGCTTCTTTCAAGCCAATGGGTTGGACTAAAAAACAAATGTCATTTTTCACTTTCCAACCAATGAAATATCTCTTTTGTATTATACAAAAAGATTATAAAAATTCAAACTTCACCATATCCTTCCTGGTTGATCATAAAATAATTCCTTTCCAAGCTACCAGGTCTGAATACAAAAGTTTAAAAACCAGTTTCCTAGTGCAAAACCCTACCGATGTACCTCCCACCTCTGGTTTTTACATGAGAGTACACCTCCATTCAGTCAGTGTCTTACTTAGCAAAGGCTGTGACTTCTGTTCATTTGCATATTGTTAACTATCTTTACCTTCAATGGTACCTTTACCTTTTCTTTCTACTATAGAAAGAAAACTCAATGAAAAAAAATATGTGCAAAAAGGCCCTCAGTAAATATTTATTATCATTACCAAATATTCCTAGAATCAGTTACACAAAAGGCTATTCATTTTTTACAATGGTGTGCTAAATAACATGTCAATTGTCACTGATACATATAAATCAGTTTTTTTTCTTAATTAAAATTTCTATTAAAGCAAATGGCCAAAATAACATCACATTATGGTTTGAGAAACATAAATGATTCACAAATAAGTAAACAAAAGAAAAAATCTGCAAAAATACCATTAAACATAATGTAATACTGAATGACAACTGTAATTTCAAAATTTTAAAGAGAATTTTAGATACCATTAAACGTGACTTGGAAGGCTGAAATAATTTGTATTTGAGATCCTCTAAGAATCTATCTTGGCAGCTGTCAGATACCAGAAAATATATCTAACGGTCTCCGCCCCCACTTCCTGGCACACAGCTCCTAAAACGCTCATAATTTTCCTAAGTGCTTAGAGTACTATGAGCATCTTTTGTTCTAATATTTGGTCTTTGGTGTCGATTTTTAACAGAGAGCTCCTAAATCCCTTGGAATGTCCTGGGTGATAGCAGTGTCTTTTGTGCTTCTGAGGAAATTCTGGGTAGGCTCCGAGATGGAAGCTGGTTACCAAAAAGACCAAGCCATGATTAGAAGGTTAGAACTTTCAGACACATGACCCATTCTCCAGCAAGAAGAGAGGGGATGGAAATGGTGTTAATGATCAACATGCCTATGTGATAAAGCCTCCATAAAAAGTAAAAAAATATGGGACTCAGGAAGCTTCTGGGCTGGCGAACACATTCACGTACCAGGATGGTAATGTACCCCAAGTCTGTGGGAAAGAAGCTCCCCAGGACCCTCCCAAACCTTCCCAGATGGTGAGGGGCAACTTGGAAAAGTTATTATACTTGCTGAAGTAGCACAATAAATGGTGATGTCTGGGTTTACACCCGAGCGTGGTGTAAATGCTTTCACTTAGTATGTTTAAATCTTAGAAAGTCCTCATTAAATAAATGAATTAATGGAAATAATTAAATAAAAGGAGAGCATTATGTCAAGGTGGAATTCAATGACTCTTACTAGAGTCAAAAGTAGTTTTGAGTAAAACTACTGACAAAAGATTTAAATGGCTAAAAGAATAAAAGAAGGTGACATTGGTACCATGAAGTCTAAAGGACTCAGCAAAGATTCTTCTAAGTAAATGATACAGAATGTAATTCGGGTCTGAAGTATATGAAAAGTGTGAAAGTAGACAGAAAAAAGGGGCTAACATAATGGATTTGACAATGTGGCTGTTTTATACAACAGAAGCAGCACACAGCATACATAGAGCCTAATAATTCCTAACTGGAAGGAAGAAGTCCAGTTGCAACTCACAGAGGTTAGAGAAGACCATGATCTATTAATACTGTCAATGTATTAAGATTAGAAGTAAAAAGACTATTACAAGATGGAAAAAATCCAAAATAAAAGTGGGCCAAATCTAAAGCTACAAAATAACACATTAACCATTTCTAAATGGCTCTTTATTCCTAACCGAGGTGGCTAACCACATACAAAGAAGTGTAGCTGCAAGGAAATGTAAATATATAAATGCAAATACTATAAAGGTATTAACTCCTTGGACTCAGAGACGAGCTATAAAACCATGTAACTTTTTGAAAGAATAAAAGACTGAAAAGAGGGAGAGCTCAAGGAGAGAATTTTATATGAATCACTAGGGTGTACTGAGAGGCAGAACTAATAAGCAGCTTACATCCAGTTCTAGACATTAGTGATCAAGATGCCTAAACTAATATCTTCATTCCTCTTTGGGCATATTTTACTTACAGATTGTTCAAAGCAATCATTTTATAAAAGTCTAGATACATATGCCCAAACTTAGTCTCTAATTTTAGTCTCTTTAGGGAAACTAAAGTCTCCTCAGTAAAAATTGATTCTTCTGGTCCTTTAAAACAAAAATACAATGATGGGTCGGCAAATTTTTTTCTCTTACCACCGGCAAAAGGCATACAACAAAATAAACCGTTCCCAGAAAAGCCTAAAAGAGACAAAGCTGAGAGATACTACTACCTGTTGATCTGTTTATATTTTACAACACTTACCTAAGCAGTTTATGACCATTTGTTGTGGCAACTTCAGCAAGGCTTGTTAAAATCTTCAGGTACTGGCTTTCACTTTGCTGAGACAAATGTTCTAGAACTTGCCGTAACTAAATATTTAACAAATTAAAAAATGTGATTATATAATAATCCATTAAACTTTATCAAAAGAATTAAGTACCAATAAGTATCCCAAAGCCAATCAGCTGAAATCAAATCCTTTACAGTCATTTTGCCTTCCATAAATTCAAAACCTAATATAGAAACAAGATGATATAAAATCTTTGTTCAAAGTCACCAAGGAAGCTAAAATATATATAAATAAAACAGATATCACCAAGTTTATTTATAGAAATTTAATTCTAAAATTTAAGTGCTATTAGTTAAATACTGAGTGCAGTAAACTAGTAAGTATCAATCATAACATGATATTCCTGTTAAGAAAGACCAGAGACCCACCCAGAAAAAAAAAGACTGATAGGTCAAATATTAGCACAAAGTTTATAATTATTATATAATTCATACTTATCCTATAATGCAAATAAACAAATTTATTATTATGTTATTATAAATAGTATGTCACAATAAATTTATTATATTATAAATATTTTTATTATTACAGCATGATAAATATTACCTTTATAAACATTGCATTATTATTACAGTATTATAAATATTATACTTATAATAAAATTAATTATAAATATCACAATATTTATAATAGTAAAATTAAGAAACACATTTGTAAACTGCCATATACGCTAAGCATGCACAAAGCTACTTCTTTTACAAGCTGGTAGCACAGTTACATTACCATGTTTTCTCGAAGATCTTCATTTTGTGTCATTTGAATAATTGTCTGGAAAAGCCTAGGGTGATACTGAATTAACACTTCACAGGTCTCTCCATATCCACCCTAAAAAAAAAGATTTATAATTATCTAGGTTTAAAAATGAAGTTCCTAAAGGAAAACTTGCAGGCTGTCCCCAGAGCTTAGGAGCATAGTCCCACAAGAGGGCCCCAACTTGGGAAGGCAATCACCAGTCCAGGCCACCCATACCTCTGACTAACCAGATGCAAGTCGGGAGTTCCCACAACCCCTCCTTGAGTTTGATAATTTGCTACAGGAGCTCACAGAACTCAGGGAATCCCTTTACTATCACCTATTCATTATAAAGGATGGGACTCTGGAACAGCCAATGGAGGAGATTCTCAGGGCAACACACATAGAAAGGAGCACAGAGCTTCATGCCCTCTCTGAGCATGCCACCCTCCGAGCACTTTGACACACTCACCAACCCAGAACTGAGAAACTCACGTTTTCAGACTTTTAGGGAAACTCCGTGATATAAGCATGATTTGGTTAAATTATTGGTCATCAGTGACTGAACTCAAGCTGGAGCCACTTCCCCCAGAAGTGGGGGAAGAGGGCGCCCCTTTAGTCACATGGTTGACTCCTCTGGCAAGCAGCCCACATTTTGAAGCTAAATAGGGGCTTTCAGCCACTAGCTATCTCATCAATATACAAAAGTATAGTCTTACACTCTGGAGATTCCAAGGGTCTTAGAAGTTCTTGTGTCATAAACTGGGATAAAAACCAATACATATTTCTTAGATCACAGTTCTTTTAAAGAGCATATTCTTCACAGAATAAAAATCTTTGGACCCACCCTCTCACTTGAGAAGAAAAGTGATTTTACTAGTCTATTTCTATGATAAAGTAAGGGCCTAAGAATATATAGTAACAACATACCTGTACACATAAATCCAGAGGGGTTACACCATTTTTATCTGGCAGGTATTTGGCTCCTCGTAATAGAAGAATCTGTGCTGTGTCTCTCTGACCATGACTACAGAAATAGAACAAAAATTTTTTTAAATCATTTTAATTTCAAGTTCTTCTCCATGAATGAAAACTAGAGCTCAGAAGAAATGCTATTTCACAAAAAGAAAGACTACTCAGATTTCTCTGAACCTTAAAAAAAACTACTTATTCCTTTTTTACAAAATGACACTGTGGAAAGTATAATTTATAACCAATTGGAATTAAAGATTAAAAAAACAATACAAGGGGGATCACACAGTATTAACACAGATCACTATATACAAATGAGACACTATTCAATATATGTGGTTTGTAAAAAGTCTCAAAATAGGACTTCTGGCCAACACGGAGTATAGATAGACACACTGTGCCTTCTCACACAACCAAAAGAAGAACAACAACAATTTAAAAACAAAAAACAAGCAGAACTGATAGAAAATCGAACTGTATGAAATTCCAACAATCAAGCAGGTAAAGAAGACACATTCATCCAGACCAGTAGGAGGGGTGGGGACAGGCAGCTGGGTGGAGAGGGCTTGCAGCAAGGCGGTGGCTGGCAGACTGGGTGGTGCCCCATTTGCATGCAGATAAACTGGGAGGAACAACTGGGGAGTGAGACAGACTTGGCAACCCAGGATTCCAGTACAGGGAAATAAAGCCTCAAAGCCTCTGACTAAAACACCTGTGGAGGTTGAGGTGTCAGTGGGACAAACCCCCAGCCTCACACGAGAGTTCATTGAAGAGATCCACAGGGTCCTAGAAGGTACGCAAGCCCACCCACCTGGGAATCAGCACCAGAAGGCCCAACCTGCTTGTGGGAAGTGGGGGAAGTCACTAAAAACCAGCAGAGAGCAGACCAAGCGGTATTGTTCCCTCTCAGACCCCTCCCCCATATACACCATGACAACACAGTGCCTACCCTGGTGAACACCTGAGGCTCTGCCCCTTATATGTAACAGGCACACTGAGACAAAAAACATATGGCCCAAATGAAAGAACAGATCAAAGCTCCAGAAAAAATATAACTAAGCAATGAAGAGATAGCCAACCTATCAGATGCACAGTTCAAAACACTGGTTATCAGGATGCTCCAGGAACTCACTGGGTACTTCAACAGCATAAAAAAGACTCAGGCAGCAATGAAGATTGCATTGTGAGAAATAATCTACAAGAAACAGTGACAGGAAGGAAACCAGGACTCAAATCAATGGTTTGGACTAGAAGGAAGAAGCATTCAACCAGAACAGAATGAAGAAACAAGAATTCAAAAAAATGAGGAGAGGATTAGGAACCTCCAAGACATCTTTAAACATTCTAACATCTGAATCATAGGGATGCCAAAAGGAGAAGAGGAAGACCAAGAAATTGAAAACATATTTGAAAAAATAATGAAAGACAACTTCCCCAATCTGGCAAAGGAAATACACTTCCAGGAAGTCCAAGAAGCTCAGAGAGTCCCAAAGAAGTTGGCACCAAAGAGGAACACACCAAGGCACACCATAATTACATTAGACAAAATCAAAGAAGAAGAGAATCTTAAAAGCAGCAAGAGAAAAGGAAAGAGTTACCTACAAAGGAGTTCCCATAAAATTATCAGCTGATTTCTTGAAAGAAACCTTGAGGGCAAGAAGGGGTTGGAAAGAAGTATTCAAAGTCATGAAAGGCAAGAACCTACAACTTATTTTTTTATATTGATTGAGATACACTCCCTTCAAGAATATGCAATGTGTTTTTGGGAAACCAAGAAGTTAGCAAAGATTCAACTATTAAGAAACCTGTAGTGCACCTAAAACACTTCTGATTTCTCAAGCTCTTTCAGTGATATGATTTGAAAACTTGGCATAAAGTGCAATATTTTTAGGGAATGCTTATGAAACAAAGACACTGTATTTTTCCAATGGTCCTTCCCTATTCTGTATGTTTACAATTTTGAGTCTATGGGCTGTTTAAACCCAATTTATTTAACTCTGTTGCCTTACAAGGCAGATACAAGCATTTCCATTTCACAAAGAAACAATGCTTCAGAGGTCAAGAAACCTGACTAAATTTTCAAAGCTTTGGGCTGCTTTCAAAACTTAATGCTTTCTCCTATACATCTTAATAACTTTTGGGTTTAATTCAAAATAAAAAAAGTTCTGATAGTTGATTATTAAATAAGATACATGACAATACATCTAGTAATACATCTTAACCAATAAAATCTTGCATTAAATTTAACTTTTTAATCTTCAAGCCCTATAATTTGTCTGCAGGGTCAAGCTGTTTTAATTCCCACATTCCTTTTCCTTTTGTTTATCAGAGACCACATATAGATAATAACTATATCTTTAATGTATAAGAATACCTAGAAAACACAAATACTATGAAAAGACTGCTTATAAATGAACCATATTCCATATCTATTGCCCTGCTCTAATATGATGAATTCATTTTCCAGTTTCAATTTTAATCAGATTTGCTTAACCATCTTTGTTCAAAGAGATCCAATGTTTGCTAAATCAAATCTTAATGATGGGGGCCCTGGCCAGATAGCTCAGTTGGTTACAACGTCATCCTGATATGCCAAGGTTGCTGGTGTGATCCCTGGTTGCGGCACATACAAGAATCAACTAATGAATGTTTAAATGAGTGGAATAACAAATCAGTGTTTTTCTCTCTCTCACTCTCCTTACCTCTCTCTCTCTAAAATCAATTTTTAAAAAAAACTTAACAATGGAAATATAATACCAGCAGAAAATACTTCTAAAGATTTTTTTACCATATCCCTATGCTTAGACTAACTATGTTAATATACCAGTTCTGTACAGTACTAATATACTTATATTTTTCTATTATATATAATATTTTTATAGAAAATATTTCTCAAACACGTAATTATAGTGACTGATTCATTCAAAAATGTCTATTAAGAATTTCAGCAGAAAGCACGATACTGAACATTGACTGTGGTAAATAAAATAAAATTCTTGCTTTCACTGAGCTTTTGGTCTAGTAGGGGAGACACACTATAAACAAGTAAATAAACAATTACAAAATATAAAGTACTGTGAAAGAATTGCTCATAATGCTGTAATAGAAAATCTGGGGAGAGGCCCTGACCGATGTGGCTCACTGGATTGAGAGCCTGCCTGGGAACCAAAGGGTTGCCAGTTTGATTCCCAATTAGGGCACAAGCCTGGGTTTCGGGCCAGGTCCCTGGCTGGGGGCCCACGAGACCACATATTGATGTTTCTGATCCCCCTCTCCCTCCCTTCTTGCCTCTCCCTAAAAATAAATAATTAAATCTTCAAAAAACTAAAAAATAAAATTTGGGGAGAGGCAAGGAGTCAGCCACATAAAAAGCCCAGGGAAGCGCGTTTCAGGCAAAACAGACGGGATGTAGAAAAGCCTGATGGAAAGAGTTGGCTGTGTTGTGGGAGCTCAAGACAACCAATGTGGCTGAAGAACAGTGAGCCAAGCCAGAGTTCGACCACACAGGTCTCACAGGTGAATGCGGAGTTTGGATTTTATATTAAATGCAACAAAGAAGTACAAAGAAGTTTTAAATACAAGGTTTAAACACAAGGGAACAAGACCGATTCATTTTTTTAAAACATCACTTTGGTAGCTGAGGAAAGAACGGATGGAAGGAAAATAGAGGAATTAGGAGGACCAGTTAAGAGACTACTGCAGTACGCTAGACAGAGGGAACAAACTTTAACCAAAGAGGTTTCAGTAAATCAGAGAGAATAAAGAGATTCAGAATACATTCTGAAAGGGGAATTTATAGAACTGACTAATCATTTCCAAGTTAAAGGTCAGAGAAAAATAAAGAGAAATAAAAAACAATGATCTAGTTTCTGGTTTAAACTGGAAGGATATAGGTTCCAAACACTGAGATGGGAAAAACTGAAGGAGTTTTGAAAAGGAAAATCAGAAAGCTGTGTTTTAGGAATCAATATTTCAGGAGACTTGCAAGCTATGGTATAAATCAGACAGGTGGACGTTCAAATCTGAAGCTTCAAAGGAGGGTCTTATCTAGAGATAACCCCTCAGGACAGGATATAATTTCACAGAATCAAATATTACTCATAAATTCAGGATACTATGGAAAAAAACTAGTTTCCTAGCCAAGCAACCAAATAATAATTATAGAAAATAACTGCATTTAGATAAGATCTAAAGTCTAAAACTCCAAAGTCCTTGCATTCTAACTCAAGGTTGTCCGATGATTTGCATCAGTCTGGATCAACGTAACATCAGAATTCCTAAAGAGAAGCTAAACAAGAAGCAAACTAGGTATTTCAGCCTAAAATAAACCTCCAATAAAATGATATAAAACAGGAAAAAGGATAAAGAAAAAGAACAGCTTTTGGAAAAGCTGTATATGTCAATTCAAGAGCCTAACTAAATTATTATAATTCATATACTCTGAACCGAAGAGAAGAATCACTAGTGTATTGTGAACTGTTGCTAACTACAAACTATATTTACATAACATTGTGTGCACATGTGTGTATCTATGTGTGGGAGGGTATATGTTTATAATTATTATATTGTTACCTCCACAAGAACTAGGGTATATTTATTATGTATCACTAATGCCTATAATAATGGATGGTAAACAATAAATGCTAACTAAAATGTGTGCATATTGCATAAATGAATCGATGAACAAAATGTATGCTTTAAGAAAATTAACCAGGACAAAGTGCAAAAGTAACTTAATGCATGATTTAATTTTTTTTTTTTTAAGTTACAAATCCAGAGAAAGCAAAGACATGACTCTGGACCAAGACATACTTTAATATCTTCTCTCACTGGAACTGACCTGGTACTTAAAAAAGTTAAACTATGAAAATTACTGTATTATGTGTCCTCTTATTACTTAATAAGTAATTAATCTAAAATTTAATAATCAAATTAATGTAAAACTCCATTTATAGCATATAAAAACAATAGAAAATACTTTTCCTCGTGCAGTTAAGTAACAACTATAATGCTATATACTATATCTTAAAAGACAGCTCAGTATTAATGAGAAAACAAGAAAGCCTTAGAAAATATACAGAAATGTTCGTGCCTGGAAATACAGCTCATACACAACATTCTTTAATGACAGTACCTAGAAATATAAAATATGATACCTGCAAGCAAAGTACAATGGAGTGGCTCCTGATACATTTGGCCTGTTAATATCAGCACCACTGTCTAGCAAGCATTGCACTGTCTGGGGAGAAAAGAAACAATTAAAAATAAAGCCAGAAAAGTCAAACAAAGACAAAATTATCACAATTTTTATTCATACAAGGAAAGTTCTTGCCACAACTTGAAGCTCTAGGGATTGAGTAGCAACATGACAATTATAATAGCTGAACAAATTGAACTTTTGGTAAGCTCTCTGGGTTTCTCAGGCACTATACAATATATGAGAAATTATCAATGTAACATAAACTGGTTAAACTGGGAAGGCTCTAGGAAGCTGGCACAGAGAGCCACCAAGGAAGTTAAATTTGGCTAGTACATCCCTGGCTGGGTGCCTCAGTTTGTGGGAACTTTGTCCTATAAACTGAAAGACTGCAGGTTTCATTTCTGGTCTTTCCGGGTGAGTACAGGAGGAAGCTGATGTTCTCTCTCACACTGATGTTTCTCTCCACCCCTCCCCCCAATTCAATAAACATATCCACAGGTGAAGATTTTTTTTAAGTAGCCTTAATTTTTTAAAAATTTGGTGCCCTGGTTGGAGTGGCTCAGTGGATTTAGCACCAGCCTACCAGCCAAAGGCATGCTGATTCAATTCCCAGTCAGGACACATGCCTGGGTTGTAGGCCAGGTCCCCAGTCAGATGCACGCAAGAGGGAACCACACATTGATGTTTCTCTCTTTTTCTCCCTCCCCCTGTCTCTAAAACTAAATAAATAAAATCTTTTTTTAAAAGGTTTTAAAAAATTTGGCTGGCACAAATAAAGAATTTTATTTTATTTTATTTTATATTTAATGTAAGTTTAAACAGCTATGCACGGCTAGTAAATTGAATGGTACTGATCTAAATATTTGAATTTAAAATACAAATTTTTTGCCTCTAAAAAGAAAAAACACATGTCACAGCTATAACTCTCTCAAAGTCAAAAAGCATAATTGTTAAAGTATAAAATGTTAAAAAGTTAAGAATACTTTTGCTATTAACAGCAGCCAAAATTGACTCAGTTTTTCTGACCATCATTCCTATTGTCTCACTTCCCCTAAACTTTCCTTCTGTAACCATCAATTACTAACAAAAAGTAAGTTAATATAAAATCTTAAGAATATATATCTGATGATTAGGCGTTGGGCAAGGCTTGCCTAAAAACTGTAAGAAGGAGAATCTTTTCTGGTTTTATTCCTATGACCCTCATTTTAATTTCTCCTGAAAAAGAAAATGTGTAAAACTTAAGTTTTAGGAATCAGACTGTTTAATATTATTTCTGCACTGAACACATATGTTCATTTTTCTCGCTGTTCTAAAACCTGGTGCAATGGCAGTAAAATAATCATCCCATAAAAACCCACAAGGAAGAACAGGAAGGAATACAACAGCATACTAGATAAGTCGATCAGTTTGGGAAAATGCAAACAATTAAAGAAACAGTAACTGACTTAGCAGATCAAAGAAAACTAAAGTGTAAGTGCCTATAAACAGGGATTCCAACAACAAATCATCAATGCTTGCTACAGAACACAAAAAACACAGTAGTGGATACCACCAAGAACTTTGGAACATCAGAATAGTGACACATAGCTAAGAGCAGGAGGAGTTGAAAGCCTATAAAAGAAACAGCTGGGTCTTCTCCCAGAACCCCTCTTCCCCGGCCCACACAGTTAGCTACTAATGCACCTGACACTGTCTCAGGAGGAAGGTTTATTCTCTGGACAAAGTGAACAGGGAGGTTCTAGGCTGGCAGACATGAAATATACTTTACTCAGCAGTAATCAATATTTACCTAAGTATATAAACAACTAATATTATCTAAGCAAAACTTATGGTATAATTAATTTTAGAAATGGGGGAAGAGGGTATGGGAAGAGGATTTAAATTAGTTAAATCCTCACACACCATAACAAGAACTGACTTGGTGCTATCTACAAGTTATGAGCTGAGAAAAAGCAGCAGAAGCATGTTATTTGGAAATAGATATTATCAGAAAAGCAAAAAGAATTGAATACTGTTGCCTGGTGATCATAACTTGACAAAGAAGAAGGAGGGTTTAAAGGGCTATTATTTTTTTATTACGAAGGTTTTAATAAAAATATTTTAATACACTATTCATGTATTCTATTCTAAGAGGAATTCTAAAATCTATATAATCTATGTAATATAATAGAAATATTACATAAAACTTTATTATCACCTTTAAACTGAGCATATGTGTTCTAGTTCTAGTACAGCTTTCCTTTCAAAGAGAAAAAAATTAAGCATTTGGGTCATTTTATAAAGCCAAATTGAGCATTTTGATCATGGCTTTCCTCTTTTTGATTTCTGATCTAGAAATCAAATCTCTGTATAGTCCCAAAACAGGAGATGGATAGCAGCAATAATGTTTACTAACTGTTACAGAAATTATAGACAATAAATTATCTCTCAAAAGGCTCAGAAAAGCCCTGACCAGTGTGGCTCAGTGGGTTAGATGCCATCCTGAGAAATCAAAGGTTGCCAGTTCAATTCCTGGTTAGAGCACATGTCTAGGTTGTAGGCCAGGTCCCTGGTTGAGGGCTAGCAAGAGGCAACCGACTGATATTTCCAAATCGATGTAACCCTCACACATGTTTTTCCCTCTCTTTCTCCCTCTCTTCCCCCTCTCTAAAAATAAATAAATAAAATATTTTTAAAAGGTTCAAGAGAGATAAAAGCAAATATATATATATATATATTAGTATGTGGTTAAAACCTAGCAATCCAAAGAGTGGCTGAAATCAAATAATTAGTAACAAAATATACTATGCATTCATAAAAAGTATAGCATTGTCAAAACTATTTAATGATATAATAATATGAATAACTTTAACATGTGTGTGGACACTGTGCAATAGGAATTTATCATTTCATTTAATACATCCCGTGAGAAAGTCAATATTCTCTCCACTTTTATAAGCAGGAAACTGAGTCTCAAGAAGGTCAAATAATGTGCATCCCAACACACAAATAAACAGGGAAGCAGGAATCAAAACCTAAAGCCCATGTTCATCACCACTATGCTATTTACCTAAGAAAGAATTCTAATTTGTCTGAATCCAGGTTACTAATTATGACTAATCTGGTGTATCTCATAAGCTACATTACTCATAGATGACCTAATAATTCCCTATTAAATAAATGCCTAAACAGGTATGTTTTGTTTTTAAGTAATGCTAAAACAATATACTTTTTATAATACTTCTCTATTTCTGTTTATTTCTGTTTTCTGTAGAGCTTACAGTATATAAACAATTTAGCCATTAGACCACCATATTCTGCTACTGTTCTCTTCAACAAAGTGGTGAGACAAACTTAGGGCAAATCATAGCAAAAAAGCATGATTTACAACACGAACTATCGTATGATCCTAATATATCCTTGTACACAGGAAATATTCTACAAAGTCAGTAGAAATTCTTTTTTTATGAGAGAAAAACACTCAGGTGGAAATAGCTCACTCTAGCCTTTTCTTTTCCATTATAAATTTTTCTATTTTTGTTTTAACAAAATTATCCCAATTAAGATTCTCAAAACAGTCAACTAGTAAAAAAAATTTGTAATAAGTTTTCAAAAGCTTCATTTATAGATTGTACATAAAATGTTACCTGATGACAAACAGGAAGAAAACCCATTTTCCTCAGAGTGAAGATAAGAAATACACAAAGGAATTTGAATGAGAAGAATAAACAATCAGCTTACAGCACTGAAATGATCGTAAAGTCACCAATCTTTGTAACTTAAAAAAAGGGGGTTTTTTTGCACTTTATTTTGTAAAAGCTCTGAAACAGGAAGAGAAAGTCCAATACACAATTCAATGATCAATTGGATGGTATAATGGGACAAGGAGCAAGAAAGTCACAAAAAACCTAAATTGCCATTTAAAAAATGTCTCCAGTCTATGTAAATGACTTATATGTACACCAAGGGTAAAATAACTTTGTAACTAGTAAAACTCAGATAGACTAAATTGAGTGTTTACTAAAACAAACACACAAAAGCATCTGGAGAAACAATACTACTTAAAGATATTAAACTATATAGAAGCATAAAGCAAAAACATAATTGAAGAGAATAAATAAATTCTGGATCCAATTACTAAAATCCCTAAGGATCCTCAAAAGGGAAGATTTTCAGCAACAAATACCGATAAATCAGATATGACTTTTTATAAGGACCAGTACTATCAATTCATTATACTTAAAGGTACAAAAGAAAGAAGTGAGCCCTGGCCAGACAGCTCAGATGGTTAGAACTCCACCCTGAAAAGCCAGGTTTCCAGGTTGGATCCCTAGTCAGGGCACATATAAGAAACAAACAGTGAATGCATAAATAACTGGAACAGTAAGTCAATGTCTGTCTCTCTCTCTCTCTTCCCCTCTCCCTCCCTCCCATCTAAAATCCATTTTGTTAAAAAACAGTGATACTCAGAAATGGAAAGAGAATGCCGGAAATAAATTGGTTGAAATGATATAGCAAACGAGTAGTCCATTCTTCCCATCATTCAACAAAAATCTCAATGTCTATTACGTGCTAGGGACTACTCTAGATGCTTACAGAAACTAACAAAAGGGACAAAACTCTCTGCCTTTATGAAGCTTACATTCTAGTGGAAAAGGAACACAAGGAGACAAAAGAAATAAACAAAATATCTAGTGCACTAGCTGGTAATAAATCCTATCCAGAAAAATTATAGAATTTGAAGGACAGATTGAAATTCAATTTGTTTTAGCATATTTCTCACCCTTAAACCCCTATACAAAATACTTCTGTGAAAACTGTTTTGTGTCTTATTTTATGGCTTCTCATTTACTTGCAAAAATTAAGCTCAGCAGCTTATAATTTAGTAACTATAAACATAAAAGTATACCAACATAAATAATTGTGGCCAATAGCTGCTCACTTCTATTTTTTAAGTTATCACAACACAATTTTTAAGATGACACTGAACTAATATCATTTTATGTGCCTCATTTAAATCACCAAAATATGGTTTTAAAATAATTCAGAATTTGAAATTCCCTCCTCCCCTTAAAACATAATTATTCTCATATTTCTAGATAATCTACAGTGGAGGCTGGGGGTCTCCTTCCTTATGGAATAAGAAAGTACCTGGAAGAAAACTTGAAGAAAAAAGCATTGAAAGGGGATTTTCATATGGGCTGAAAAAAATCCTTGAAAAGAAACAACACATTTTCAACAGATTTCATGACCTTTCAAATGATAAAACAATATCCTGAGTAGAAAAGTAATGTGCAAAGCTAATGTTTGGGTCAATCACAAAAGTCATTTAATTGAAGGCAGTGACTAACAAAGACCACCTGTGCCCAATACACTGATAAATTACAAAGTAAGAAATCCAAGGCAGCTCTACTTTATCAATGCCAAGTCTCTAAACAACACTGATCAAAGTAAAAAGGAATAGATATTCAATATTAAAACTACAGGTAAAAATCTGTTATGGTTTACCATATGCCGAAAGACCAAACAACAACAAAAAAATCTGTTTTATCTTTCATTAAAATTAATTCTGTTTATTAATTAATGTCACCCCAATAAATTTAATTAAATTTTTAAAGTTCTGAACATTAGAAAAAACTCTGATGACATGACTTAATGGCAATATACAAATAAGCACTAAGAAAAATGGCCAACTCACTAATCTGTGACTGGTTTATATGTCTTCTCTAGAAACCTGTCCACGTATAATAACTACAGAGACTTTGAACTCTTATGTAATATCTAGCAAAAAAAATCAATATTATCCATTCATATGAGAAAAACCAGAATAATAAAAGAACTTTCTATTTTTTCCCACATTTCCCAAAAGCGGTAAAGGAGAAGTCTAACATTAGAATACTCAAAACTGAAAAATACAAAAAATATATAATGTTAGTCTATCTTTTGTGCCTCAAGGCTAATCTATCAGTGTTTTCACAAAGCTTTTAATTAAGTATGTTTGTCCTATAATCTCTGGATGAAAAGCTTGGAAGCTGGCTAAAGATATCAAGAGAGCTGACTGAACAGAGGAGAGTGAGCCCTGTTCCTTAACAAGCCTACAGTTTCAGCAAAAAACAGTCAGTTCTATGAAAGATAGTCTATAATACCAGTGTCAAAGGACTGCTTTTATGTTTCAGGAGCTTAAATCTACTCGGTCCAGCTAACATCTTATATGTTTGCAAAGTTTCATATTCAGGATATAAATTTAGCAATATAAAATTTATTCTGATAAAAATTAAATTTATTTTATAAGCAAACTGAAACTTGTCCATAAACTAATCCTGCTGTGTACTCTAACTTACATAAATTAAGATAGAACCACCTGATAGTTCTCTAAGATTTCTAAATCCAAGTTATTCCAGGAAAACATTAAGCATCTATTTGTGGCAATCTAACACATTCATAAATTTTAACTAATTACAAAAAAAAGTTACCATAAAGTAAGTTCAATTTATGGCCAAAAAAATCAAAGTCAATTACTCCTATACTCCTATGCAGAATAATGTTAAGTTTCACTACTTTTTCTAAAAATGTGTTTAAAACTCAAATAACAAACCAGACTAACTTACTGCACAAGAATCTGGCTAGTGCTCTCTATCCTGCCTTGCAGAATCACATTATCCATATTAATAATGACTGTTAACAGCACCCATACTATTGCTTTTAAGTGTCTTCCAACATGTTTACAACATTTTTCTTAATGATATAATCAGTAAAAAATATATACCTTAGCAGGCACATAAGGCAGGGGAAAAGAAGTTGACAAAGATTATATAATAAGCCAGCTGAATAATCAAACTCTGAAATTATTTGTTAAAATCAATATCCAAAAAAAGTCATAATTTTAATATTGTACAGCAAATAACACTGACCTAAGGAAAGTTATAAAGAATTATATTATTAATGAGTTATTATCATTTCCTTCACCTGATCATTTATAAATAGGAATAGTAGTTTAAAATCATAATGCTTATGTTGCATCTATATGAAATCATAGCAAAAATCACTCAACTTCTTAGTTATAACAAAAATGAACATAACAAATCTTTTAACTTTAAAAAATAATGTAAATCTGGAAATCATTTCTTGCCATTAAAACAAGAATATAGTATTCAATTACAAATTCGTTATTTTTTCGATTATGAGGTGTAGTCTCTAATTTCACTCCTAACAGTATGATCATGGATGAGTCACCTGATTTCCAACTTTGTAAGGCTGAATGCTCCACCTGTAAAAATCTACACTTAGGAGTATCAATTCAAAGCAAAAAAATTAATATATTGGCTAAAACATAATTTCAGTTGCAAGTGACAAAAACACAATTTTAAATACATAAAGTAGGTGGGGGAGGGATTACCATTCATCCTTGACACTTACCCTAACATTAGATTAGACAGCAAATTTCAGAGAATGTCTTAATCATAGCTATCTCTTTAATTTGAAAAGCAATGATGTTTTTATAAATGTTTTCTAAATAGCTTCTTTCCCTCTTTAAAGTTTTATATTACATTTTGTAAAAATTACCTAAGCAATATGCAAGCTTTTAAGCTTAAACATAAACTGAAAACTTGAAAACCATGTCTACACCAACAACAGTTTTGAATACCTTTTAATGATTTTATGCAAGAACTAGCTACTTTAAGACCATGAAAAGGCCATTTTCACTTGCCACTAAAATAAGTCACTATGATACCTGACAAAGTATTTTAGTCTCAGTATTCATCTTACAGAAAGATATACAAGGGGTTAAAAAAATCAATAATCCCTATCCTATAACAAATTATCATATCTCATAACTCAATAAATAATACCTAACTCAAGATAAAACCGTGCGCTTATCTACTGACATCTGAACACAGCCCAGAAATATATGAAAAATAATGAAAATTCATATCAGCACACCTATCAACACAGATTTTTAGAGGTACAAATTTTTCAAGATTCCTTCTTGCCCTAATTGAAAAAGGATTAAAGATGAATACAATGATTCAGAAAATGGTCAGTTTTAAACATTATCTGTATATGTCCTTGCAGATAACTATAATTGATCAACTATGACAGAATGGAATGTCACTCACTAATACAATCAACCCCAAGTCAACATGGGTTTTTTGTACACTTCCTCCTCTACTATATCTGCAAAATCTCACCCTGTAAAACTCATCACCACAGTGAAGTCAGGCTCCCTATAAATCTTCTGAGAATACAATTCTTCAAAGGCATTTGGCTATGAGGAATTCTCCCTTACTTTACCACACCTGCTTTAGGTTGCAAACCATATGGAATATATTATACTTATACTAACTACCTTTCAATAACTTCAGAAGGCAATTCTAAATTTCTAATGCAGTCTGTAATGCACATGTTTTGAAACAAGAGTTCCTATGTAATTCTTGCTCCTTCACTGATTCAAGGCAACTAAAATTAGCTTTTGTAGATCACTTCTAATCTGAATTCCAGCTTTTCCTACACCAGTTTCTGGGCACACAGGTAGATTTTGCAATCTTAGTAAATGACACTCCACTTATTTGTTGTAGCAAAACAGTGTTTATATCAAAGTAAGTGCTTTTCTGTCCTGTGAGAGCTACCAGCAGGACTCACTCTCTAATAAGCATGAGCTCCTTAAAAACCTCAGCCACTCGAAATTAGAATATTTGAGGTAAACCTTTTTTCATATGGAATACTTTTAAAATTTAATAATGTGGACTCTGAGAAAGTAAAAAATAAAAAGAAGGAATATACCTTGAAAATATTGGGTTTGTTTTCAGATGATAAAAAACAAAAAGCTTAAAATGAACACTGATGTTCAGAAGTAATTCCTAGAAGAAAAAAAAAACAATCCTATATCCTTTTTATTCAACTCTTATTAAACATAAGACAATGTCAACCTTGGCCTCACTCTCTTAAAGAAGTGAAATATTCTGTGCATTGAGGTCATACATAAAGCATCTAATCATGTAGGACCTTACATCCTGAACCCACAGGGAAAAAGTGTTTGCAGAGATGGATATCCATGATTCCACTAAAAATTCTCTCAACATAGAGATAACACTCAGATAGTACACAAAAAAAATAAATAAAAACAAATGAATTTTGTATCTTTACAGTTGGTGGTGGTGACTTTTCATTTTGGGTTAGTCTTTGTTGTTATAGTTATGATTAGAAAGTAAATAAATAAAATCTATTATGAATAATAGTAAATGTGAAAAAAACCTGAAAGTAACCAGGAAATCATAGAAAATTATAGCAAAACAGAAATTCATTTAAAATCTTATGCTTACGTTTATATAAGGCAGCAAAGTCTCCTAATAAGAGAGAAAACTACAAGCAATTTTAAAAGCCAAATGTTTGAACGTGGGAATAACAGAAAAGCATGGTTAAAGAACAAATGCGTTAATTTCAGAAATCTAAAGTCAGAAAGAAAACAACTGTCAGTCTGGTCCTTGTATCATATTCCAAGGCAGCAAACAGGATAACCCGAATTAACTATTTAAGCAATATTGGTATTCACACTTTTTACTTTTTAATCCCAATAACTGAGGCTTAGTAGTAAAAAATAAAATATGAACAAGTTGATAAAACTGAGAACAAAACATAATTGTTAGTTATATATAAACATACATTAAAATTTTACTATATCAGCTATTAAAAATCTACAAATCAGAAATAAAACTGAAATCTAAATTACAAATATTTTAAACAAATTTAAAGCACTATTTTCTATTCTTTTTTTCTACATAAAATATATAAGTCAGAAGTCTATGATAAAGAAAATGTAATAACAAGATTTTGCTATAATGCTTCATGTTCCCGATTATGCACAATAAAAATCTTTTCATAGATTCAAAGTTTTAAAAAATAAACACATGCAACTTAAAATTCTCACAGCTGAATTTACCGTCTTGTGACCATTCTGGCAGGCCACATGCAGCGCCGTCTGCCCCATTGCGTCCTCCACATCGACGTCACTGACGTGTTGTACCAGGTCATGGAGTAGTTCCGTCCGCCCATTCACAGCCAGCCAGTGTATCTGTGCAGCCATTTAGTTACTTAAAATTTATGCAAGAGTTTTTCATATAAAAATAGCAGATAAATAATGCTATTATTTCCCCAACTGTGAGCATAATACACACACCAAAGACTAAAATAAAAATGTAAGCCTGTATTTTTTTCCAGAATTTTTATATGGGGAAAGATGCGTCAAGATGTATGTTCGTTATATCACCATGTATTTCAAAATCAAGTACTTTATGGTTCAAAGTAGTGAAGTGTAGACTTAGGATTATTAAATACTCTGCTTCTTAGATGGTCCTGGAGTCTATGCATATCTTATCTCTGGAAAAAAGGTACTGAATATTTTTCTCTCCCCAGAAGCAAATATAAGTTAAAAAGTAATTAGTAAAGTAAGTATCATATTCTTTACTTTTTGTATTTTACAAGCAAAGTATTTATAAATAATAAAATATATAGAAAGGATAAAAAATACCAAACACCAAAAGTCTATCACTCAAAGATAATCAATGTTAAAACTTTGAACTATGTAAACCATGCATTTTCATTTGACTTTTTTCCCAATTAAAAAATGTATCATGATGATTAAGGACATGCACTCAGTGACAAGACATACGACTTCTATGGGCAAGAGGAATGGACCACCTCAAGATACAAGGCACCTTCAGTGAGGACAGTAAAGGGTGTCTACAGAAACCAGCCACCTGGCTGATACGGATTGTACTGTCTGATGCTGTAAAATGGTCTATCTCCACTATGCCTGTATACTGTCCAAAGTAATTTTTTTCTATGAACAACACTTTTTAAACAAATCAAAATACTTAAAATCTGAGCAGATGGAACTTAAAACCACTTTGTGGAAACATCAACCTGGGCAGCAAGAAAAAAACAGACATGTAAAATTTTGTTGTTTCCAGTCTGTATATGAAAAAATAGATCATCAAAAGGAAAAAATAACTTTGATTAACTAGTGTTAAAAACACAGGTTTACTAAATATATTAGTTGATCCTTCAACATAAGCTTCCCCTTTCATTTTAAAGGTTTCCATGGAATTTAGTTATTTTATCTTTCAGCCATATGCTAGCTTTTTTTTTCTCTTGCCAACATGTGTAAAAAGGGAAGTCAATTACAAGTGCAAAATATGTGGTATTCCTTTGTAACTCAAGTCATAAAATGTGCTGTCATGCTAATTAAAGCTTCCTCTTGCTGATACTAAATAAACTTTTGAAAAATATATATATCTGTATCACAAAAACTTGTTTTAAAATGGCAGCTTGAACACATGCATCAGACCTATTTCTTCCCCAAACACCACTAAAATGACAGTAAAGAGTACTTCATCTTAAAGGGTAAACTCAATATGGTAATGAAAAGAATACAACAGTAACCAATTTTAAAAACTGGAAGCTTCTGTTTGACTTGTCAAACCCAAAAGCTGAATCCTAAACCAGCAGTGGAGAAAGCCAAGGATGGCGATTCCTATCACAGAACTCCCCAGAGGCCGAAGAATCATCAGTCATCACCTCTGGAAGCAGAAGTGAATGTGGGACTACAGCCAGATCAGTTGAAAGATTATTTGATAAGATTTAAACCCTTAGATCCCCAACCCTTCCCTACTCTGCATGGCCAAGAAATGTCCCTCCTTAATCTGAGAGAACACAAGAGGCTTAAAAACAAATGTCTTTAACAAAACGTCTAGGTAAAAGACACTAGGCACATTGAGGCAAGAATAACACACTGAAAAAGGAAGGTGATGTGCAAGTTTACACACTGAATACTGAAACATTCTCCTCTACCCAGCATCCAGAAGACTAACCAGTTCAAGAGTAAATGCCTAAGGAAAATGACATCAGAGAGGATCCTAAAGGCAGAACGCCCTACACTGATGAAGCCCACAGTGAACAAACCTCACTCATTCAAAGCTTTCAAAGAGCTTTCTCCTGTCCCACCAAACATCTGACAAGTGTAGCTAATCTAAAAGACAAAATGCAAAATAAACTAAAAGCAAAAAGTATAGAAAAATGAACCATGATTATTCAAGAAAAAAACTTCAAAAGGAAAAATGAGATTTAATACTCCCAGAGAGAGAAATGGTGACTACATCCTTAAAACAAGAACACGATAAAAACATTTTTAATGGACAATTCCAAAAGAATCTCTCGAAAATTAATAATGTGATTAGACAAATGCAAACTCAAAAGATTTAGCAGATAATATTGAAAAAGTCTCCCAAAAAGCACAAAAAGACAACGAAAAGGAAAAACAAGAGAAAAGGTAAGAGGATTAAAAGGCTAGGCCAAGAGGTAAAATATTCAAATAATGGGAATTCAAAAAAGGAGAGAGTAGGGAAAATGCAGGAGAGAAAATCATCAAAGAAATCATTTATGAAAATTTCTTATGAGCTGCCACTACATGAGTTTCCAGGTTGACAAAAGGTCAGTATTATCCAGCCAAATGGATAAAATTAATCCAAACCAGGACATAGAATTATGAAATTTTAGTACTCTAAGGACAAAGTAAATTCTAAGTTTCTAGAGAGAAAAAAAAAACAGGTTTCATAAAAAGAATAAGAACCAAATGGCACCAAAGTTCAAAGCTGAAACCCAGAAGACAATAAAGCAATGTTTCTAAAACCCTAAGGGAAAACAATGTCCAGCCTAGAATTTCACTGTCACTTAAATTGTCAGACAAACTCAAAGACTCAAGTAGTATTCAGTCATGCTAACTACCAACAAATTTGCCTCCTATACATCCTTTCTCAGGTAATTACTAGAAATTGTACTCCAGCAAAGTGACAGAACAGTTACTAGAAAATACAGATCTAGAACCTATATAATAAAGAACCCAAAACCCAAGAGAAAGACAAAAGGAAGGGCTAGGATGATGGTGACATTCCAAAATGTGTAAAGCAGGCCTAGAAATCAACCAATGTGGCCTAGAGAGAACAGCAGTCTCCATAAGAGACTCCTCCAAAACTAATCAAGAAGAAAGGTACTGGCCCTGACTGGGGTGGCTCAGTGGGACAAGCATCTTTGGAAAGCTCACCTCATGGCACTCTGGGTCAAGGCACTTGCCTGGGTTGCAGGCCTGGTCCCCTGAGGGCATGTGAGAGGCAACCAATTAATGTTTCTCTCCCACGTCAATGCTTTTATCTTTCTCCCTCCCTTCCCTGCTCTCTAAAAATAAATAAATAAAATCTTTAAAAAAAAGAGAGGAGGAGAAAGGTGCTGAATACATATTATGAGGGTATAAAGCTTAGAGAAAGTTTGCTAACAAACTAGTAAGTACTTAGAAAACTTGAAAAAAATTTAAACTACAATAAGGCAAGAAATAAAAGACATACAGATTGGAACTAAAAACGATCTCTATTTGCATATAACAAAAAAATCCCATGGAATCTACAAAATCTCCTAGAACTAATATGTGAATTTAGCAAGTTCTCAAGATACATGATTAAAACACAAAAAGCAAACTCATTTCAACCTACTATAGAAATGATGCAGAAAACATGAAGAAACCAAAATTAAAATCATAATACCATTAACAACTGCTCCAAAGAAAATGAAATACTTAGCTATACACTTAAAAGACGTACAAGATCTGAGTTGCCGAAGAGTTCAAAGTGCTGATGACAGAAACCTAAGACATAACTAAATAGCAAGATATACTGAGTTTAGAACCTGGAAGATTCAACATAGTAAAGACATCAACTCTCCCCAAATTGATCTATAGGTTTAATGTAGTTCCTAGAAATTTTTGTCATAGACAAGCTTATTCTAAAATGTACACAAAAAAAAAACAAAGGAATCAGAATAGCTAACACAATCTTACCAAAAAAAAAGTAGGAGATATTACTCTACCAGATATTAAGGCTTACTATGTAGCTACAATAACTAAGACAGTGTGGTATTAGCCAAAGGACAGACACACACATCAGTGGAACAGAGCTGAGGACCCTGAAGTGAGCCTACACAAATATGCCCAACAGATTTTTGAGAAATATGCAAAACCACTTTCATGCAGGATGGGTCGCCTTTTCAACTAACAATGTTAGAGTAATTGGACTTCATAGGAAAAAAAAATGAACCTTGACTTAAGTGTCACATCTTATACTGATATGAGTTCAAAACAGATCATAAGAATTAGACGTAAAATATATGACTATAAAACTTGTCCAAAAAAGATCGGGGAAAATCTCTAGAATCTACAGCTAGACGGAGTTCTTTTCCATAAAAAGAAAAACTGTATATTGGACTTCATCAAAATTTAAAATTTCTGCACTATAAAAAAACCTAGTTAAGAGTTTGAAAAGGCAAACTAAAGATTTGGAGAAAATATTTGTAAAAAACTAATCTTTGACAAAGAACTGGTATTTTCAATATATAAAGAATTATCATAACTCAACACTTTAAAAATCCAATTATAAATGGGACAAATGACATGAACGATCATTTCACATAAAACGATGAAAAAATGGTCAAAAACCACAGGAAAACATGTTCAACATTAGCAATTAGACAAATGCAAGCTAAAACCACAAAAGGTATCACTATATACCTAGAATAATAGCTAAAATAAAGAACAGTAACAACACCAAATGCTGCTAAGGATGATGAAAAACGAGATTCCTGGTGGGGTTGTAAAATGATACAGCCACTCTGAAAAAGTCAGACAGCTCATTTGAAAATTAAACATAAAACTGTCATACCAACCCAGCAACTGAATTTCTGGGCATTTATTCCAGAGAAATGAAAATTTTTATATTCACAAAAGCCTGTACACTAGTGTTTGTGGTCATAGCAGCTTTATTCACAATGGCTCCAAACAGGAAACAGGAAACAACCCAGATGTCCTTCAACAGGTGATGGTTAAACAAACAGTGGTACAGCTACACCAAGGAATACTAGTCAGTAAAGTAAAAGAACCAAGTATTTATACACACAAAAATCTGAACCAATCTCCAGGGAACCTGATGAGCACACAAAAGCCAATCCCAAAAGGTCCCATACGGTATGATTACATTTCTATAATATTCTTGAACTGAAGCAGATCAGTGGTTGCCAGGAATCGGACATGGGTTAAGGGGATGAAAGGTGTGGTTAGAAAAGAAGAGCAGCACAAGACATCTCTGTAGAATTAGAAATGTTTGGAATATTGACTATGGTAATTGACACAGGGACCTACACAGGTAATAAAACTGTATAAAACTTAATACACATACATACACACAGGTAAAACTGTGTACAAGTAAAACTGGGAAAAGTTTTGAGTAAGATTGAATCGATGTCAGTATCCTGGTCATATTATATTATACTATGGTTCTGTAAAATGTGATCATTGAGAAACTGGGCAAAATATAAAGGTGATTTTTTTCTGTGTCATTTCTTACAATTGCATATGAATCTACAATTATCTCAATTTTTAAGTGTGATTATTAACTACATGAAAAACAAAATGCATTGTAAGAAAGTAACTATAGAAAACAACTTAGCCTAACTATGAATAGTTTTAATAAAGTCAAAAATTAAAACACTGAAAAATGATGTCACTAAAGTTATGACTATATTTGTAAAGGTATGAGGGAAATGTGCTTGTGCATGATGGAATATAAGGAAGAGGGACTAAAAAAAGAGAGCAATAATCTTATCTTCCAGAACATCAATAGCTGATGCCTAGAACTGAAAAAAATAAAAAAGGAGAAATATCAGCATGCTATTCAGGTACAGGAAAACAAAGTTTTTAAACCTATTAAAAATATTTGAAAGGAGTTGACTATGGAACGAGAATTTTGGAAGTTGGAAGGAAGATCAAGAGAATGTTTATTTTGGGGGGACAAGGGTATCATAAGGTATTTGTATATGAGTTTGAGGTAAAATGACATATAACGTGTCATACAATTCGCCTATTTAAAGTATACAATCTGTTGGTTTTTACAAAACTGAGTTGTACAATCATCAACAAAAACATGTATTCATTAGTAATCACTGCCCATTTCCTGAGACAGATAAAATACAGATATAGATAGATACAAATACACAGATAGATAAAAGTACACCTTGACTTTGCCACCTGAATGAAATCAGTCACCACTGACTTCAGTGTTTCTCACTGATGTTCTTTTTGATTTGTTGTCACAGAACTTTCTCTTAGAGGCAGTGAGTTCTTTGATAGTAGGTGGGAGATGGTATCAGTGACAATCCAAATAGATATTCCATCACTCCTATTGAATAATTTTTATAAATGTGCTGAATTCAGAACAAAGCACATTTTCAGCATCCCAGCTTCCTTCACCCAATGGGGTCAGTGAGCCCAAGTGTTGAATTACTCCCACCACAGTGGTCTGGGACGAGGCAGGAACATCCTTGGCGGTAACAGTATCCAAGAAAAGCAAGCACACCACACCAATCGGGGGCACAGGAGAGAACACTGAGGCTGGTCCCACGCAGAAAGAGAATAGAGACTGTTTTTCTACAACAAGCCTTATAGAACCAAATGACTCTTTAAATATATGCATAAATAATTTTTAAATTAAATTTGACTTTTAAAAGTTTTCTACTTCACTTCCCTTAAAGTTCAGGAAGGGAAGAAATTAGCAGTTAAAAGCTTTTGTAATAAAACAATTATATTAATATTGGACATCTTATCTTGCCTATACCAGATAGTGCCCTAAGGATAGATCTATATCAGTGACATAGTTTTATAACCTTCTCTGATACTTAGCATATCACTAAGCAACCAGAAAATATTCAAAATAGTTTTTCTTTATAAAGTAGATAGTGTTACATATATAACAATATCTGAATTATCACAGGAATTGTGGATTCTACACGATCATGATTGAGCTTATTCTTTAATAAGTCATTAAAAGAAGGATATGAATCTTAAGGAAGCTTTTTTTAAATGCTCTACTGCACCCCCTAAATTCCCCCACTACCCAAAAATTTTTTAATCAGAAAGGTCTTGAAAACTGGCATGGAAAGTAACTACTTAATATTCTCTTTATCCAAAATTTAAAAATTTAAAATATATAAATATTATCAAAGGAAAGTAAAAATATTTTCTTCCGCTTTACATTTAAAGTATACAATGTGATGATTGGATATGCATTGTAAAAGGAGTCCCACCATCCAGTTAACTAATAGGTCATCATATATATACATCACATATGGGCCGGTTAAATTTAATAAATAAAACTTAACATCTTCTGTCATGACTTCAGAATAATTTCTCAACAACCACAAAATTCCATTTCATCTCTACTTCTAACATGAATAATGCTTCATTACATACTGACAATTTAATTAAAATTTTTGATTTCAACAATCTCTTCAGAAATATCCCATACCATCTCCCTATAATACCTATGTAGATAAAAATTAAAAATAAACTATTTTAGAAAAAAGTGACATGGCAAAATGAATAAAAATATTAGTTTTAATAAAACATATTCTTCTGAAATAATACATGCCAAAATATTAACAGTGATTATCTCTGAGTGCAGGAAATACAGGTGAGTGATCATTCCCTTTGTTACCTTTTTTCCCTTTCTGCCTAGCAACACAATTTTCCAATAATGTAGATATGAAAAGAATTTAAAAGGACATAATAAAAAACAGCTCTCTTATAATGAACTCATCATACACCTTAGCAAAGATACTCCTAAAAAGTCCCTTGAAAGTCAATGACAAATGCTGAGAAAATGAAACCTCAAAACAAATGAAATGACAAATTGAAATAGGAGAAAAAGGAGAAATTTGGTAAACCATAGTTTCTCTGAATAAATATAGCTGAGAATTATATCTCAAGTCATTCTGCATCTTCTTAATTATCACAAATAAGTAACTTGCAGAAACATAGGTATTATTCATTGCATTACTATCACTTTGAATATTCTTTTCTAAAACATATTTTAAGAATCTCATGAAATTCTTAGCACTTACTGCTGTAAGGCCTTCATTATTACAAATGTTGACATCAGCACTGTATTCTAGTAATTTACTCATGCATTTCTTCTGCCTGAAAAGAGAGACAGTGATAAATAACTGATAAAACAACAATTGGTTTGCTGAAACATTAACTATACTCAATATCATTTAATGGCAAGTATCAATCTATATCCATAATATTTAAATAAACACTATAACATTTTAAATAATATACAAAATGGTTTCTATGGCTCAAAGATAATAGGATAAAGGAAAAGCACTATAGGAATTTTGTGTCACTGGGACAAATTCATCACTTGAAATGCCAAGATTTGCTCTGGCTAGTGTGGCTCAGTGGATTGAGCACCAGACTGCAAACTGAAAGGTCACAAATTCAATTCCCACCCAAGGCACATGCCTGGATTGTGGGCTAGGTCACTAGCTGGGGACCTGTGAGAGGCAACCAATCAATGCATCTCTCACACCTTGACGTTTCTCTCCCTCTCTTTCTCCCTCCCTTCCCCCCTCTCTAAAAATTAAAATTAAAAAAAGCCAAGTCCTGGCTGGTGTGGTTCAGGGATTGAGCATCAGCTTGCGAACCAAGGTGTGGCAGGTTTAATTCTCGATAAGGGCACAGGCCTCACTTGTGGGCTGGGTCTCTGATGGGGGACATGCAAGAGGCAACCACACATGGATGTTTGTCTCCCTCTCTTTCTCCCTCCCTCCCCCGTCTAAAAATAAAAAAACAAAATCTAAAAAAAAAACCTAACAGGAATTATAGAAGCATATACATAAAATTAATAAAATGCACCTTCCCACGCACTTCATTATTTTAAAATTATGTTCAGTGTGGCAAAATACACATAACATAAAATTTAGCACCTTTATTTTACTTTATTGATTTTTAAAGAGAAAGAAATATTGATTTGTTGTTCCATTTATTCATGCTTTCATTGGTTGATTCTTTTTTTTTAAGATTTTATTTATTTTTATAGAGAGGGGAAAGGAAGGAGAAAGAGAGGGAGACAAACATCAACGTGTGGTTGCCTCTCATATGCCCCCCACTGGAGACCAGGCCCACAACCCAGGCATGTGCCCCGACAGGGAATGAATCAGCAATTCTTTGGTTTGCAGTCCAGCACTCAGTCCACTAAGCCACATCAACCAAAGATTATTGGTTGATTCTTGTATATGCCCTGACCACAGATTAAACCCACAACTTTGGCACATTAGTACAACACTCTAACCAACTGAACTACCTGGCCAGAGCCAGAGTTTAGCATCTTAACCATTTTTAAGTGTACAGTTCAGTACTATTAAGTATAATCATATTGTACAACCATCACCACCATCTATCCCAAGAACTATTTTCATCTTGAAAACTGAAGTCCATCAAACAATAACTCTCCATTCCCTCTCCCCCAGCCCTTTGTAACCACTATGCTACTTTCTGTCTCTACAACTTGGGTTTATCTAAGTACCTAATAAAAGTGGAATCACACAGTTGTTTGTCTTTTTGTGCCTGGCCTAATTTCACTTTGCACAATATCCTTAAGATTTATCCCTTTTTAAGCATATGTTAGAATTTCCTTCCTTTCTAAGACTGAGTAATATTCCGCTGTATGCATACACCACAGTTTGCTTATCCATTCATCTGTCAGTGGATACAGAGGTTACTTTCATCTTAGCTATTGTGAATAGCTATAAACATGGGTATACAAATATTTCTTCAAGACCCCGCTTTCGATTTTATTGGGTATATACCCAGAAGTGGGACTGTTGGATCACATGATAATTCTATTTTTAATTTTCTGAGGGATTACCAAACTGTTTTTTCAGAGCATCTGTGCCATTTTACATTCCTACCAACAGTGCCCAAGAGTCCCAATTGCTCCACATCCTCACCAACATTTATTTTTTAATAGCCTTACTAATGAATGAGTTAATATTTAATTATTGTTTTGATTTGAAATTTCCCTAATGAATAATGATATTGAGAACCTTTTCATGTTTAGTAGCCTTTTGTGTATCTTCTTTGGAGAAATTCCTATTCAAGTTCTTTGCCCCTTTTTGAACTGCCTACCCATTTAATTTGCTCACAATGTTTTTTCTTAGCCCAATCAATTACTAGTCACTATTAAATATTCATCTCAATGTCCCCTTCATTAAATAATGAAATGAAAATCCATGCTTTGGAAACAAAGTATATATACACATATACACCTACCTGTGTGTGTATATAATATCCAGTTTATATATATGCATTAAGGAAATATACTCCATGGCATAAAAATTTATTATGTACTTGAGTAAGTAATTACATATATAAAAATACATAATAGTATAAGTGTTTTTATATAATAACTGTATTATGTATAGTATGTTATATATGTATTATATATAGTATTAACATGAGTACAGTTTCTACACATACAGTATATGGCATACAGAATATTTAGTACATATGTGTATATATAAAACTATTCAATTAGATTTTTTCATGCCATGGATTATATCATATTTCTTTAATAAACTCAGTACTAAGCATACCTAGGCATTCTCAATAAACCTCAATAAAACTTTATGAATTATTATTAATCTTCTTAAGTCAATAAATAAAGTTTTATGGGCTAAATGAATCATTTACAAAAACAAACTTCTTGCTTTGAGTTTTGTATCTAAAATGAAGTTTCAATGTAATTTAACATCACAATTATAATTAAAAAACAGAAGAAAATAAAGCTCTGAGTAATGTGTAAGTTCAAATGTTTATAAAAGTCCTTCATTGAACACACTGTTATGAAAACGTTCTAAAATAAATCTTCAATAATGCTAAGACAACAGAACAGAGTCATATTAAAATAAGTACACTGTTTAAAATACGTATGTGTGTTTGTGCTTATATTGCTGAATTTATAAAACCTATACTGAAGCCTGTCAGCTTACTGCCAAAATAAACATTTAGTGGAAATGGGCCAGTGGTATAGTCCCAAAGAAGTGTTTTTGGTAGGGGTCACTGCAGAAAAATAGCAGTCCGCAATGATCCTCTCAAAATGAACTGCAAATGGCACTTGGCAATATGAGAAAAATAGATCCTATTTTTCTTACTTAACAATCATTATTGCTACTTTCCAGAACCTGAGGTGAGTCAAAACAACCCACTAAGTGAACATCTATTTTGCTAAATTGGAGCTAAAACATTAACTAATACACGGGCTCTGCACTTTACGAGCTTACAATCCAGCCAAAAAAAATAAAGAAGAAATCATGTTTCAAATCTGAGCAATATGAAACCTAAGGATACACAATTTTGAAGTCTTCCCTTTTATTCTCATACAATAGTGAGCAACACTGGATCCTCCTGCATAGGAAGCAACAATCTTCCTGCCCCAATATTGCAACAATTATAGGAAGCTGATGGTAACCCAAATGATAGGGACCTGTCATCTAAGTGCTATGTGGCAGCTTAATGAGTCTTCTGCTGGAAAGGAGGGCAACTCAGTACTAAGGCACCCAGCACTAATGGGTAATGCTAAAGCAGGGCACCTGACAATGACACCTGAGGGAACAAAACAAAAAAACCCAAGAAACAAATGGACTAACAAAAGAGGCTAAATTCCCCTATGACTTATGCTTTGGTCTACACAAATAGGAACTCATAAAAAAATTAAAGTAAAAAGCTATTTCTGAAAATAAAAGAAGCTACAGGAAGTAACAAGTATTCAAATGGCTTAGCAAACATTTACTGAGCACCTCTAAGTTATACAAGACACCCATTCAATAAACACACCCATGTGTCCTTGTTGAGACAGAGTCCTGAGATTATTTTTCTTCATGTCACTTTTTCAAAGACCTCTGTCACTATTCTACCAACAGTTGGAAGGAGGTATCTAGATCTGAGATTAATTCAGCAAGGAAATTAATAATTTACTCTATGACATTGAGGTGACATCCTACAGCATATCTAATGTGGCCAATTATTATAAAACCAATTCTTTAATCAGCTGCTGTTACCGATTAAAAAGTGCATAACTAAACTAGTTCATACGCTAAATCAGGAAATGGGGAAGACCGGACAGGGTCAAAAGACTACGCCTTTCCCAGTCCAATTTACACATCACTAAGGTTCTTATGCTTTTGGTTTCACTTTAATCCTTGTATACAAATTTGTCTTAGACTGATGCAGTAGGAAATTTTAGCTCCATATCCACAGCTAGAATCTTAGTTCAAACAGAAAACAAAAATATTTTCAATAGTAATCAAAAGAAGAGACACAATGAAACAAACTTGCATAAAGAAGTCTTACAGCATTAGAAAAATATTTATAAGTCTCTCAAACTCGGAATCAAAAACTACTTATTTTCTTTTTGAACATAAACATTTTTGTCTGGTTTCTCAGTCCAACAGAATTTTAAGAAGTAAAACACAGTGATAGAGGCAGATATAGAGATGTGACAGCTAATATTTTTGACAAAAAAACAGAGAAACCATAAAAAGTATAGAAGGATTTAAAATAGCACACCATAATATAATAATGTTCATAATGATGACCAGAGTTATCAGGAAAAGGCAAAAATATATTTACATTTTGGAAATACTACTTTCATAATGGGGAAAAACTGATTTAATTAAAAAATTAAAAGGAGGGCTAGAAAGCACATTATTTATTGAAAAAACATTTTGTCATAACTAAAATCAAATACAGTCTTGGCACTAGAAGGAGTAAGCTACCCTTATCAAGAAAGCTTACTCTATCTAGTACAGCTCATTCTCAAATAATTACTATGCATAAACTGGATATAAAGTTTACCCTGTATTTAGTTCCACTAATAAAATTAAATTAGCAATTGGAAAAATGTGTCATGGAGTAAGATGTGGCTAAAGATTAGCAGGAAAAAAACTCCAAAATAGTAAGGTGAAAATTATGTTTTTCAGAAAATTAAATGTCATTATAATACAAGTAAAAATGAACTTCAAATATATTTTCAAGAAGAAAGATGTCACTAAACAATTTCATAAATTATTCAATATGATAGTTACTTAAAAATTGAATATGACCCAAGACCCTCTTCCCAAGACCAATACTGGGGGGAAAAATCAAATCAAGGTAGAGTACCTTGAATACTGATAATACAACTTAATCTACTTAAGGAAACAAATATTTACCCATTTCTAGCTGCCAAATGAAGTGGAGTACAACCGGAAATATCTTGGTAGTTAGGATTTGCTCCCTTCTTTAACAGCAGAACCAAGCATTCCACAGATCCACAACTAAAACAATATTAAAAACAGGTCAGATGCATTCAACAAACAGCGAAGTTGACACGGCTTAATTAAACAACAATAATCTCTATTAAACACACTATTTTTAAGGCCCATATTAACCTAAAGTTTGACTAAACTTCTGTCACAAATAAAAAATGTCCTCTACTCTAAGATACTACAAAGCCAGTGACAATGTACAGTTAGCATTTAAAATCTCATATTGGTAGAATAAAAAATTTTTTTCGATGAATGAACCCTCTTAAGTACATCTAGGGAAGACAATCCCTGTGCCTAACCTACTCTGATCCGACCTAGAACAAGCTAAGACAGGAGATAGGAGACTTGAGTCCAGTGCAAGGTTAACAATCTACATAGAGAAAGAATGCAAGCATAGCACACTCTGCGCCAACCACATACAGAACCACTCAGCAGTCCTCATGTCCCTCCATAACTACTGTGGGCCAACACGGACTCAAAGCCTGCTATTGATCATTACTCTAGGCCAGAGGTGAATCCAAAGTATCTTTAATCTTACTTTGCTGCAATGTGAAGCAAGCTTCTTTTCACACGTCCAAATGCATAGTTAACATCAAACTTTGAATTTGATAGTAGTTCAGAAACAGACCTACACAAAAGAAAGTTAAAGTGTTGATATGTTTTAAAAAGTTTTCAAAAACACATAGCTAAAGTTAGTAGCTCTTCAGTTACTCTTACCAATTGATTATTCAAAAGATTCTGTCTTGCATAAACTAAAAAAACAGGCATTGTTCTTTAAGTGTAGCATGGCGACCAGCACAGTATCATCCAAACCCCAACTGCCCTGACCGACAAACTAGTGCTGAAGATTTCCTCGTTGGCACCATGTCACCTGCTCTGAGGACATCTAAGTGGCCTCCGGCTCCCCCTAGATTCTTGAGAACAAAGGGAGTAGGGCTGGCTGCTCCCCTTGCAGAAAGCTGAGCCCAGCTATATTAATCCTGACCAAATAAGAAAAATCAGAGACAAAAAAATGTTTTCATTATTATCAGACAGCAATTTTAAAGCAAAAAACTTGTTTCAAAATATAGTTTCTTTTCACTTTCTTCTTGGCACGAAACTACCCAGTGGCTAACCACAGCACAGCTGTCTGCTGGAAATGTATACACCTCCTCCCACAATCACATAACCGTACCTTTTTTTACTTTATTTTTATGATCAACACAATTATAGATGTCCCCCTTTTCCCATCTTTGCCCACCTTCATCCAGCCCCGAAGAAACAAATACTTGACTTAATATCTGACTATTTACTTTAAAAAATCTCTTGCCATAGGAGCTTGAAAAATCTTGTTTAATTCACAGACAGAAAATTATAATAGGTTAAATAATGTGTCCCATACAACATCTATGTCCAAACTGCATGTGTGTACGTACATACAATATTCAGATAAACTTGTATTTCTCAAAAAGTATAAATTTGTGAATTAGGAACTCACCTATGTTGATCAGCCATAACCATTGGCATTAAGGTATAAACAGCAGTTTCATTATCTGATAAAGAAAAAAAAAAGAATTCCTTTATCTCCTACTTTTTCCAAAGGGTGATACCTAAGACTATTTAAGAGTTTTCTTAACTCCACATAAAAAGTGGAAGAGGTGAAAGAAGGCTGAGAATAGTGCAGAATACCAGAAGTATCGCAAAATTTGCAAAAATTCAGAATTTCTTATCCCTCTACTACTCATCCCCTCTACATCACCATAAAACTGCTTTTAGATCTGAGGGGAAAACTAGAGCCTTAATAGCTTCTGCAGCTTCAACAACTAAAATTTGTTTTAGTTCCAAAGAGGTGGTTATTGACTTCATGTTTTATCATAGTTACATGTACTTTGGGAGGTAAGAATATATGGCCCTGGCTGGTGTGGCTCAGTGGATTAAGTGCTGGCTGTGAACCGAAAGGTCACCTGTTCGATTCCCAGTCAGGGCACATGCCTGGGTTGCAGGCCAGGTCCCCAGTAGGGGACATGCAAGAGGAAACCACACATTGATGTTTCTTTCTTCCTCTTTTCCCATCTCTCTAAAAGTAAATAAGTATAATCTTTAAAAAAATAAGTACACATAGATATTAAAGCTATATAAACTAACAATTTTTAAAATTCCAATATACAGCCCTGGCTGGTGTAGCTCAGTGAATTGAGCACAGGCCTGCAAACCAAAGGGTCACTGGTTCAATCCCAGTCAGAACACATGCCTGAGTTGGGGGTCAGGTCTCCAGTTGGGGGGCCTGCACGGGGGACACAACCACACAGTGATGTTTCTCTCCCTTTCTCTCTCCCTTCCCTTCTCTCTAAAAATACATAAATAAAATCTTTTTTAAAAAAGTTTAAAACTAAAATTAAATTAAAAATACATAGTACTTGTTTCTTACCAATATTGTAACAAAAATATTTTAGAAGCTTTTATAAAACAGCATTAAAGTCTTAGTTTTACTTATTAATTTTAACTACTCACACGTTTTCATTTATATTCTATAGCATAAATTCATACAAACATGATACAAAAGAAAAAAAAGAAAGAAAAAGTTACATAAGGCAATAACATCTATAATGCCACATCATATTTATATAAGTTTCAGCTGGTGTTTGAATTTATTTTTATTTATTACTAATGGTCATTTCTCAGTTCAATGAGTTTTAGAGGTTTATGTTTTTTAAGAAAGTTACTTACAAAGAAATAACCCTGACAACTCCCACTTAGCCCTTAAAAACTTTATTTTTTAATCCTCAATTAAGGATATGCTCATTGATTTTGGAGAGAGAGAAGAGGGGGGAGTGGGGAGGGGAGGGAAGGGGAAGAGAGGGATGAGGAAGAAACCTGGACTGGCCTCCCGCAGGTGTCCCACTGGCGGATCCAATCTGCAAGCTTCTGGTGCACTGGAGGGACACTCTTACCTAATGAACCACCAGGCCAGGGCCAGCCATTAAAAAGCTAATGCCAAAGCTAACATTAATGAGTTAAATTCTGAGGAGGAGAATAAATATATAGTATCAAAGTATCTCCCCCAAATACTGATTAATTACAGAGAAAAATATAGTAAATTCATAGTGGAGACCCAGAGGATATCACCTAAGCAAGTGATACAGGGTAGTAACACCACCAGAAATAATACACACTGATATCGTTATAGCCCTGATATGATCCATTCAGAAGGGCAACATCACTTTTGCAGTATTCTTGCCAACGATGAATAACTTTAATCATGAGAAAACAGCAAACTCAAATAAAAGGAAATTCCACAAAATATCTAAATAGTACTCTTACAAATTCTCAAGGCTATTAAGCCCTGGCCAGATTACTCAATCGGCTGGAGTATCATCCTGTACAACAAAAAGATGCGGGTTCGATTCCCAGTCAGGGCACATTCCTGGGTTGCAGGTTTGATCCCCAGTCAGGGCACATGTGAGAGGTAACTGACTGAGAAGTAACTGATCACTGTTTCTCTCTCACACTGGTGTTTCTCTCTCACACTGGTGTTTCTCTCCCCCTGATGTCTCTTTCCCCCTTCCTCTTTCTCTGAAACCAATAAAAATATATCCTCAGATGAGGATTTTTTTTTAAAAAGTCTCAAGACCATTAAATATAAGGAAAAACTGAAGAATTATCAGTTTAGGGGACGCTAAGGAAACATGAAAACTAAATGCAATACAGTACCCTGGATGAGATCATAAAGTAGAGAAACGGCATTAGTGAGAAAACTTGTTAAATTCTAATATAATCTCTAATGTCATCAATGGTATTATATCAACATTAATTCCTCAATTTTGATAACTACAGTACAATTGTAGAAGATGTGAACTTCAGGGGACATTAGGTTTATAGGAACTCTGCACTACTTATACAACTTTTCTGTAATTAGTTAAAAATAAAACATTAAAAAAAAAAAAAAACAATGAAGGAGAAGAAGCTACAGCTCCATACCTGGAGACAGGAAACCAAAACGAAGCAGGAGCTGGGTGGGCACTATGGGTGGGACCACCAAGACCCAAGTTCTGCAGTAGTAGCAAGCCGATGATGCATGCAGAGTAAGGGCAAAGTGCCTCCAGCTGGAAGTGGAGGGAGAAAGGAGAGCTGGGGGACAGGCTAAGGGTGAGATGGACCCCTTGAAGCGTAGGATCCAGCTGGTTGAAGAGGAGGTGAACCACACTCAGGGCATCTGGCCACTACCCTGCAAAAGCTGGAGGAAGCCAAGAAAGCTGCCAATGAGAGCGAGAAAGCTATGAAGGTTATTGAAAACTGAGCTTTAAAAGATGAACATGGAACTCCTGGAAATCCAACTCAAAGAAGCTAAGCCAGAAGAGGCAGATAGGAAGTATGAAGAGGAGGCTAGTAAGTTGGTGATTATTGAGGGAGACTTGGAACGCACAGAGGAATGAGCTGAGTTGGCAGGGTCTGGATGCCGAGGTGGATAAGCGGATCAGACTGATCACCCAGAACCTAAAGTTCTGCAAAAGAAAAGTACTCTCAAAAAGACCAATATAAGAAAGAGATCAAGATTCTTACTGATAAATCCAAGGAAGCAGAGACCCGAGCTGAGTTTGTGGAGAGATCATGAGTAGCCAAAGTGGAAAAAACAATTGATGATTTGGAAGATAAACTGAAAGGCACCTCTGTACAAAAGGATGCTGGACAAAACTCTGCTTGATCTGAATGAGATGTGGAGCACCCCAGTCTCACCCAGCCGCTGCTCCACCCTCTGACCCTGACTCTGCCTGAGGCCAGCCTACCAGAAGCTGACCTTTAAACTGAGGGCTGATCTTTAACTGAAAGGCTGCTTTCTCCTTTCATTTCATCCCCCAACCCCACCCACCCAATGTCTTTTTTGCCAAACTGTCTCTGCCTCTCCCCAGAGATTCTGATTGGACTACAAACTGAGCACCTTTGGAAGCAACATTTAAAGGAATGTGAGCACATTGCAAAGTGTCTTTAAAAGTATGTTGTGATTACACATTTTATAATTACCTTTTTTCTTGTTGTAGCAACCATTTTAAAAACATTTCAAATAATTCCACAGTTCTCAAATTGCAGTCTAATTCCTTTCTCACTTTTAAAAGGTAACTTTTTAGCTTAATCCATATTGCCCTCTCCACAGAGGCGGGGGAAAAGGTATGGGCCTACATTACTGAGAGCCAAACAGAACCCAGAGAAAGAAGACTCCACTAGATGGAAAAATTGCTTTGTAGAGAGTACCAATCAATCCAGAAAGTGATGTAGGAGTTAGCCAAAAGAGAGTTATTCCAAGAGTTGGCCAAAAAAGAAGTGATGCTCTGGTGGGACCTCTCCGATACCACATCCTGACCCATCTCTACCCCCCTCAATGGTTCACAAAATGGACTATGTGCTCCTTATTTTGAAGGGATCAGTTATTTGCTATCGTGCCTCCTCAAAAGAAAACGATGTTTTGCCACTGATTAAACCATATGAAATTCATCTCATCACACTTTGCTGGGACCGAAGCTGCTGCCTCTAAAAGTGCCCTCTCATTGTGCTTTGTACTGTTAGTGCTGGAGAAATTGTGAATCGTTTACATACAAAATTGTTCATAAATTTTACATTATTTTGAAACTTTGCTTCTTTGGGGTTCGGGTGCACTGGCCACCCCATCTGGTTATGAAAGCGCTCTATAATCTGGGCTGGCAGTGTGCTGATTTTTAAAAGTTCCTTTCCTTACTCAGCACCGTCTTTTTGGTTAAGGTTCCTGTGAGTTCTGTTAGGTGTGCATCCTGCAGTTTGTTGGCTTAAAATGTACTCTCCTTTGGTGTGGTCTCTTTGGGGACCAATTGGGAGAAAGAGAAACCAACAATGCAACTATTTTGATACTGAAAATTGACAAATGTCTTTAAAATACAGAACCAGTCCTTCAAAAACAACAAAAAAGGAGGGAGAATTGTTATCATTAAAAGAATTTTAAGAGATAAATCAACCAAATGTATGGACTTTGTCTGGATACTGACTCAAACAAACCAAATGTAAGAAGATATTTTTGAGAGGGGAAAACTAATTATGAACTAGGTATTTGAGGATAAAAAATCATTAACTGTGGTACTGCAATTATGTTTGAAAAAACATAATTTATATATTTAGGAATGTATACTGAAGTATTCAGATATGAGAAGGAAATAAGTTGTTACTATTTCTTGCATTTTTGTTCATTATTTTACTATGTGGGGGTATATACATGAAAGGCAATTCACTGCTAATCAACACTCACAGGTTTAGTAGTGCATTTTGCAACTCTAAAATGCAACTCTTTTGCTATAAAAATAAAATACCAAAGAATCCTAGTAATTAACAGTCCACATGTTTTAAGCTATTATCTTAAAGGCACTGTTCTAAACACTTTGCACGCATCGTTTCTTTTGTCCTCGAAACCCCCTCATGATGCAGGTACTATTATTACCCCCGGAAAACCGAAGCACAAAGCAAGCTGGATGATGGTCACATTAAGTGATTCCACAGCCCTATAGTAAAAATCCTACAGTGAACCAGTATGCAGTACAGAGAATAATCAAAGATCTAAAGTACAAAATTATTCTTCACATAATTACAATACACTGTCATCTGTTTTGCTATCTTCCATATAGTTTTTGCTGTTTTTTTTTAATGTTGAATGCAACTACTAAATTGCTCCCATCAACTGAAACTAAAACACCACCAGGAGTTGAAAAACATTACACTAAGCCTCCCTGGGCACGGTAACATTTTTTTTCTTGATTTTTTAAAAATTAAATTAATTGGGATGACATTGGTTAATAAAATTATATAGGTTTCAAGTGTACACGTCCACGATCCATCATCCAAAGTCAAATCTCCAAGAGTGCAATTCCAGGATACCAAACCCAAGGTCAAATCTTCTGTCACCACATATTTGACCTCCTTTATTTACCTTTTACTGGTACCTCCCCTGCCCTCCCCTTCCTTCTGGTAAATATCATATTGTTGCCTGTGTCTATGAGTTATTATTTTTCTTATTTGTTCATTTATTGCTTTCAGTTTTACATCCACACATGAGAGCTATCATATGGTTCTTGACTTTTTCTATCCGACTTATTTCATTTAGCATATTTTCAAGATCCATTCATGTTGTCACAAATGGCAGCGTTTCACCTTTTCTTATGGCTGAGTAGTACTTCACTGTATCTGTGTACATCTTGGTTATCCAATCTATCCAGGGACACTTTTATTGTTTCCATGCCTTGGTCACTGAATAATACTGCAATGAACACAGGGTGCCTATATCTATGTGAATAGATGACTTCAAATTTTTCAGGTAGATACCCAGAAGAACGGTTGCTGGGTCATACAGCAACTCTATTCTTAATTGTTTGAAGAATCTTCATATTGTTTTACATTTTGACTGTACTAATTTAAATTCTCACCAGCAATGAATGAGGGTTCCTTTATCTCCAACAGCTGTTATTCCTTGTCTTGCTGATAATGGTCATACTGACAAGTGTGAGGTGGCATCTCATTTGTAGTTTTGATTTGCATTTCCCTAACAGCTAGTGAAGTTGAGTATCTTTTCATGTGTTTATTGGACACTTAGATGTCTTCTTGGGAGAAGTGTCTGTTCAGGTCCTCTAGTTTTTATTTGGATTGTTTCTTCATTTTTTTTCTTTTTCTTTTTGATGTTGAGTTATATGATTTCTTTATAGAGTTTGGATATTAACCCCTTGTGGGGGATGGTGTTTGCAAATACCTTCTCCCATTCCACTGGTTGCCTTTTTGTTTTGTTGGCAGTTTCTTTTGCTTTGCAGAAGCTTTTTAGGTTTATATAGTCCCACTGATTTATCTTTGCTTTTACTAACACTCTTTGTATCTCATATAATACATGTTCCAATAAAAATCTAAACTTCTAAACCATGACAATTTCAATTAAGTAACTCCACAATCGACAAAGTGATAAACAGGAAATACCTTGATTTGTGGATTGAAACTTATAAATTAAGATAGTACATAATTTTTAGTGAGCGTTAAGTGGGCATCATAAGATTCACATGGGTTTTATTTATAAAGTGTTTATTTACATAATATTTAGATGTAGATCTTATTTTTTCAGTCAAATCTAACCTCATTAAAATATAGCTCACATACATTAAAAGGTAGGAAGAAACAAGTAGAATCACAACGATAGTGCTAGGAGACTATCCAATAAATACTAAAAACAGAATATAACTTGTCGAGTGCTTCTTTCTCTATTCTCATAAAGACACTAAGTACTAGACATATAAATTAAATGTTCAGTGTTAAGAAAAGTTTAATCTCTCACTTAACCAGATATGTTGGCCATTTTCATTAATAAAGTTTCACAACTTAACAACTAAAAGGAAAACCTTAACAATTATATGTTATGTATATAACTACTCCTCAAATCATAAAATGGGAGTGATTATTTTAAAACACTGATAACTATCCTAACCATCATTCAAATATAGGTTAAAATGGGCTCAAGTCCTATTATTTTATTACACAAGCTATATTCACTGCAATGCAATAGTTTAAGACTTTTTCCACATAAGCGAACAATGTAAATCAACCTTTAAAGGTCACTGAGAATCCACATCCCTAAAGTAAGATCTTTCCTGTCCCTTCCTCTCTTAAAAGAATGTTCCTGCCCTGGCTGGTATAGCTCAGTGGATTGAGCGCGGGCCTGCAAACCAGAGAATCGCAGTTTGATTCCTAGTCAGGGCACAAATGTCTGGGTTGCAGGCCAGTTCCCAGCAGGGGTCACATGAGAAGCAACCATACATTGATATTTCTCTCACTCTCTCCTCTCCTTCCCATCTAAAAATAATAAATAAGATCTAAAAAAAAAGAATATTCCTATGTCAGCCCTGCACAGGATAGGGCCCAAAAACCTCCACTCCCTCCATTACTTAGTAACAATACTCAGGTTTTCATCAAAACAAGGAAATATAAATGTGTTGTCTCAGTATCCAAGTCAGGAAATCAAGTCTCTGCAGTTTAATACTATGTGACAATTTTAGAGTAAAGATGATTAAAAACTTTCCAACCTTAATAATGAGTTCCAATTAGATGCTTATTAATCAATGAATGAATTCTAGCAAAGCAAAATAAATATCTGATTAATTTCTAAATTTAGAGAGATCTTAGAAGTTCTGTTCAGTCTTCAAAATGCAAACACAATCTGGAATTTTATTAGAATGTGATACATAAAAACACACACACACAACAAACAGCCAATCTCACAGAATTCAAAAAGAGTCATCAGAATTTAAAGACGAAGATAAATTAAAGGAACAAGATGAGCACAGACTCATTATGCCCAAAGAAAAACAGATGCAAGCAAAATGCCACTTTTGCTGAACAACATAGGGAAAAGTTTTATTTTTAGCTACTCTAGTTTCCAGGGCTTCTCAGTGTGTTGGTGGAACCTTCCAAAAAAGTAAAAAAAAAAAAAAAAAAAAAATGCTGATATAATTAGATCTATAGTTCTTTTGCGTTATCCTAAGAAAATATTTATAGAGACAGACTAAGACTTTAAAAAGTACCAGCTTCACCTCACCTCATAAAATCTATCTTAACAAAATTAGACTCTATATTTGTTACCTATATCCTATGAAATCCTACAAAGTCATTAACCATATTTAAAGGTACGAAAAAAGTGGTATGTTTTCTAAAAGCAAATATGCAGTATGATCTTAATTTGGTAGAGAAAGAAAAACAATAGAAGGAACTGAAGAAAATACTAACTTTATTATTGGGTGAATAACAGAATTTTTAATCTTTTTTTTTCAGAATTTTGTACAATGAAAATATATTACTACTTTTAAAACCTGGAAACATTAATCAAATTCTAAATCACATTCATATTAAAAACTCTGGGATTTAAACTAGGCAATACAAATTGCTGTCAATAAACCTACACATGCAGTCTTCATCAACCTGTATCAATAATATGATCAGAAAATGAGTGAGAGCAGCACTTAAGAAACTCAAAAGTGGAAGTCTGAAAGAAAACAGAAAAAGTTGAAGCTGGAGTTCTAGTTACTAAAAGCAGAATTATCTTTAGTCAACTACTTCATACTAGCAAAGAACTGAATACAAAATTACTGAAAAAGAGAGACCGCAAATCATCCCTATTCTGAATCATAAGTAGAGACTAGAGAAAATTTTTTCAAGAAAATTATTCCCAAAATATCCAGATCCACATTTCTATAATGACTCCCTCCGAAGGTCTCCACCCCTAATTTACAGATCACCTCTCCGGCAGCAATTCAAATAAAGTTTTGAAAAAATGAAATAAGATAAAGTAATGCAATGCATTTAAAAAGTTAGCCAACATAATTGCCTAACCCTTTCCTCACATATATAAACGAAGCCTCTGAGAGGCTGACTGCAATCTCCCACTGCCACTAAAACGTCTGAATTCATGAGGCTGCAAAAAAAAAAACAGCTTTCTTTCTCATCTCTGCTACTGGGAGTATTTTACCTGTCCTGAAGGAACCCTGCCAGGAACTGCGGGGGTCACGCCCCATTCTTTTGTAGAAGCTTCCCAGCCCCCACCCACCTCTAACAAATAAAGAATGAGAGCAGGCATGCAATTTAAAGAAAAGTGTAAATACGGATCTGTAAACACACAGTATTTTAAGAATACAAGTTTGACCTTTGACAGCCTCTTATTTATCTATTGTGAAAATACAATAGAGCTCTACGCCAGGTCCCCCACCCCCACCCTGAGGCCTGTTAGAAACCCCGTCCCTGGGAAGCTCTCCTGAGCTCCGCCTCCTGTCACCTCCCCCCTCCCGCCCCCTCAAACAAGGGCAACCTAGGGAAGCTCACCTGAGCTCAGCCTCTCATCTCCCCCACCCATCCATCCACAGCGGGGAGCAAACGAACGTCACCTAAGCTGTGCCTCCAATCGCCTCCCTCACCTCCCACAAAACCAGTCCCTAGTGCCAAAAAAGGATGGGGACCCCTGCTCTACGATTTTGGGGCATATTTATGGAGCATCTTCCCATCCTCAGTAAGCAGCAACTGTAAAATGGCCCATAACTGCGATGTTTCTGGAATCTAGGTCTCTGCCACCAGTCTGGAGAGACTTCTGTCTATTACGCTTCTTCCACCAACAGGACCCCCACTGCCCTGGCCACTCCCGCAAACTCCCACCTGGGGAAGCTGAAGCAGAGGGCTACGCGTGAGCAGCCGGTCCCGGCCCCTCCCAGCTCAGGAAAGTAAATGCAGGTATTTTGTCAGCTTTCTGTACTTTTCCCACCGACCTCTCAAGGCCCAGGCTCCACCCCCCGGAGCCGGTCGCCCCCCATCCCAGCCCGCTTGGCCCCCCGCTCACCGTCGGGCAGCTCCACCGTGCGAGCACGCCGCAGCGAGCGAGTCAGGCGGTTGAGTTGCTCCATCGCTCTCTCCATCCTCGGCGCACCACCGCCGAGCCTGTCTAGCCGCGCTGGCGGCCCCCGCGCCCGGCGCCCTACATTCCGTCCCGACCAGTCCTGCGGTCAGAAAGGCTGGCTCGCCCCGCCTGCGCCTGGGGCTGCGAGGACCGCTCGGTGTCACGTTCTCCGTCTACGTTTCAGAGATTGCCAGACCGACCACCTAAAAAACACCCGCCACCTTCGGCTCTAGGGCTCTTCCGGCGCCTCGGCTCTTCCCTCTATGCCTTGCATGGCCTTCTGGGAATCGTAGTCCCGAGCCCGCCTATCCTAACCCAGCGACTCGGGCGGAGCCACGCTAGCTCTGCCCTGGTATTACCCCTCACTTTGGCAGTGCCCAAGCCCAGGTAGGGCAGTGTGTGAGGAAAACAGTGCCAAGTTTGGGCGTACCTCCACATTCCTGGAGAGACTTTTTGGGTGTCAACACGCCCTTTCTTGTGGTCCTCCAAAGTTGCACGGGAGCCGTTTCCTTGACCTTCAATTCTATCACTCTTCTGTATAGCAGATTGGAGATTTGCACAGTTCTTAAAAATTATCATCCTGGTTTTGGTACATTTGTTTTTCAGCTACATAAGTTGTATAAATATTATACTATTTTCATATATCAAATTTAAAGAATAATAAAGTCAAACAAATGCAATTACAGAATACACATTTTTCTTCATTATAAGTGACTTAACTGTAGCTTAATTATTTGTCTTTCTTACTGGGTGACTTTATAAGGATAGGACCCCACTCTGGCTTGTCTTGTGTCTTGTATTCCTGTGTTTACCACAGCACCTGACACAAAGTTGAAACTTTTGGGGAAGATCTGGGTGATGAATACTTCAATTTACTTAGTACAATGCTGAAGTGTTAAGGCGGTAACAGATCCCAGTGAGAAATCCAAAGACTCTGACTTCTTAAGTTGAAAAAAAACTTCAAAATACAAACAAAATGTGAAAGAAAATAATGTTCAGGAAATCAGTGAAGGAGATCATATTTACCACCTCTGCACAAAAGTTGAGCACAAGCCAACATAAAAACAAAAATTTGAGCAGCTCACCCATGAATGAATTAATCCATGCAGGTGAGTATGAACCTGGCAAACCCAACTGACAATGAAAAGACAAGGGGAGAATTTTCCCTTCTTGGATATTACCAATGCCAGGGTGATGTCAGAGTAAGAGACAAAGAAAGAATATGGATTTTCACATCTTCCTCAGAAAGGCAAAGTTATTTTTCCAATGAATGGGCACAGAGATGATGATAATGTATATTGGCTAGTCCAGAAAGAATAGTCTCACCCGCCCAGGAAATGTAGGGGCAAATAGTGGCTGGCATGGGTTTTCCCTGCCCATGCCATCCTAAATCAGTCCCAACCTGCAACTACCAGTCACTGGTGCTAGTGGCGCAAGAGGCTCAGGATAGGCATTCTAACCAGTAGGTTTAGATGAGACCTAAACCAGTCGGGCAACAAGGTGAAAAGGTCAAAGCTTCTAAGGAATGCCAAATGCTATGGCCCAATGTGGGCCATGAGCAACCCTTTGTCACCTAGCAACAACTGGAAATGCTCCAACCTTTCTTGGCTTCCCTATAGCATTCACAATGTCAAGTTCCGTACTGCTGGACAGAAGCTAGCACCTCAGCCCCTGTTGTCACCACTACTCCATAAGCTGTTGTACTAAATAAATCATTTTCAATGTCCTGTGGATGCCAAGCCTAGAGTTTGTGTGCAGGTGTAGAAGTCCCCAGGAGCCTGCAATATGAGCATCACTTCCCACTTGGTCACTGTTCACCACAGGGTCAGATGGTGGAAGAATGTTACAGAATGCTTCTGTACATTGTCTTTTTATAAATTCTGCTAAAAAACATGGTGTCTCTCAAATTGCTCTGCTCCAAGGTGTGTGAAGTTACAGTACTACTATAAACTTTTCACCTACTGGCCAATAGAATGTTTCTGCAATGGTTTCAACCATTGTAGAAACATTATATAATGTGCACTATTCAAAGTAGTTGCCAGTAACCAAACTGGGTCAATGGGTACTTGAAATGTGGCTAAAGCAGTTAGAGTTTAAATGTGTATTGAAATGTAATTAATTTAAATTAAATAGCCACAAGCACCTAGTGGCTCCCATCTTGGACAGAGCAGATTATCACACCAAGAGGAGAGCTGTCCAGGAGGTCAACAAAAAAAGTCAAATAGCTCTTCATAGGTTATTAGCTAAAGAATTCTGAAAGAACTGAAGATTTTCTCACTTGTCCTATGGAAGCCAAAGCCAATAATATCAAATGAAAGATTTAAAAGGTCATTTTGGATCATAAGTCCCATCACAAAAGCATATAATTTTTCACTTATAAGATTCCAGATTTTTCTCTGGCTCAGTTTTAACTTTTTTGTAATGTTGTATTTCTTTTCTTCCCAGGAAACTGGTTGTATAGGAGATACCCTAACTTAAGTTTCTCTATTTAAAAGAAGAAAACAAGCTCTGACTGGTATAGTTCAGTGGATTGGGTGTCATACTGCAGACCAAAAGGTTGCTGGTTTGATATCCAGTCAGGGCACTTGCCTGGGGTGTGGGCCAAGTCAGTCACTAGGGAGTGTATGAGACATAACCAACCAATGTTTCTCTTCCTCTCTTTCTAAAAGTAAATTAGTAAATTCTTTAAAAAATAGAAAATAATCAATTCAACAGAAATGCAGGAAATGAGCAGAAAAATAAAAAGAGCAAAGACCAATCGTTGTTTTCCTCCTAAGATCAGGAATAAGACAAGAATGATTGTTTCACTTCTTTTCCATTATACTAGAGATCTTAATTAGTGAAAATAGTATTGAAGTAATTTGATATCCACTTGGAGGGGAAATAAGAACAACTCCTACATCACATTCCACACAAAATAATCACGGAAGGATCATAAATCTGAATGAAAGAGTAAAACTATAAAGCTTCTAGGAGAAAATATAGAAGATTACTTTTGTGACCTACTGACCTGGGAGAAGGCAAAGACTTCTTATATAGGACACAGAAAACAAAACAAAAAGGCTGAAAACAAAAGTTGATGTTAGTTTTAAATTAAAAACTTATGCTTATCATCAAAAGCTACCATTTGGGAAAAGAATAGGAAAATTCTCCACGGGAAGAATATTTGCAACACACCTATCTCATAAAGATTTTGTGTTGGGAACCACCCTGCCTGGTTTCAGAAGCTGTAACCACCCCTATGGCTAAAGTTTAGTGAGCGACCTTCGGACCATAAGCCACTAAGGAGACAAAGCTTATCTCTCTGGCAGGAGCACCACTTCTGCTCCTTTTACTTCACCCCAATGCTTGCTTGATCGGTTAGCCAATGACAGGTAAGATTCCCCAAGGGGGGAACGACCTAAGACAGGCATGATCACATGGAGGCCCCATGGAAGGACTTGGGGGGGCTACAGCCAAAGGGGGTGATGGACCCTCACCCCCCAGCTTTGACAAAGCCTAAGTCCTCATTCTGTCTGAAAGAAGTCTCTTAAGCTTTTGGCTGCCTTACTTCCCCTGCCTGACTTAAGCCTGAAACAATGACAGAGGGAAGTACAGCCCTGTGCTGGAAAGGGTGGGTTCCTGGGGTGATCAGGCCTAAGAAAGAATATGTAAAATCCTGTGAAACCTACTTTGCTTAGAATGCTCTCAATTAAATGATAAGTGTCCGAGAAGGAAATGAGTTTGTTTCCCAAAGTTTTGTAGCCCTTTAGCTAACAGACCCTGACTCAAAATAGGCCCTCAGAGTTCTTAGTATGTTTGAGTCTTACTGCCTGATAATAATTAATGAGCCTTATCAGGCAGTAAGAATTATACTCTTGAGCAAAACAAACCCAATAAAAGTCTGTCAAAGCAAGGGTCGGGGTGCTCTCCTCCTGAGAGAGTGGCCAGGCTGCTCCAGGACATTCTCCCCTTGAACGGGTAGCCATGTTGTCCCTTTTCCTCCACAGGACTCGGTAGTCCATGTGATTTTTGTCTTGTATTTCATCTATAATGCCGCAAACACCGTGGGCCGGGGCACAGTCAATTTTGTATATGAAAAACTCCTACCACTCAAAAGGCAACTCAGTAAATTGAAGATGTTTGTGCTATAGTACCCTTAGGAAACATGATATGTTCGAAAGATATTCTAATTTATTTTATGACAAAGAAAGTCAATAAGCATTTATTCCATCAAAGCAAGACACTTGTTCTCTAAGACTAAGATGAAATAATATGGGGATAGTGTGGAAAATGTTTTCCTTTCCAGACAACATAAAAGCTTAATATATTGGGACAAAATTAATCCTGTGAAAATCTAACTGCAGTAATTTTTTTTCTATTTTTCTTGAGTCTTGATGTAACACACTCCAAATACGGAAGACATACACATTAACAATTCATATCTCTATGAATTCTAAGCACTATAGATATCAATTCTCTTCCCTGCACATCAACCATGGGAAGTACATGCCAACTGCAGCTCTTCCCATGAATATAAATTGTAAGACACCAGAATTTTCTCAAGAGTAAATTATTGTATGCCTATGTGAAATTCAGGATTGAAATGTATTAACTTTTGGGAGAGCTGTAAATTATGGGATTTCCGTAAATCATAAAAATTGTGATTGTGTAAAGTAGGAGCTTTTGGCTACAACTAAAATAATTCTGGCATTTCAAACTTTCACACACCTGTTGCAAAAATGTTCATAGTTTATGCTCACTTTGGAAGTAGTGCTATGTTTTTTAAAGTAAGGCCTTAGAATAGAGACAGACAACATAAAAAATGAGATGCACACTGAGATTTTTTTAAATTTTTAAACTTTTAAAGCATTTGTAGAAGTCTCTGACTTCCATAATACATGAATGAAATCAGTGATTAGTCCTATGAAAGTTTCCTGTATTGTGTAGTAAGTTTAATGACCTTAGTAATCACCTAAGAGAGCTGAAAGATCATATTTCCTACCTAAAATAACAGTGTTAAGGAAACTAGTATCATTGAACTTGTGTATATTTAAAACCATTTTTATTTATTTATTTTTTTATCCACTTCAGTAAAATTCTGCTTTTTTAAAAACATTCATCTTGGGTTAGGTCAAAGATGTCAGTGAGTTCATTCTATCATCAGTAACTCATTCCCAAATTCAATTCAAACCAATATTTACCTGCAAGGAGTAAGGTAGAAATACAATAAAGAATAAGGTGTTTTTACTCTCAAGGAGTTCAACGGCTGGAGAGAAAG